ACAATTAATAACACTCGCTTTTATCTCCTCTTGGTTTCCTCACAACGTCAATTCATTCAATACAGTGATGATGATTTTAAGAGAAAATTTTATAATACATAAATATTAATTAATGATACGTATATTAATTATTTTTTAAATTTATTTTAAATAGAAAGATAAATATATATAAAAAAAATATAAAAGAGAAAAAATAAAAAAATTTGAATAAACGTAAAAATTTTTTTTATCATTTTTAATGAATTTGAATGTAATTTTTTTTATATGTTTATTTTTTTAAAATAAATTTAAAAAATAATTATTAGTTATTATGTATTATAAAATTTTTCTATTTCGAGAGATCCTTTGCTTCGTCAAAGTCTCGTTAACAATTAAATAGCTCGAGCCGTGTTGTCTTCTCATTGACGCGACTATTAAAAAGAAATGTCCACGCTCGTACGCAGCACGCCTTCGACTCGCATCAAGCCCCATGTATTGCGGGGAAATAAATAAATCACCGTGAATACATGACATGGACCCAACCAAGTCATCCTATTGAAATGAGCAGCTAATTGACGAGTTAAATTACGAAAATATCCATATATTACATGAATTTGGTTCACTACATCTCTTTTTAGTTATTTTGGTTTATTATGGGCTTATCATAATTAGTGTTGGATACCTGACGTTGTCACGTGTCAAAATTTGAACTTAATATCAAAATAATAACATATTAAAAATAAACTAAAAATAAATCTTTCAAAAAAAATTGATTAAAAGTTTTGTGTTTTTAACCACGATATTTTTTCAGTATTTTATTATTTGACAATTAAAAACTAAAGACTCAAATTCAAATTTTGGTATATTACCACCTATTGAATTTCAAATGTCTAGTACTAATCATGGTTAATATGTTACTGCATAAAGGAAGTAATAAGGTAAGAAAGTAGAATAAAAAAACACAATAAATCGAAATGATCGTAAAGGGACATGGTAAACCAAATCAATATAGTATAAGGATATTTTCATGTCTTAAATCATTGGTCGGATCAAACACCAGAATGCCGACTAAGATTAGTTTTGATGCATTTCTTTTTAAAAAAAATTATGTGATTCAAAAAGTAATTATCGATATTTTATGCTATAGAAATCAATATAAATAAGAGAGAGAAAATTTTATTTAAAAAGGAGTTTAAATATAAATATTCTTCTAGTTTTTAATAGTTTGATGTTATTTTTTCTCTCTTTTCGTACTTGCGTCTCTCTTCAAAGTAAATCAGTAAATAAATATTAATAATTATCCATTGAGTATTTAATTTTTTTTCTATTAAACTCGTGTAGAATTCAAGATGAAATCTTTCTTTATATTCTTGAAATGAAGATGTCATACCAAATACAAGTAGCATCCTGATTAATTGTATACTACATACTTAACTAATTAACTATTATTAGTAGTATTTTGATGATTCTTGAATGATATCTGACAAAAAGAAATGAAACGACGAGAGTGATAATAAAAGCTTTATTATAACTTTGTAAATATTTGATTGAAAAAATTAAAAATAATTTTATTCCCAATAAAGATTTTATTTTTGAATAATTATATATTATCTATATTCATTGCTTACCAATTAATTTTCATTACCATAGGCAATGGTGATGATATTTTTGAAAAATTGAAGATGTTTTGGTTAGTATTATTATTATGACAACACTATTCCGCAGTTTTCTCTCAAAATGATAACATTGTTTTTTTTTTTCAAAAAAAAAAAAAGTATTATTGTGATCAAGGGCGGAGCGAGGTGCAAGTGGGAACCTAGCTCCTGAAAAACAATTTCATAATTCTATAGAAATATATATGTCTTAGATGTTTTTATTGGGAAAAGTTGTTCAAACTTGGAACTCTCAGCTGTTTTGGATGGTATTGGACTATTAACAAGGTGGATAGCTACGGCTGTTATAAAAACTCAGGTTGGACCTATGAAAGGAGAAAATAACGGTATGTATATAAATTGTCCGGCAGCGAAGTCTTTGTTTTCGACCCACTCATTTTGTCGTTGGAAAGTCAAGAAAATCTCTTGATTTGTTTTTTCTTTGCCTCAAATCACTTTTTTTTTTAGCAAAATACCCACCTCCTTTTATCAAAATTAGGTTGCATGATAAACTATTTTGGACCATTTATCACCTAATTTCTTAATAAATACTCTTACACTAAACAAAAATCACTGATTAATATGCTTTAATGTGTTTTTGTGATATTGATTTTATTCTTGAGTTTTGAACTTATTTTATCTTTTTAACTCAATGAAATTTTTCTTTAGATTAATCAGTAATTATCTTTTTTTCCCAAATACTATTTTATTTCGAATCAAAATGTATCTGACATCAAATATATAGTCGTCAATCATTACATGTGTTAAACTAAAAAGGGAAAGTCCGTCAAATTAGCTTTGGCCTCCTTTAAAACATTAATTATCTTTATCGTGATTACTATATTATTATTACAACTATCAATTCTTCCTTCATTTCTCTTCACTGTCACTACTGCTCCAATTATTATTTTTATTACCATTACCATTAAGGAAATAATTCTTTTTAATCACTCCTTGTCTTTTTTTTTTTAATAAACATTAAAAATTTAAAAAATATTTAGATTCTTTATTATTATTTTAAATACAATATTGAAATCAAAATATCATTTTAATTCTTCTATTTTCATGCTGATTTTTTCTTTCATAGTAACCAAACTATACCTTATAGCTTTAAATTATTAACAATTGAAATCAAAATTTAAATTTAGTTTTTAATTTTAAACTTAAAGAAAAATCACATATTTTTTATTAGTAAAAACACAAAATTGAGTTAAAAAAAGCTTTGACTTATAAATTCTAACGCATACTACTTATTTACTAAACATATTTTTAACTTAAACTTATTATAATTTATTTTATTCATAAGTTATTAATGAGATAAAACTTTTGATTGATAACTCAAAATCAATTTTTTTTCACGACTCACGGTGAATCGAATTTTTATTCATTTTAAAACAATGCTATTGTTTTCGGGTTCAATTATGAGATTGCTAATGCCATGAGAATTTTTTTTTAATGAATAAATTATAAACTAGTCTTTCTAGTTTTGTAAAATAAATTAAACAGTCTTCTAGTTTTAAAAATTAATTGATCAGTTTTTTTTATTAATAAATGTAAAAAAAATTACGAAAAAATTAATTGATGAGAAAAGAAGATATTTTTTTAAATATATTAATATTAAATAAAATATAGTCAATATCGATTAAAAAGCCTAGATAATTAATTTTTTAAACTAAAAAAATATTTAATTCGTTTTATAAATTGAGATGAAATAATTTATAATTTATTTATTTTACTACGGAATCTAAGACAAATGACGGTTTCCTTTGCGTATGATAGCATTTTTTTTTTTTTTAATTTTTGTGGCACGTGTACGCGCGCTGGCAGTGGCACATGCACGCGGTCACGGACGGAGTCATCCATCTCCAATTCCATCCTGTCAAAAGACAAGTTAGATTTTGGCAGCCTACTTCTCTCTCTTAACTGACCACTCGTTTTCTGGGTTGTTAGCATTTAAAGAACACAGTGACGATCTACCCCCACAAGCTGATGGTAATGGGCCATATACTACTTACTTTTCTTTTCCTGTCTTGATAACATTTTTTATCCATCAAGGTACTCATTTTTCGGTTAAAAAAAAAATAATAAATAAAATCAAGATACTTATATTATATAGTTTGATTTCTAGATTTCCGTTGAAAAAAGCAAATTCTATTTACGTATTGGTTTTTTAAGATACGACTAAGATCCCAGACGTGTCTTCTCATTTCTATTTAGCAACAGAAAAAAAAAATCTTAAATTTCAAAGTTTTTTTTTTTTTTAAATCTGAATCTAAATTTCATATTGGGGTTGGCTAATTAAATATCTTAAAATTTTCTTGATCGGACCAAAAACATGTTTCTCTTTTTGGATTGTCCCGTGGAAGCTGCTTTTCACACATCTTTCGGACAGCAGAGATGCGAAACACAACCTTTTTTTTTTTTTTTTTTGTCTCTTTATCTTCTAGTCAAACTTATAGGTTTCCCTTTAAAAAGTCAAAACTCAAGCCGGAGAGATTTAAAGATTTAATCAAGAAGTGTAGTGGCAGGCCTATGCAACTGTAATAATGATGCGATACCACTACCGTCTACTGCTGCAAAACTATTAACATACATTATGAAGACACGTGGTTTCACAGTAAACAAATTGTTTTTTTATTTAAGTATGATTAAAATTTAATTTTTATTATTTATAAATAATTAATCATAATTATTTTTTTTAATAGGATAGATTTAATTTAATTTGATCTAACAAAAAATTCAATAAATTAGCTTTAAAATACCCCATTTAGAGTGACAGACAAATGTAGCAAGAAACAGGAAGGAAGAAACAAAAAAGAAAAAGAAGACCAGGTAAAAAATCACCTACCACCATATATAATAATAATAATAATAATAATAATGGAGAGAAGAACGAAGCCCCTCTTTCCTTCTTTGAATCTCAAAATTAATTGCACACTTCTCCTTCTCTTTTCCTTTTCGTTTTTCTTTTTCAAAGCGCGTATGCACAGAGACTGCAGTATTCAAAGTCGAACATATTTTGGTCTAACTTAGCACTCACAGAGACCACCAAAACAACACAGACTTCTCTTCTCCTCAAACATTTAACCTTAATCCTTTATTTCCTTGTTTCTTTTTATCTTAAATACTTTCATTTATTAACATTTTCATAACTAGCTAGACACAGGTTTATCAGCTAAACTTATTTCTCTGTCTTTTTATTTCCTTTCACTTCCCTAAGAAGCCCACCATTTTTCAAGCTTTCCATTTTCCTGGCTTTAAATCCAACATTTCTACATTTTTCTGCTTGTTTGAGTTCTCTTAGTATTCTTGGTTCTGTTTAATTGTTGTAGGATTTTATCCGAGACCAAACAAGAAGGGATTATTGCTATGTTGTCCAAATTTTTTCTTGTTCTTGTTCTTTTTTTACTCTTCGGTGGTGCTTTTGAAGCGATTGCCGGAAGCCATGGCCATAAAAAGAGTGTTAATTCCAACATCTCCACTCTTGCCGGCATCGAATTGCCTGATCATATGAGCTTCAATGCAGTTTCTTCATCAACAACAAACACAGGTTGTAGCTTGGAGACTTCAAAGAAAGTCAAGCAATCACATAAAATAGCCTCTCAGAGAGATATTGATCTTCTTGAAGACGACGACGACGACGATGAAAAACTAGAGGAGGAAAATGAGGCTAAACAGACAGTCAAACTCTACTTGAAGCACAGGTCAAAGAATAGAAAATCTGAGGCCAAAGAATCTTTCATGGAATCCACAAAGCGGGACTTGAATAGAATTCAGACTCTGTACACGAGGATCATTGAGAAGAAGAATCAAAATGACATTTCAAGGCTAAATAAAGATAAGGAGAAGCCAAAAAAGCAAATCAATTCCGTGGTTGCACCCGCAGCATCGCCTAAATCCCATGGACCTGGACTTTCCGGGCAGCTCATGGCGACTTTGGAATCAGGAGTGAGTCTTGGCTCCGGAGAGTATTTCATGGATGTGTTTATTGGTACCCCTCCTAAACACTACTCTTTGATTCTTGATACTGGTAGTGACCTTAACTGGATTCAATGTGTTCCTTGTCATGATTGTTTTGAGCAAAGTGGACCTTATTATGATCCTAAGGAGTCTAGTTCTTTTAGGAATATAGGTTGCCATGATCCTCGGTGTCATTTGGTTTCTTCTCCTGATCCTCCTCAGCCTTGCAAGGCTGAGAATCAGACATGTCCTTATTTCTATTGGTATGGTGATAGTTCTAATACAACAGGTGATTTTGCACTTGAAACGTTTACGGTTAATCTTACATCATCTACCGGCAAGTCAGAATTTAAGCGAGTGGAGGATGTGATGTTTGGCTGTGGTCATTGGAATAGAGGATTGTTCCATGGGGCTTCGGGATTGTTAGGACTTGGGAGAGGGCCTCTTTCATTTTCCTCTCAGCTTCAGTCTCTATACGGTCACTCGTTTTCGTATTGCTTAGTTGACAGAAATAGCGACACTAATGTTAGCAGCAAGTTGATTTTTGGTGAGGATAAGGACCTCTTGAATCACCCAGAATTGACTTTCACTACCTTGGTTGGAGGCAAAGAAAATCCAGCAGACACGTTTTATTATGTTCAAATAAAATCTATCATGGTTGGAGGAGAAATGCTGAATATCCCAGAGGACACTTGGAATTTGACATCGGATGGTGTTGGTGGTACAATTGTGGATTCCGGCACCACACTTAGTTATTTTGCAGAACCAGCCTATCAGATTATAAAGGGTGCATTTGTTAAGAAGGTGAAGGGCTATCCAATTGTGAAAGATTTTCCAACTCTAGATCCTTGTTACAATGTCTCTGGAGTTGAGAAGATAGAGTTGCCCGATTTCGGCATTCTATTTGCTGATGGAGCTGTATGGAATTTCCCCGTCGAGAACTACTTCATCCAGCTTGTTCCAGACGAAGTTGTTTGCCTGGCAATTTTGGGGACTCCTCGATCTGCTCTTTCAATAATTGGCAACTATCAGCAGCAAAATTTCCACATCTTGTATGACACCAAGAAGTCTAGGCTGGGGTATGCACCAATGAAATGTGCAGATGTATGACATCCTACTAGATTTTCCAAGTGGTAGGAAACAAATTGTATACATGGTGCTCGGGGGGATTTTTTTTTTTTTTTTCCTTAAAAAGTTAGAGATGACATACAAAAAGTTAGGTTCATTTTTTCTTTCTTTCTTTTGAGTTTCAGATAATTATACTCATTGTGATCATAAGTATGATCACAACCTGTCTTGCAAAAATGTATTAATTATTGCATTTTAATGAATCTCTTTTTCAAGTTAATTTAGTGTTTCTTTTTGCGTCCAAATTGTTATATAACTGAGAAAGTTTCTTTAACCAATGACTCACGTGGTTTACACCTGAAGACCATTATTGGCTTGTTCTTATTCAACAAGGTCTTAATGTCCACCTGTCCTGGAATCATGCTCCTGTAATCAGGCACTCTGTGTTGGTACTTGGTTATTTTGCTGGTTGCTCAAAGGCCAATGCCCCTTTCCCCACCAAACCCGGTATAAGATATATTATTACCATAAGGAAGAGAATGGTACAATGACTGTCTACCTTAAAATAAGAAGAAAAAGTCGTCAAACTTTAGGTATGTCACCTGAATAGTGAATACCGTCAACCTTTAGTATATAGTATATAGTGAATACTATATACTAAGAAAGGGTCAATTTTTTATTGTGTCTCATTTCTTAATGGCGCACTAATCCTGCCTCAATCTGCTTGACTGTAACTTTTGTTGAATAAAACAACGTTTTTGGAAGGAAATAATTGTGCTTTTAGGGAGAAACTTTAGGGTTAACTTCAAGGATAAATTCATTTGCTTTTTAGTTTTTCCTCGTGTACGTTTCTGAAGGCCTTTAGCTCAACAATAAATTCCATTTCCTTGGTCCACCAAAGTCCAGGTTCAAACCTAAGACCTCTCCCCATGAGAGAGAGTGAACATTTGTCTAAAACTAAACTGAAAGAATTGTGATCTTATGATTGAGGCTATTATGCATTCCCTTCACAAATAGGAAAATAATTTGCTTATCAACTATGTATAAATACGTCTCGCATCTGTTATTTGCTTTTTTGCAAGCAAGCTGTTTCTTTTGACTTGAACATCTTGTTTGAAAACAGAAGATCCATTAATGACGTGAACAAGAAGTTCAACAAAGGATTAAATTAATTTATAACTGACTATCAGGAAGTCACTGCCAGAAAAGTTTAAATGCAAGAACTTTGCCCTTGTAAAGGCGCAAGTCCTTACATCATTCTTCTGTAAGGTTTCTTCTATTCACAGCCTTCATTGGTTGTTACGCAACGTGACTCATCGCTGATATAAATTATAATGTGGAATTATATTGACATGGAATAGAATAGAACAGCATTTCTTGGTTGTTTTCCTAACATTTTTCTGTCTCTACGACTGTGATTGGAGAGGGGGTCAACTGTTAGAGTTTGGTGCGCCACTAACTGTATACAAACAAAGAAAGAGTCAGTTTTTTGTGGGGACTTTGTTTTCTGTATTTTCCACTTTGTCTTTCACATGCTAGTTGCAACTTGCAACTGATGCCTCTTGGGTTTAATTCGTCTCTTAGCCGAAGACAGCCTAATCGGTGCTTTTTGGGGCGTAGTTAATGCAAATCCGTCTGTAGTTCCACCTCCTGTAAAATTTTATTATGATGTTACAATTGAAAGAAGGTTTACAGATACTTTAATAAAATCGAAAGCAGTAATCTTCGCGGAATTCGCAAATCTCTAATATGATCACACTTGTGTTTTTCTGATCGTTTCTAGTGTTGGCCCTATAATATGGACATACCTGAGACTTGACAGGGACAGAGCCTAACAAGAAAATCTTGAAAGATTAGCTACCATGGATAATTGGCATCTTTAATGCTCTTTCAAATTCAGAGAGGCAACGGAAAAGTAAGTACTGCTCTTCCTCAGAATATGCGACTCGAAGCCACTTGATAGGCTCAAATTTAAAGCAGCAGGAAAAAAAGAGAAGAAAAAAACACAGCGAGGAATGTTCACAGCCAACTTTTAGATGGGCTTGTGTATTGCCCTTTTTTTTTTTTTTTGGAGAGTTGATAAGTTGAAAGACCACCATGTACAAGTTAGTAACCCTCGGGCACCACTGTTCGTGATTTCAAAGATCTTGACCTTGGAACAAGGAGAAGAATACAAGCGTGCATATGGACAAGAAACGAATTCCCATAGTAGAATCAATACATTGCATCCATTTTACTGCAACAAATATATATATGTACACTTCCAGGGGCTACTAGCCATCACCCAGTCGTTTAAAAAAGGGGAGGAGAAAAAAATGCAGGCCATGATACAAACAGCCACGTTTATTTACTCCATCAATCTACCCAGTAAATTAATTTCAGGCCTATTACTGATTTGGGTATAATAATGTACATCAATAACAAAATTGAAGAGAAACCATAATATACAACATGCTGATTGCAGCGGATGAGAGACTACTGACAAATGCTTTCCTACCCACAAAAATTTTCCATCACATCTCAATGTCTTCCAGGTCTGGTAGAGGAAATCGCAGAATTGCAGCAACGCCAGTCAACTGAGCCAATTCTGTTTTTGATTGAAAAGTGGGGAAAAAGTGAATTCAGAATGATGATAATCAAGGCAACAATATGTAAAAGCTTTCATGCTATCCCCCACTAAGTAAACAAGTATTGTTACTCACGCTCTCCTGATACATGCATTGATGAAAATATATAAGCAGTGCCACCTGAATCCTTCACTGAGTTGACTAGGTTGACATACTTTTGTCTCGTTGGTATATCAGCATTCCTGAAACCAGTTGACAACAATTTCCATTCATCATCTCAATGAAAACACTCCCATAACAACGGGCATTGGTTTATGTCAAGTTCTAATGCAAGATTCTTCAAATGAGAGAATAAATGACAATATCAAATATGAGCCTGTCTCTAGAACGATTAATCTTTGGTGCATCGGCCACAAGCTGTCTCATCACCACATGTTAAAAAAAACTTCTAGAAAAACACAACAATGTTCCTCAATGCAGATTCACAAATATTTTGAAACATACATATGGAATAAATAAATTGAATGTTACGTGATAATGAATTAACCAACACTACTGTTCAAAGAATAATGCAGGGATGCCAACACTTCCTCACTTTTTTTAAAGACTAATGTGACATCTGCATTAAATCATGGTCATGTGGATCTTAGCATTAATGTGTTACTTAAAATTTATATAACCACCACCATAAGTTACCGCGTCAGTTAGTAAAGAAGTGTTAACATTTTTTTTTAGTATCTTTGGCATTCTGTTTGTTCAAATATTTAGAAGTACTCTTACTAGGCTAACCTGAATAGCTCATCTGTGATGAGAAGAGTTTGAACGGCCATGCGTTCATGGGCAACCTCCACGTGCTTTGGTCCATAGCATGCTCGATTCGGATCCTATCACAAAACCAAAATCAATCAAATTTGAAGAATTTTATAAGAATATGATATAAATGCAAATATAACAAGAAAATCTGTGCTAAGAAGGGTTAGGAAAGTAATTGGAAACAACAAAAACTAAAAATCATGCATTTCAAGGAAAGAACCTGACGTTTGAAAGCATGTCAAAGAAATCCTTGAGAGCTCGGACCTGAAACAAAGTGGGGATAACAAAGAAGAAATTGTTATTGCAAAGCAATTGAAGCAAATATTGGAGAGAGAATGCTTCTGCAAACACAACTAGGCATGCACTGGGATAAGCAGAATTGTTGAGCAAAGTAAGAGCGAGACAAGCTGAAATGTTGGTCAACTTGGGTAATCTAAATTACCTCTTGTGCTGCTTTAGTGTCTTTTATCAGATTCATAACATTTGGAGCGTCAAGAACCTCTCTCAAACTATGCCTGTCAAAATTTAATGTTGAAAAGTTAGAAGCATGCTGCATGTAAGAAACAATACATCATGACAGGTAGTTAACAAGCTGTATATCAACTTCACATGCATGTTGCTCAAAAGCAAGCTCATAACCACCTAAACTTTGAAAACCCCTTTAAGCAAAACAGTGCCAATAAGAGAAAATTTGTGTGTCTCCCAAAAGAGATAGACTACACAAGTGTAGTTCTGTTCTAGCAGCAGGTCCATAAATGTGACTAGTATCATATTTCTTCCCAATTTATTATGAATAATTATCACTTCATGCAGAAAATGATACATACAGACAAAGATCAAGAGAAAGTTTGTGCACATTTAACCAAAAAAAACAATAAACTACAGTTAAAAAAAGGCAGATGTTTGTTCCATAAAAGCAAAATGACCACAATATACTGTCAGATCCAGGTGATAAGCAAAGAAATTGGAACTGAAGAAAAAGATCTAGAATGTAGTACAACTATGAAGTGGTTGAATGACAGTCAAGGACCGGACCAAGCACACACTTTTCAAGAGATGCCTTACCAGACTCAAGTAATCGCAATACAGTGCTGATGAATGGAAGAATCTTATATATAGATGATGTAATGCATGGACATACTATGTAATGGGCTGAAATGCACTTATTTCCACCAATTATATTAACATGCATCCTAAACCAAGTGTGTCAGGCAGATTTTTAGAAACCTATCGTTAACAACTATGCATCCAAGCACAGAGAGAGAGCCTAGAAGCAAAGATTACAAGGACCATACTTGTATCCTGAGCTTGTATGCACAAGAACTATGCGCGACTTGTTCTCAATGATGGCCCTCAGCTGTCTCCTCTCTGCCTCCAACAGTAATTTACTATGAAACTGATCCTGAAACACATAAGAAAAGAACTTTCATTTATAGTACACGATGCAATATAAAAAGAAAGAAAGAAAGAAGGAAACTCCAGGAAAGACATCAGAAGTAACAGCAGTCCTTTAAATGAAAAAAAGAAAAAGAAAAAGTATTAGATGCAATCTTTCATTCTAAAAGTGCAGGAAAAAATGAAGAAGAATACAGACCTTTGTGAAACCAGGACTTGCAATCACAGCACACCGAACCACATTGAAATCAACATGTTTCAGAAAAGCCTAAAACATATGTATAGAACCCCATCAGTGGTTGTATAGCATGCACTCCAATAGTTAAAGACAACTGAAACACTATTAATTTTTTTGGAGAGGAATAAAGCAATGGCAATACAAGTAGGATAGAACTCACCTGTAATACATGCTCAAAGAACTTATTTAATGCCTGTGAGAAATAGAAAGACAATGAGAGAAAACATGAATTATTAATTTCTAGTTACTAAGTCCAAGGACAAACCAAAAGGAGAGGAAACAACCCGATCCAATATGCAAAATTCAAATAAGTTGATCTGGAATTCATAATATAGGAAAAGAAGCATACCGACTCATAACCAGCTATTGCAGGTCCATGTTTTCGAGGAATTGAAGTTTCTATCCTCGCACGTGTAATTGTTAGACTGTTCCATATTGGCCACAGAAGCATTAGCAAATGCATAAACAGACAATGGGCGATAACATTCAAAACACATCATGATGCAATGGCAATCTCTAAAAGAAAAGGCAGGGAAAATTCAATTGTTGAATTTTTACAGCACGAATCTCCTTATTATCCAAACCCATCACCCAATTTTTCTAGTAAAAACATCATCCTGAGTGATGATATTACATGATAATCCATCAAACAATATATCAACCCACTATCTCCCTTTTCCTTTGCCAATAGTATGGCATAGCAAGAAATCGTGTAAATTATGCAATTGTGAGTGGCAGAGGTTTTGGACATCCTGCTCGATGGGCTTAAGTTTGCATGAGAATTACTGCAGTTTTTACATGCGTTGACTATGTTGCTCCATTGTTCTGCGACTAATTAGTTTTTGGATTTGTTTCAATGCATTCAACCCCATATCGATCTTTCCACAAAACATGACTTACAGAAACCTAAACAACAAGAAAACACATATTACTCATATTCTCAACATGTTATTTTTACCTTCTACCAACAAGCAGGACATGTGCTAATCCTTCTTGCATTAAAACCACAGCAAGATCAGCACTTGCAGCAGGATCTGAAATTGTAGACAGAGACCATTAGTTAGAAGTGGCCATATTTGTCTATTCTGTTATGATTTTCTTGACTAACTAAACTATAATCAGAACACAAAAATTTCATACTGCACTAGGGCTCCAAATTGACTTTTTCAAAAAGTCTGGAATGATAACTTCCATGGATTTACATACGTGACTAGCAGTTCAAGTTGCAAAACAGAACTTTGAAAGCACTCATTCCAATGAATATGACACATAGGAACCATTGACTGTACAAGAAACAGTAACAGCTACTAAATTATCAGCTGATACATTCTCGACCACTCAATAACTAATGGAAAGGTTTGATTGAATCTTGTGAAACATTAACGATTAAAAAGGAATTTAAAAAATGAAATATTTGCATCTAAACACATAAAGGCAGGGATCTCCAAATAGAGGATGCTGTGCAAGTACCCAGCCTTGATAATATAAGTTTAACACTCTTAATTTGAACTACAAATTTTGACACGTCAAGAGTACTGAAATTCGCATTGATATGGCGAAGAATGCAACCAAAGTTGAGTGATTGTTCTTAATAAGATAAAAATCAGCAAACAATTGTAATAAACAACAGATTGCACTGGCAGGAATTTGTTAATTAGTTGTACCACTACCACCCTCCCTTGGTTGACAAAATCTTAAAAATAACCAAGCTATCCATGGCAATTTAGCCATGAAATGCAACAAGTTCAAATGATTATACACCTCTAACTAAGGAAAGAACTAACATAGAAAGTAAGAAATTGGTGAATCGAAACTACATACCAGAAGCCTGATTGAGTATATCCAACGCCAATGAGTCCCAAAGTGCCTAGAATATATTGCAGTTCAGAAGACAAAAGTCAATAAGCCAGTGACAAAGAAAACGCGAGATACATAGGAAGTTACCAAACTGTATCTCTTGAAAAACAAGTTATTTTAACATTCATTAGGAATAATTTGTTCTGCGCTAGCCATGAAACATGGTTCCCATATTCTTGAAGAGCATCAAATCATAAATAAAGATGGTCTCTGCAAACAGCACAAGATAACGTGAAGCTCACACAACACCCATGTTACAGAATTTTTATATGGTCATAGCTCATTTGGACAGCATTGTTTCAGTAGAAATACATGCCAGACAAGCTTGAAAAGGTTGTGAGATCAACTTTAAATAAGAAATTACAAGCACGATTCAAAACGAAATAGATTGTTTCACCCAAAAAAAAAAAAAAAATCAATGCAGCTCAACCAAGAATGATGATACCTTTCTTAAAACAAAAGGTCGATGCAGCTCAAGTTCTAAAGTATGAAACGCTCCAATCTGCCACCAAAACATCAATCAGTTCAACACAATAACAAGATAATCCGATTTTTTGTTTAAAACCCGATTTCAAATAATGCTTGGTATACCTTCACATATTCATTCTCTAATGTATTCTTTCCACGAATTCGCAAAATAGACTCTGCTTTTTCATATTCTGTACCCTTAAAAAAGTACAAAAACAAACACAGAACATTGTTAGTTATGTTGAGAACTACAAAACATCATAAGATGGATATGAAATACAAAAGGGGAAAAAGAGGAAGAAGAAAAGAACAACAATATTCAATATTTTATAATAATACCTCAACTTCGATCTGTAACTTGAGCTTGACACGCTCCGCATCTCTTCTTCCATTAGCCGTCTCTCTTAAAACTTTCCTATTTATAACAATTATTTTTTACCTTATTACCAATTAAAAACTTCAAAGAAAAATTGAAAAAAGAGATTGTTTTTTAAAGGAAAACCTGACAGTAACAGCCATAACTGCGTCTCCAGGTGCTATCAAATTGTAAGCAAACCAGAGATCATCTGAATCAACTGGCGTCATCTACACATTCCATTAACAAAAGAAAAAAAAAAGTAAAAGGAAAGTTGCACGTTAAACCCTAAAAAAGTAAATTGAGAAAAATTGAAATTGTTTGTACCTTGACGCTACCAGGTCCGTCTGGTACAAGATCTCTTCTATTGATCTTCATGGTTTCTCAAAATCTAAAAATTTGATTATTAGAAAAAAACTATATTTTCGTGCTCTGTGGCAAAAAAAATTAAAGAAATAAGAAACACTAGCTAGATTGAGAGTTAATGGGTTGGGTGTTTCATGGGAAAGCACAAAGAAATGTTAGAGAAATTGCGAGTGTGAGTGTCTGGTTTTTTGTTCTGCTCGCTTCATCGGCAAAAGTCGAATTCTGGGTCCGACTCGGGGATGGATAAATTAGTATCCGTGATGTGTCCGACTCAGGACTGGATAAATGGGCTGGATACTTGAAATGGGCGGGCTAGTCCAGGGTCAGTGCCGCTGTCTGGATTTAGGCCATTTGCGTTTTATTAAATCTCAGAGCGGACTTAGCCCAAGTCTTTTAAGAGAATTTTTCTTGTTTTTTACGAAAATAAATACTGAAAGAGAGTTTTTTTTTTTTTTTTTTTTTTTAAAAGCACTTAAATGAAGTTAACGAAGAATTTTGACGTAAGAAAGATTGGGATGACTTGCTGATGCGGGTATTCTTGTTGTGAATAGGGATGAGCTTTCGAATTTTTAATATTTTAATTTGATTTTTGGTTAATCGAAATCTTAACTAAATGATTATTTGGTTTTTCAGTTAAAATCATTTTGTTTTAAGTTTTTTTGAAATTTTAAAATAATGAAAATATAAAAAATTTATTGTTATGGACCATGGAGTATTGTTTCTAGTTTAAATAATCTAAATTAACTTATATATGATATAATAAATATATATTTAAATAAAACTCGATCGCAAACTCATACTACATAATAAAATATCAAAATTTAAATGTAAGTCTAATAATCTATGTAAAAAATATATAATAAAAAAAATTATTAATTGTTTAAATATGTTGTAAATCAAACTGTTAAAGTTTAAATAACAATAAAAAATTTAAAATATAAAAGAAAAAGAAAATCAATTGTCAAACCAAACTAAAAATTTCAAAAACCGAACCAAAACTGAAAAATTAAAATAAATTTGAATTGCTTTTATTTTTATTAATTTTGAGTTAAAAAATCGAATCAAAATTGATATTTTGATTCGATTTATTTTGATTTTTTTTATTTAAACCAAATATTGCTCTACGTGCGAGAATGCTTTCACGTGTGGTCGCATTGACCTAGGACGTACACGTGGTAAATAATCAACATTCGATATTCTTGATTCCGTAAATGTACTATATACAAGATTGGTCTATGGTTTAGGTGCACTATATATATTTTACCTTTGTAACTACGCTCGGATTGAATTGGGCTCCTGCTGGCCTAACGAGACCTGAAGTTGGGTCTCTGGAAGTGCAATTGGACTAATACGATTTCTAGGTCGAGTTAAAAATGCAGATAATACAGGATGAGAAAATCTTGGGCTGGGTCAAGCCGATATCACTTTAAGGCTCCGAGCTGGCCCATACACGGCAAGGAAACTAACGTTTTAAACCCCCACTTATCTGTTCCTCCGGAACCAAGATCAAGAGGGAAAGGAGAGAAACGTTTGAGGAACCCGTACATCACAAAATGGGTGCCTTAACTCCAACATCCTCAGACTTGCTATGCTATTTTAATGGATATAGATCTCAAAATGTTTGATTTTTTTGTTTGTGTTGAAAACAGTTTCACCAGTATCAAGTGGTCGGGAGAGCACTTCCAACTGAGAAAGATGACCATCCCAAGATCTACCGCATGAAGCTTTGGGCCACTAACGAAGTCCGTTCAAAATCAAAGCTCTGATATGTATCGTCTATTCATTTCCTCAATAATCCAGCTTTGTTGGTTTTTTATTCTTTTTTTTTTTTTTTTGCGCGATTGCTCATTCTCCTATCTTACGATGGTTGGTTTGTTTTAGGTACTTCTTGAGGAAGCTGAAGAAAGTCAAGAAGCGCAATGGACAAATTCTTGTCATCAATGAGGTATGTGCGATTTACATATAGTAATGTTTCCTATGTCTAGGCTCATATGTGTGTGGTTATGAAAAAATGTTGTTGCCCACTAAGGAAGCTTCATCGAGAATTATTGTCTAATGACTATTTCTTTTCAATTGATTCTACCAACTCAATAATGTGGATTCATGCTGGGTGCGTGGAACAGACCTGCAATTTCTATTTTGTTTCTTGAGCTACTAGTATTTGTGTTTTAGTTTCTAAACGTTAAAACTAAATTTACTCTCTCCAGATCTAGAAGCAGAAACTTTGAAAGGATGCTTAGTTTCAAAGGACCATCTCGTCTAAAAGCTTAAGCTCGCTAGGTGAGGTACATTATATTATTTATATTATTCTCTAACACATCCCCTCAATTGAAAGCTCTACTTACATAGGCCCACACTACCTTAATTAGAAGAGAAATGAGGGTGGTGAGATTCGAAATCATGACTGTTTGGTCATTAAAGCTTTTAAGTGAGGCTCGAGGATATGATTTTTATTATTATCTAGCACTCAAAAAGAATTATCTTGACTGTTTGTAATGGCTTGCTATATAAGAGAATCTTCTTTTTAATTAAGGGAAGAATACAATTACCTGTTTAATTCCACTCACATGAAATGAGTTTCGGTTGATAATCCATTTTGGTGTTTGCTAGTTTTTTGGTATTGAAATGCTTGTGCTGGATTTAGACCCACCCTTGAATGGAAATGTTATCAACAATTGTGATACGATTAAATGAGTTTCCTGGTGGAAGAACAAGAATCACATGTGCTTTTTATCATTTATTTGTGCTTTTTGGTTCCAAGCATTTTTATATAATTAATTTCTGATTGTAGATTTTTTGAGAAAAATTCTACATCGATCAAGAACTTTGGAATATGGCTGCGATACCAGAGCAGAACTGGTTATCACAACATGTACAAGGAATACAGGGACACTACTCTGAATGGTGCTGTTGAGCAGATGTACACTGAGATGGCATCCCGCCACAGGGTTAGGTTTCCATGCATCCAGATCATCAAGACTGCTACTTTTCCTGTGAAACTTTGCAAGAGAGAGAGTACCAAGTAGTTCCATAATTTGAAAAATTGAAGTTCAAGAAGTTTAGACCCCCAACCAGGAAGCTCAAGACAGCATACAAGGCTTCCAGGCCCAAACTGTTCATGTAATTTGGTTGTTAGGTTTGCTGGTTCTTTTATCTGAGACATTGTTAGGTTGAATCGATAGTTGAACTACAGTGGATTAGAGCTAGATCTCATTTATGAAACTATTGCTTCAGGAAGCTCATTCTTCATCTACTGTTGTTCACACTTTAAAGTTTTGAAGATCTTGTGTTTTGTTAAGTTAACTATTTTCTTGTTGAATTTTGTGCTTATTTGATGTTATAATTGAACTTTTTGGTTGCATATATTGGCGTTGTCAAATGATTTTGGAGACACTTATGCTTATGAAAATGGTGCTCTTTCAAATCTGAAGATCGTGTGCTTGGAAAATGGAGTTTCTGGTAGTGATCTTGATTATGGGGCACTTTCTTTTAACTGTTTTTTGATTGGTTATCTTGCATTGTGGAAAGAATGATACGATTTTATCTGCGCAATGTGGGATTGTAATGTGTTCTATCTAGACATTTTTGTATTAGTAATGTGCCCAGAATATCGACACTAATGTTAGCAGCCAATTGATTTTTGGTGAGGATAAGGACCTTTTGAATCACCCAGAATTGAATTTCACTACATTGGTTGGAGGCAAAGAAAATCCAGCAGATATTTTATTATGATCAAATAAAAACTTTCATGGTTGTGGGAGAAGTGCTAAATATCCCATAGGAAACTTGGAATTTGACCTCGGGTGGTGTTGGGGGTACAATTGTGGATTCCGGCACCACAGCTGGTTGTTTTGCAGAACCAGCCTACCAGATTATAAAGGACGCATTTGTTAAGAAGGTGAAGGCTATCCAATTGTGAAAGATTTCCCAACTCTGGATCCTTGTTAAAATGTCTCTGAAGGTGAGAAGATGGAGTTGCCTGATTTCGGCATTCTATTTGCGGGTGGAGCAGTCTGGAATTTTCCAGTCGAGAACTACTTCATCCGGCTTGTTCCAGAAGCAATTTTGGGGACTCCTCGATCTACTCTTTCAATAATTGGCAGCTATCAGCGGCAAAATTTCCTCATCTTGTATGATGACAACAAGAAATCTAGGCTGGGGTATGCACCAATGAAATGTGCAGATGTATGACGTCCTATTAGACTTTCCAGTTGGCAGGAAACAAATTGTATACATGGTGCTCGGGAGGGATAATTTTTTTGTTTTTTCCTTTAAAAAGTTAAAGATGACATACAAAAAGTTAGGTTCATTTTTTCTCTTTCTTTTGAGTTTCAGACAATTATACACTGTGATCATAAACATGATCACAAACTGTCGTGCAAAAGTGTATTATTGCATTTTAATGAATATATTTTCCAAGTAGATTTAGTGTTTCTTTTTGCCTCCAAATTATTGTATAACTCAGAAAGTTTCTTTAACCAATGACTTGTGTGATTTACACCTAAAGACCATTATTGGCTCATTCTCATTGAACAAGGCCTTAATGTCGACCAGTCCTGGAATCATGCTCCTGTAATCAGGCATTCTGTTGGTTCTTGATTTTTTACTGGTTGCTCAAAGGCTAATGCCCCTTTCCTCACCAACCTCAGTATAAGATATATTATTACCTTAAGGAAAAATGGTACAATGACTGTCTCCTAAGAATGTTGTTCTACCTTAAAACAAGAACAAAAAGTCGTCAACCTTTAGGTATGTCACCTGAATAGTGAATACTATACACGAAGAAAGGGTCAATGTTTTGTTGTGTCTCCTTAGTTCTTAATGGCGCACTAATCCTGCCTCAAAATGCTTGACTGTAACTTTTGTTGACTAAAACAAGTTCTTGGACGGAAATAATTGTGCTTTTAGGGAGAAACTTTAGGGTTAGTTTTTCCTCGTGTATGTTTTTTGAAGGCCTTTAAATCTAACTATAAATTCCATTACCTTGGCTCACCAAAGTCCAGGTTCAGACCTAAGAGAGTGAACATTTGTCTAAAACTGAACTAAAAGAATTGTAATCTTATGATTGAGGATATTACGCATTCCCTTCGTAAATAGGAAAATAATTTGCTCATCAACTATGTATAAATACATGTCTCGCATCTGTTATTTGCTTTTTTCCAAGCTAGCTGTTTCTTTTGACTTGAATATCTTGTTTGAAAACAGATGATCCATTAATGACATGAACATGAAGTTCACCAAAGGATTAAATTAATTTATAACTGATTATCGCTAGAAAAGCTTAAATGCAAGAACTTTTGCCCTTGTACATCTTTCTTCTGTAAGACACTAAGGTTTCTTCTATTCACAGCCATCATTGCTTGTTTTGCAACGTGACTCAACACTGGTATAAATTGTAATGTGGCATAATTTTGACATTGAATGGAATAGAATGGCTTCTCTTGGTTGTTTTCCGAACATTTTTCTGTCTCGGCGACTGTAATTGGAGAGGGTGGCAGCTGTTATTGTTAGGTGCGCCACCAATGTATTCAAACAAAGAAAGGGTCTGCTTTTTGGAGGGACTTTGTTTTCTGTTTTTTCCATCTTGTCTTTCACTTCCTATTTGTTTTCTGTACTTTCCATTTTGTCTTTCACATCCTAGATGCAACTCGCAACTCATGCCTCTTGGATTTAATTCGTCTCTTAGCCGAAGAAAGCCTAATCCGCACTTTTTGGGGTGTACTGAATTCAAATCCGTCTTTAGTTCCACCTTCTGCAAAATTTTATTATGATCTTACAATTGAAGGAAGGTTTACAGATGCTTTAATCTAATCGAAAGCAGTAATCTTCGCGGAACTAGCAAATCTCTAATATGATCTACACACGTTAAGGTTTTTTTATTGTTTCTAGTGTTGGCCCTATAATATGGACATATTGGAGAGGGACAGAGCCCAACAAGAAAATCTTGAAAGATTAGCTACCAAGCATAATTCTCATCTTTAATGCTCTTTCAAATTCACAGAGGCAAGGGAAAAGTAAATACTGCTCTTCCTCTGAATATGCGACTCGAAGCCACTTGATACGCCCAAATTTAAAGCAGCAGAAAAAACAACAGTGCAGAATGTTTATAACCATCCTTTAGATGAGCTTGTGCATTGCTTTTTATGAAGAGGCGGTTTTTGCTATCAGACTTTTGGTTCCTAAAGGCAAGTTGGGGAACCATTTATTCACTCATCAAAAAATGAAATCTTGATCTTTCATTTTTTGAGATTACTCTTGTATGATCTTCAAAGGCATGACGACCTTGACACGAACCATTAGTCATGAATGCGCGGGAGAGGGAAAGACGAGCTAAAGTTTTTATATTTATTCTAGATTTTTATTTATTTTTGGTTTCAAAAATTGTTTTTCATCTCATTTTCTAAAAATTTGCTGTTTGTCTACAATTTACTTATATTAACTGACATGCCAAGCTATTTGTCAAAAACTAATGGTGAAATTCGAAAAAGATGGACGGACAACGACTTTTTTGAAGATTTTCAGTCGTGGATGGATTAAAAAAGAAAAAGGGAATAGGGATGACTGAAAGAAATAAACAGAGAAGAGGGATGATATTTACAAAATTTCAAGATAAAGCATTATCAAATATATGATGGACCTATGTTTGATGGGCTGACAAATATATGATGGACCTACGATGGGCTGGCTGAATGATTTTCTTCTCTTGCATCGAACTTAGCTCTTTGTGGCCTAACCAGACTTGGAGTTAGGCCTCTGGAAATATTGGGCTGAGCCGAGCTGAGATCAGTTTAGGACTCAGGGCTCACCCTCACCGCGGCAAGGAAACTAGGGTTTTAACATCTCACTTATAAACTTCTCCAAAACCTAGACACGAAGGGAAAAGAGGGAGCGTTTGAGGAACCCGGCTGCTGCTTAGCACATAGCAAAATGGGTGCCTTTAGGGTATGTAACGCCAACATCCTCAGACTTGCTCAATCTGCTATTTTCATGGATTTAGGTGACATGATGATTGAATTTTTGTTTGTGTTGGAAACAGTTTCACCAGTACCAAGTGGTCGGGAGAGCACTTCCAACTGAGAAAGATGAGCATCCCAAGATCTACCGCATGAAGCTTTGGGCCACTAACGAAGTCCGTTCAAAATCAAAGTTCTGGTATTTATCGTCTATTCATTTCCTCAGTAATCTATCTTTGGTGGTTTTTGAGTCATTTTTTTCTATGATACCCAATTCTCTTATGATATGATTATCGATATGTTTTAGGTACTTCTTGAGGAAGCTCAAGAAGGTCAAGAAGAGCAATGGACAAATTCTTGCAATCAATGAGGTATGTGTGAACTTACATGCTTTGAAGAACATTTGTTGATATTGCATTCTGAGTAAATTGAGTTCTGATTTTGTAATTGATTGATTTTTATGTTTAATGTTTTATGGTTTCATTGTCTGGTTTTGTTGAAGTCTTGGCTAATGAAATGGTGGTGTTTTTTTTTCTCAATTGTCTCTGGTTGTCAAATCCAGAGGAATAATGTATGTAGACTTGTGGGGTCGAGTTGCCATCAATATCCTTCTTTAAAATTGAAGGATTTTGGTGGTATGTAACTGCCTTTTCTCATTCCTTGTTTGTTAATAACTTCTCTTATGTTGAAGAGAATCATATACAGCTTTTTCCTTATGAAGAGATTGAAGCAATGACCTTTTTTCCAATCTTATGGCACTGTAATTCTGAACCATTATATTTGCTCTTGGATTTTATCACATTTTCTTCGTGTTAAATTTATTTTAATAACTGATGATAGGGTAGTTTGATAATCTTTTCAATTGAGGCTTACAAATACAATTCTATAAGTGCAAAATCCCCTTTTATGATAGCATAATTTTTTTTTTTAAAGGGTTGGATCATCCTCTACTATTGGTTTGAGATCCATTGATGATTGAAAAAGATTAGATGTGGGGCTACAACTTTGAAATTAGTGAAGTGGGCTATAGAAATATTATTTTCAGTATGGTAAGATCATGTCGAGTTTTGCCAAAACCTACATTATGTAGGATATCCATTTCATTCAGAAATTGAGGTTCCTCAATCAAGATATAGCAACTTATAACTGAAAATGAGCCTTTTAATCCAAAGCCAAATTGGAGTTAAAAGGGGTTGAAATCCAGTGTGTTCAGTGCTCTAGGTTAACTCGGTGAATTCAATAATTAATTCCTTTGAACTATTCTAATTCTTTCCGTCAGGAATTTTAATGAAGTTGCACCAGTGGAAGTGTTAAACTTGTGAAGAAATTTATTTAGTTCTAAACAAGACTAAAGTAAATTTTAGTTACAATAGATTGACTGAGCTTATAACTAAGGATCTGTTAAACTAGTCAAATCATTAAATTACAAAATTACTTCCATGGAATTAAATTTAGTGGCCATTCACATGTTCCTCAACTTAACCACCTGCATTTTTATGTATTGGTTTGGATTGCACCAACATGCAAAAATGTTTTGATTGATCCGATCAACTATCAACTCAATAATTTATGGTTTTTGGCTGGGTGCATGGAACAGCCCTGCAATTTCTATTTTGTTTCTTCAGCTACCAGTATCAGTGTGTTAAAATCTAAATGTTGAAACTAAATTTTACTCTCTGATGTAGAACCTTTGAAAAGATAGCTCAGAAAGGATCATTTTGACTTGTGTTTGTAATGGCCTTCTGCAGAAGTGCATCTTCTCTTTAATTAAAGGAAATGAGTTTCTGTTGATAATCCATTTCATGTTCCCTATTTTTTGGTTTTAGAGTTCTTGTGCTATAGATTTAGACCCATCCTTAATGGGAATTGGTAGCTACTTTTGTGGTACTTTTAAATGAGTTTTCCTGTTGTAGAACAAGAAACACAGGCTTTTCTGCTTTTTGGTTGTTCATTTTTGTTCCAAACTTTTTCTAATAATTTATTCTGATTGTAGATATTTGAGAAGAATCCTACCAAGATCAAGAACTTTGGAATATGGCTGCGATACCAGAGCAGAACTGGTTATCACAACATGTACAAGGAATACAGGGACACTACTCTGAATGGTGCTGTTGAGCAGATGTACACCGAGATGGCATCCCGCCACAGGGTTAGGTTTCCATGCATCCAAATCATCAAGACTGCTACTGTCCCTGCAAAACTTTGCAAGAGAGAGAGTACGAAGCAGTTCCACAATTCGAAAATCAAGTTCCCATTGGTGTTCAAGAAGGTTAGACCCCCAACCAGGAAGCTCAAGACAACATACAAGGCATCCAGGCCCAACCTGTTCATGTAATTTGGTTGGTCAGTTTGCCGGTTCTTCTATCTGAGACCTTGATAGGCTTGATAGATTGTTGAAACTAGAGTGGATTAGATCTAGATCTCTTTTATGAACCTGTTGCTTCCCGGAACTTATTTTGCATTTACTTTTGTTACTCTTTCGAGTTTTTAAGATCATTTGTTTTGTTAAGTTGCCAATTTTCTTGTCGAATTTTGTGCTAATTCTCTGCTATAATGGAACTTTTTGGTTCCTTATACTGGCCTTGTCAAATGATTGTTCTTCTTATGAAAACGGTGCTTTTTCAAGTTTTGAAGATTATTTGATCATGGAGCGCTTTCATTCTGTAGTTTTCTATTGACTGGTGGTTGGTTTCCGTTATTCTATTGCATTCAACTTTTTTGTGAATGGTCAACTTGTATCGCGGAAGGGGGATAATAAACCTAACCTTTTGACCGTGAGAATGCATCGTGTTCCTTCAAACATTGGGACGCAGAGCAGTGTAAATGTTTTTGTTACGTATTTAGATGTAACGGGATGGAAACACCCAGATTGGAACAGCACAGCAGCTACACTGAGATATTGAATGATGCTAAAAGTTTAGTTAGTTGAGTTGTTGATCATGGTCAACATCTTTTTAACTGAAATGCAAGACCGTTTGGCAACTTGTCAATCAAGCAAATGATCGCGGGCAAGAATCCAAACCGACCCAAACTCATCTTTCCTTCAAGATTATGGCAGGTAGGTTGGTTGCTCCTATCCTGTTGCTGCTAAACCCACCTTTCCCAGTCCTTCAAAGTCTGGTCGGTGGCTTCCCCTTCATGGTCATTGGCTAAGCTTGTGCATGTGGCCTTTTCTCATTCTCTCGTGTCGAGTAATAATTTTCTTGGTAGAATCAGTTGACACTTATCCATGATGATTTGACAAACCTAATATCAATCACCAAATGTACACCCAATCTGTCTAAATTAAAAATAAAAATAAACAAATAGAAAAAGAGCGAGGTTGGCACAGAATAAGCAATAAAACATCAGTACAGTAGTAGGAGAAGGGTGGTAGGTAGCAGGGGGAAAAAAAGTTGAAAATCCCACCTAAGTGGAAGGTGAAAACAATGACTCGCATTTTTCTCTTTTTCCTATTCAACAAATTTTTAAGCAACTACTCGCTCGCTGCCTCCATTTATTGCCCTCTATATACTTACCTACGCCACTTCTCATTCTTTCCACCTACTGCTACTGCTATCATTAACTCATCCAACGTAAAATCACTCTGTGGAAGTGTTCTCTCGCACTTTCTGGCTTATGTAATCAATAATCATATGTTAATGTCAACTCTTGTCTTTCTGTTTTAAGCCGAATCATTACCATCTTAGCAGTGGTCCCTTTTTCTTAGTGACACGACCATCTCAATTCTCATCCCACTGGAAATTACTGGCTTCATTTTCTTGAATTCTTATCCTTTGTTTGTGCAGTTTCTTGTCTTGGAATCTATATATCACTGAATAATTGCAATGGCTCAAGAAGTTGTTAACCCAGAAGAGCAGGTATATATGCAAGTTTCAGTTATATGAAATATTACCTTATCTCTTGTTGGTTTCTTTCCTTGCTTCCCGTTTGGTTTCAAATTGCGTGTACGTGCGCTTTCAAATCCTTATCTATGGTTGGATTTGTCCCAACTGGCGCCAAAGCAACGAATTATTAAAAAATGGGTGCTGTCGTAATTGCTATTTTAGGTTGTTCTTGGAGAAGAGATAGATCATGTTAGGCTGATCACGTTGAACCGGCCTCGTCAATTGAATGTTATTTCATCAAAAGTGGTATGCTGAGCAAACTTCATTCACATCATAATGGCAACATGGTTCAACCGGCCTCGTCAATTGTATGTAACTATTGTTTCTCACGCTCCGATCAGGTTTCTCTGCTAGCATATTTCTTAGAGAAATGGGAGAAAGATGATAACGCCAAGCTTATACTAATCAAGGTTAGTTTTGATTCCTCTAGAAAGTTCAAATTAAAATTGTCCTTTTCTGCACAATTTTATAGCGGCCTTATTGAGTATATCAAGCACTTAAAAATATGAACGGTAATTAATCACTGTTGTTCGATAAAATTCTACCAACAATTAAAAAAAGATGGAAGAGAAGTAGAAAAATCATTATAAAGAAGGATCAGATGAATGGTTTCTTATTTTATGACATTATTTAGTCAAGTGCTATGGGTCAATTCTCCAGCTTTGTGAGTGATGAGAGGGGGAACCCCACTGAGGGTGGGACAATCAAGGTTTGTTAACAATTAACAATCCCATCAGCACCAGGTGACTTGTGACTGCAGCTCACTCTGCAATTTGTTCCTGTTAAAGTTTAACAGTGATTTTATACCTTATACAGGGTGCTGGTAGAGCATTTTCAGCTGGTGGGGATCTAAGAATGTTCTATGATGGAAGGACATCAAGTAAACATATTTCCCTGAAACAAATTTTTAGATTCCATTTTCATCTTGGCATCAATCACAATTCTTTATCAACAGCATGTTTGCAAGCCATTGCACTAAACAGAGTTCATCATTTACTCCTATGTATGAGATTCTTCTTTTTCTTGTATGCATGAAGCAAATTTGTAAATATTGTACCTTTTGGCAGAGGATTCTTGTCTTGAAGTGGTTTACAGAATGTACTGGCTTTGCTATCACATCCATACGTATAAGAAAACCCAGGTACTCATTTGAACTTGTTCTCCTGCATATTCAAAGGTGTATTGTATTTAGGACATTGAAACAAGCTTTGAATCATGAATCTCATCCTTCTAACAGGTTGCTCTTGTCCATGGAATTTCAATGGGAGGTGGTGCATCATTGATGGTCCCGATGAAGTTTTCAGTTGTCACAGAGAAAACTGTGGGTATTTTGTCCTTGTTTGGGTGTTTCTATGCATAAATCAGTAATTGTAGTCATTGTGGTTTACATGGCTTGGAATTTCGTTCTGATTTGGAATACTGAACCTTTCTAGCATCTATTATGAACAAATAGGTTTTTGCAACTCCAGAAGCAAGTATAGGATTTCATACTGATTGTGGTTTCTCATACATGCTATCTCGTCTCCCTGGTCATTTGGGTGAGTATGCAAATAGTGAAAGATAAGAATTATCAACTGTTCTCTTTATTGTCTTAATGTTTTAGTTAATGACTTAATGCCACCTACTTCTTTCTTTCTGGCACTTCTTAATGTGTTAAAAAACTTATAAGTCATGGTGTTGCGTACAATGGTACAGGGGAATTCCTAGCCTTAACAGGTGCAAGGCTGAGTGGTAAGGAGTTGGTTGCTGTTGGAATGGCAACGCATTTTGTCCCTTCTGAGGTTAGTTTGTATTTCTTGATATCCCTGTTTTGCGATTGTCATTTGCTCCAGAAACATTTATTTATTATGGCAGGGTAAGTTCACTCCGATAGCAGTCGAACTTGCAATCCCGTTGCTGCCAGTCTTCCTTCAGAAGGATGCTACAAAACATCTTAATTGTAGATGAATAACTTACTAGAAAGAATAATAAAAAGGAGAAGCTATGTTTCTTTGGGACTTGAAACATGTCTTTACAGATATTCTACTTGTTGCTTTAATTGAAGAGTAGAACTTGAATTGAACAGGTTCTGTGAGTCATTCTTTCCATGTAAACAATTGCTGACGCACTGAGATAAACTGTATGCATATCCCAAGCTGGGAACATACTGAATCTGGAGGAAATTGAATGTAGCACTGGACCTGCCTTCTGCTGATTTTTGAATTATCAGTGTCTGTCATTTATAGTACTAGTGATCTTTTTATTTCATTCAAAGTAGTGGTTCACAGAAGCACTTAATTTATTTATTTTCTATTTTTCAGAAACTGCCTGAACTAGAGAAGCGTCTGATAAGCTTGAAGTCTGGTGACGAGATTGCAGTGAAATCTGCAATCGAAGAATTTTCTGTGGCTGTACAGCTTGATGAAGACAGTATTTTAAACAAGTAATAGTTATGGATAGTAAAGCATATAGCCTCTTCCTACATGAATTCTTAGAATGAACTTAGCTCAAATAATTTCCACAGTGAGAGATCTTACTAGAGTTTGTTAATTGTTACCTTTTAGGCTGTCGATTATTGATGAGTGCTTTTGCAAGGATACTGTGATAGATATCTTCAAATCATTTGTAAGTTCTTCCACTCCTCCTTCCCCTCCCCCATTAAGAAAGTTCTCAGAGAATCTACTTTCAAATCATGACCATGATGCATGTGATGTGTACATATTCTGCTCCAGGAATTTGAGGCAAGCAAGGAAGGAAGTGAATGGATAGGTGCAATACTGAAAGGGTTGAAAAGATCATCTCCTACTGGATTGAAAATTACACTCAGATCGGTAATCACGTCATACATTGTTTTAATAAATAATATCATGCATGGTAGCGGGCCTCCTACTATATTGGCGTTGAATTTATCAGAAATAATGGTTAACTAATTGTCTTAGGCAAACTACTTGTCTTTCTGATTCCTAGAAATGCTAGGCTTTAACCGAGTCACAGTTGCAAATGCTCAAGTGCGTTGGGCACATGCTTTTAACACTAGATGCCCAAATTTACCCTGGAATACAATGTTTGTAATTATCTTACCAACAATCTTTGAAACATATAGCCCTTTTTAGAAGTTCAGACTGACAGTTACGCACATTTTAATTTGGAACACCTGGAAGGAGATCCTGGATTTTGAAACAGGATTGACCTCCCAAATATGAGGAGATTCATATTCCATTATCTGGACGGGATCCTGCAGAGCTCTCTGTTTGAATTCAACTCTCTCTCTTTTCATAGACTGTTCTTTTTCCAAATCGGATTTCTTCCTACAAGTTGAGGAAAAGATTTATGCTGACTGCTGAATGACTAGTTTTCTTCAAGACCACTGGTTGATGTTCTCGTAGTTTACCTTTTATTGTTTTGAATTCCTTTCCAGGTTTTTTATTTTACATATCTTACTTAAAAATTGCTTGAAACTTGTCATCTGAGCCTCCTTATCAGGCATGAGAGATGACGGTCCTGCCCACCTCTTGCTTTTTATAGCTAGGGAATGACTATTACTTTAGATTAGAATTGCAAGTGGACCTGGTCTTTTCTAGCGATCATTCTGAGATCCCATGCTATTGCGACTAACTTTCCCAAACATCTCCAGATTCGTGAAGGAAGGAAGCAGACACTGGCTGAATGTCTCAAGAAGGAATTCAGACTAACAATGAACATACTCCGCACCACCATATCTACAGATGTCTATGAGGTAATTCCTGGTGCTGTTTATTTACTCAAAAAAAAAAAAAAAAAAAATCTAACATCATCACAACAATAACTCTATCTCTCTCTCTCTCCCTAAAGCAAAATTTTTTGTCACATTTTGATGAGCTGTCCTTATTTTTGTGAAAAGGGTATTAGGTCTCTCACCATTGACAAGGATAATGCCCCAAAGGTAATCTCTCTCTCCCTCTGCTTTGAGTGTGTGTGTTCGCATGTGCATAGGGTATATGCTGCTGTTGTTAAGGTCAAATCAATTTAGTCACTGTTTTGACCCTGTGGAGGTCAGGTATAATTTTAGATAAACGAACAGAGAAATATTGGTCATCTTCTAAATGTATTAAATTTTTTTGCTTCTTTTCTTTCCCTACCAAGTTGGTAAAGTATGAAGTATTAGTCTATCGTTCAAACAAAGAAGTGTTCAGGGGGAGGGAAAGGGTTTTCAAAAAGAAAGGAAATACCGAAAGTCCCACATATGGAAGACCGTCGGCATTCGTCTCCCACTTTCGCTGCTACAATTACTTTAGCGTTCATCTATTTATATACCTCATTTATGTATATCCCTTAATTTTTGCACGTATCAACTTTTACAGTGGGATCCACCAACTGGTGACAAAGTGGATGATTCTAAAGTGGACCTAGTATTTCAGCCTTTCGAAGATGATTTGGAGCTCCAGATTCCTGAAAACGAAGAACACAGGTCAGTATGATTACAAATTTTCAAGAGTTCTAGTTCGAACTGCCTCTCAGATTTTTAATCACCAAGCCATCAGCAGTTTGTGGAAGTCTGATGTTTCCTAATTCAAAATGTAATTGTCAGGTGGAATGGCAAGTATGAACACTCAGCCTATGCAGCTCTAAATGCAAGATAGACGGCAAAATCTCTTTTCTGAGCTCTGAAGCCTGTCCGATGACCACCAATACCCATTTCAGCCAGCTGGCCTGGTTGGGTTTTGTTTTATTTTATTATATTATTGTTATATATTTTTACGTTTGCTCTTGTATTAAGATGACTCGGACGGGAAACGTGCATGTTAGTGCAACAATGTCTTGTGATATTTATGATGAATAATATCATTTGACCACAAATGAGATTTCCTTGTACTGGAGAACTTTGATAGAACAAATTGCATTTGAAGTGCAAAATCAAGCTGAGAAGATAATTGGAATAAGCCTTGATGTTATGTACTCCAGAATTCTCAATATCGTACATGCTATATACGGGAGAAATCAATCTTATGTACATCCCCATTTCGCTCGTGTTTAGTTGGTAATCACTTCTAGTTAACAACGGATGAAAGCAGACCTTCTGAGATCATTAGCGAAAGGTACTTGCTTTACCATAAATTCAACTAGAGAGTAACGGACCACTCATATTATTAGAGGATCATCAACTACAAAGCACTACTGAAAGCCCATCTTGATGAAGAATGTGTAGGAAACCATTTTCATTCTGTAGTGCAACGACTTTGTAGCACCCAAGCAACAGGAAATAATTGGGAAAAAAGTTCTTAAGAATGAAAGCGCAGGAAAAAAGAGAACAAAAAAGGATGCTATAAACAAATTTAAAGGTCGCAAGCAAAAGTTCAATTGAAGCTAATTTCTAACATCTACTGTGCGAACCAACTGTAAGGGTAGCTCGTCTAAATTTACATTGGACAGAGAATATGCACACCACACATACAACAAGCTCAAAACTCAGACAAGAAAAAAAATAGGAAGCTACAGGTCCCTATGATACACCTTGGAAGGACAATCGATCCCTCAGCGTATCAAAAATTGACGAAGCCGCTGTATTTTGTGCAAAACTCAATTTCAATCGACCAAGCAATTCACCATCTTTTGCCTGAGAAGCAGCATCGGCAGCTTCCTTGGCCATGCCAATCCGAGCATATGCCTGTAAAAATCAGAGATGGACCTTAAGCAAAGGTCTATTTAAATGAAAGTGACTAGCAAAACACACACAACAAGGGAGGAGGAAAAGAAAAAAGCACATGGTCTGGTTACCTCAGCTTTTTCTCTGGGATCTGCAAGTTTTGGAATATATTTCAGAGCTTCCCCTTTCTCATTCACATCAATGCATACCTCCACAAATGGCCTGAAACCTATTAGATGCCCCAAAAAAATCCAAGATATCATGCTGTCAAATAACAGGACCAAAAAAAAAAAAAAAAGAAGTCCAACTTTAACAGTTTACCAATTAAAAATTCAATCCAATCATCAGGGTTGCTACTTTAAACCCCATGCATCTGATTCTATGTTAAAAAAAAAAAAAAAGGTGGAAGAAATAAACTGCCAAGCAAGGAAGATATCATTAATTAATTTGTTTCTCTTTGTTGTCCTTCAAGATCAAACAACCAAGAGATCTTACCAATTGGTGGTCTCTTCTCCTTCGAAAATTTTTCCAGGGCATCCCAGTCTCTAATTGTTGCCAAAGCAGAAACTTTAAGCCAATACCATCTCTTCTCAGAAACCTGAGTAAAGTTAACATCACAAAAGGAAGATGAATATTTTGGCCTAAAAAAAGAAGCCTCAAAACCTAAGGACACTGAAACAATATTTTTGCTGCATCGACTGAGTGTACAAAATTCAGTTGAGCACACAGATAAACAAATTACATGTATGTATATTATACTCGTGCCAGAAGCACCATTGAAACCCTAATTTTACTCTTTAAAACAGTGAGCCAACATAATAATAAGGTTAACAGACCTTAAACTCTGTTTTCACTTTCATTGCAGCTCTATGATTTCCCAATACAATACATGTTTTAATTGTATCACTGATGCTTGAATCTACAAAAATGGGCTGTTTTGTAGTGACTTCTAACTCATGTTGAATTCTGCAAAAAATGATATTATCAGAAAGGAAAGGGCAAAAAATGATATTATCTGAAAGGAAAGGGAGTTCATATGAGTTACTAACGCAGGAAAAATTTAGCACGTCACTCGCCAACAAAAGGGGAGGGGAAAATATGGACTAAGAAAGACAGAAATAGTGAAATACAAAGAGTGCACCGATGGGCAAAAGCAGTATAATAAATCTAGAAACATAACCATTGATCATAAGGTTATTTGAGAGATTATGACAAACTCATTTGCCTTGCAATTTCTATTATTCACTAAACACATTTTCAGTCCAAAGCACTCCAAAACTCAATTTGAGGGGGGTGGGGAAGGAAGGAATATCAGTCTTGATAGTTTACATAACTTGGGGCATGCAAAGATACCTTTCACACATGAACTTAAGCACATGAATTGTGTGATGACAGCACTTGACAGAGAGAAGAATAAAAAAGATAAACTCCAGCATATGCATACCTGATATTTGTAATGTACAGTTAGTTATAATTAAGCATTTTTTTTTTATAAGGTAGCTTTTAACATATTAAAAAAAGGAAATAATTAAAATATAAGGCTGAAATTAAAGCCACTAATCTTTGCTAAACAATTCACTGAGATGGTGAGAATCATATTGAGATTTTTTAATGGAAGGGGCACTTTAATTGAACATGAAAGTAATATTTTAGTAAAAAAAGGGGGGTGGAGATGTCATACATGCTTTTATTGTAGTTGGACCAGAGGACCTCAAGCTACCATATTTTATTAGCTTGCACTATTGCCTCTTAAGTGTTATCAAGGGTCCCTTTTAGAGGGATTTGCTAGAACATTCTGGTAGCGTTTACTTTCAGAAACAATTTTCTATTTTTCATCTTTGCTTATCAGCTTTGTTCTATAACAATTTCTCCACGAAAAACTAAAGAAAACATGTTTACTATCTAATACTTTTCTGAAATAGAAACAAAGGTCTTGATTGTTTTGCATTTAAAACAATGAATAACAAAGAGAGAGAGAGTAATAGATGGACAAGCAGAACCCTTGTTTTTCAAAAGGTGAATTTGAAGAACTTTTAGTGCTTAAGAAATAGAAAAGACTAAGTTTCCAAGGAAACAACATTCCATAAACACATTTACTAAGTGCTTCTAGTTTTCCATAAAACTAGAAAATTCTCCACAAGTAAACACAACCTTTTCTTCTTAATAGCAAAGGCTAAATGCTAATTAGTTGGATTTTGCAATTCTGTTTTTATATTAGTTTCCAAAGAATGAATAAGTTATATCTTCTTGCATCTAAATGCTATAACAGAACTACATAAACTATTGTAACATGCAATGTGTTGGAGATGCATGAATAGACAATCGGTCAGCACATTTGGTGGCCTAGTAGGCATCTTACCTGAGTAGCTTTGCATGCTCTTCAGCAGCTTTTGACTCAAATGTATGTTCCTTGGTCTCTGAAAAAAGATTGTGGGCCTTTTCAATGAGTTTTATGCGTGGACCGTGAAGTGGAGATCCTTTACTGGTCATTGGATTTTTCCCTAGTTCCCATGATTCTTTCCATAGGAGAAAAGCCACCTCCTATAGAGCCAAATTAACTTTCATATTAAGACAGAAACAGAATGATTAACAATAAATTCATCGGATATATAGAGCAGTTTTAGATCAGCTCAAATGCAGACAATGTCAATGGAAAATCAGTATGCATAAAAATTAAGCTTTGACAAACAAAACAAAAATTGATAGGCATCATGGACTACAAAAGCATGTAAGGCCTGCCTCATTTTGTCATGTTGCAAATGTGCACACATATGGAGAGAGAGGCCCATCCTTCTTACAAATTCACCATTATCATTGAAATTAATTAGTAATTAATACCTGAGGGAATTGGATCACCTCATTTCAGTGAAATTATATTAAGAATTTGAATCTAAACTACCATTTGCTATGCCTGAAGTGGCTGTCATCCATAACCATCCTACCTCCCTCACAAAAAACGCACGTGAATACATGCACACATAGCCTATTTACTTGCGATATATTGGAAATTAGAGGATCATATTTGCACCCACTAAAGCTGATTGAGGTTTTCACAAACTATAATCCTTTAACTATGGAACAGTGTCACGATGACATGATTTCTATGGAATGGCATAGTACCAAGTACTAAAAAATCACATGGATACAAATAATAGTAGAAGGATCAAGCATCAAAGCATGAGGGATTTTTTGACATTTCAAAAATAATTTACCATTCTAAACGAGATGAACCATTAGAACTAGGGTTACATTTAACTCCTGATTATGACAGTTCATCGCCAAATAATCCCCCTTTTCTGGCTATCACACTTTCACATAAAGCAGCATATGAAAACTGACCTATTACTTGTTACTCTGTTCCATGAAATCAATTCAAAGTAAAACATATTAAAAAATTCACAGGTCCTTAACCAATGATGAAGAAATTGAACCTACTTGAAGTTGTCCCGTTGATAGGAAGAAGTCCTTCAAGAATTCATGCTTATAACACCTGGAAAAAAAAAACAAAACAAATGTAATCATGCAGCAAAAAGAGATGTATATATATAACACAAGAAACAGGGAAAAAAAAACATGTCAGCATGCACTAAACAGATAGCAGACTTTGGTTGTAGGATGAGAAAAGCTTTGCAAATTAGAGTTCATCGAATAGATTAGAAAAGATGCAGAAAATTTAAAATTAGTTACAGAAAACAACTGTATTAGACAATTTTAGACCTACCGTGCATAAACTATAAATAAATCACGAGCAAGAGGTCTGGCTTGTATTGTTCCAAAAAACTCCAAGGCTGGCCTCTGCATAAACAAGAAAAACAATCTAGGATGGTTCAAGAGATTGACCAATCAATAAGTACTGCTGCTTATTGAGAAGGTAATCTATAAAAATTAGACAACGCAATCACCTTTTGCCAGATATGAAATAGGACAAGGTAAACAAGGTCAGTGTCACCGCTTTCAGTTGCCTTCATTAGTGCTGTATCTTCCTCCGAAATACTTAACAATAAAGGAACCTAACGTGAAAAAATATAATCAGTAATCTCTCCGAAAAATAGCCATCTCTTCAAAAGAACAACAATAACAACCATTAAATATATATATATATATATATATATATATATAGAAAAAACCTGTTTTGAGGAGCGTGGTTCATGATCAACAAGCATAGCAGCCAACTTCCGGCGGCCACTCCTATCTGCATGAGCAGCAACAGCTGCATAGGATATGCCCTTGCATAATTTCAGCTGCAACCCAAAGAGCATCATCTCAGATCTTGCATTGACATTACAAGAAGAAAAGAAGAAAAGAGCAGTTGACTTCCAGAGTTTTTGAGGTTAACCCAACAACAATAAAAAGCACAAACCTTATCAAGTAAGATTTCAAGGAGGGCTGCATCAGGAATCGCTAATGAAGCTGTTATCTTTGCGCATGCCCAATGCATTACAACTACTTCCTATATAAAACCAATCAGGAAAAGGTAAATGCACATATAAATGATTTGCATTCTAGTGCTCCTAGAAGGCACACAAAGAACATAGCACTGTGGAAGTCCAAGCATTGGCTGTAGTCACAAAATGCATGCAAACACTAGGGGCAACAAGCACTCAGTCACATAAACAATCACCAATAAATGGCTCTAATGTTTCCTGATGACGCAACCAAGGAAGAGAAATTAATAAATTATTTTGATTAAAAATTTTATTTTGAGATTTCTTGCAAACTTCATAATCTATTTAGGATTTTATTTACATAGAAAATGAATACTATTTAGGAAACTTAGCTTATTAGGAACAACAATATTAAGTAGGAGTTTTCTAGTATACAACTACTAGAGTTTTGGTGCCTGTAAAATAGCCTATTCTATGTAATGTAGGGCTTCAATAATGGAATGATGAATATATTTTAATTTAGTTTGAGGGTTGTGGCCTTGTGTTCTTTCTTCCTCTCCTCTTTTCTCAACAAATCTTCTCTGCTATTTCTTATTGCTAAAGTAATCTCAGTGATAAAAGTTAGAAGGAAATGGGTTTTGGGATTGCTGGAGCAAATTTGTAGAGAATTATGTGGAGAATGTGAGTTAGCAATAAGGACACATGGATGACACATAGGATGAAAGGAGGAGAATGTGAAACACGTGTGTGAGCTGTTAAACGATGATGTGGCTGTTTGTTATTCGATTGTTAGGATTGTTGTTAGCCTAACTGCCACAGAACTAATGAGGGAAGAGAGAAGCTTAGAATTCATTCTTGGCAATCTGTTTATTCTCCCTCTGTAATTTCTCCCTAGACTACTTTCTGTTTTCTGCTTCTTTTCTGTTCTTATTGTAAACTTGCATTGTGATTTTGTATTGTTGATTCATTTCTTGAATAAAAGTTTTCCATTCATATCAATTAGTAGACTCTTGCAGATATGTCGTAGTTCTTCACTGTGGAACTGGAAAATTGCATCACTTGGATTACGTTCTAGTTTCTACAGCTATAGTAACAATCCCAGATCCTCCCAAAACACTTCCGTAATGAATCATAATTTCACATGCATCAAACCCTAACCCTTATTCCCACCTAAAATTCCTAATTCTCCGAGCTTGGCTCACCATGACTCTTTTGTAGAACACCAAACCTAAGCTGTCCTACATCAGTTAAACAGCAAGGTTGGTAGCATCTGTGATATATCAAAATTTACCCAAATGGAATGTTACTAAAAATTAACACTTAATTTCTTCTCATCAAAGAAATTAGGTCAAGGTTCACTCTTAAGGTTTGATTTTTGGAAGAGCAACAATATTGCCAGAGTCCCAGAAAATACAGCAACGAAGAGACGATTTATGATTCACACTTACTTGATTCATTCCAAGGTATTCTGTTATCCGCAGTGCAAGAAGATGTTGGTGAGCATTAATCAAACGACCAATCAGAACAGGTGCTGAAAGCAACTGACCGCAAAAAGTTTATTCAGTATCATATTGACACGCAATTAGTAAGTTCGGATTTGACATTGGTAACTTTAGTCAGGAAGCATTAGAAACCTTATACTGCTCAATGCTTAGAGGGATGCCAATCTCAGGGTCGCGCACAGCGTTTAAGACCCGCAAAGTTTTGCACATCTCTTGAATGCGGTCACGTTGGAAATTGCTGCCAAAGCCAACTGGATATCAATGCCGATAACAGAAATCAGAAAAGACAAGGAAAATGCTACTTTAAGGTCATAGATGCAACAAATTATAATCAAGTAAATGACCACAACTTGGATATTGCCATACAAAGAATACAAGTCATTCATGAGAAAAGTAAAGTCCACGATGGTCCCATCAAGAAGCAACTCTTCCAAATGGAAATTTCTACCACAACAGCCTCAGGCAGCAATTTCACCATGTCTCTGGTAGTGTATAGGAAAATAAAAATGCAATTTGGATTTGAAATCAATCTGGGTGAGCCAGAAAGGAAACCATAATTTGTTTCACAAAAATATAATTTCATGTCATCACATCAGGTACACACAACTATGGAGTATATAATAAGCTCATAATCTTTTTTCGAATCAAAATCACCTGCAAAAGGCTTGACCATAGCTTGCAGCTCTTAGTAGCGTCCGCTGTCGGGAAACATCAAATTCATGACCAGCAGCATCAACACAGGCTTCAACAGCCTCGGGCAAGGATGCACGTATCAATCTCAAATTCTCATCAGCCTGGTAAAAACAATGGAAGTTAGAAATTTCACAAAAGAGATTATTGAAACTCATAACCCAAATGGTTTATGTGGGCAGCACACCCATTTATAGACCACAAATGCAAGCAAGAACTCTACAACGAAATATGCAAACATTTTAAGCAAGTGATCCACTGATTTATAAATCTAAATAAGACAGTAAAGTATCTCTGTTTGCAAAGCAATGAGATAAGTACCTTAGCACTTCGCCTGTCAAAATGATCCAAGGCGTCAAACAGTAGTGATGCAGGCGATGTGCTTCCTATCTTAAATATAGAAACAGTCGAATCAGGCACCCGTTGTACAAATTCCATACTTGTATTCGACAATATCCTCACTCCATCACACTCAGGGATAAGAATCACAGGTTCATCGTAAATATATGATACAGAATCCTCAGAAGGCCCCACCATCAAAAGCACATCATCCCAATAAAGCAATACACTATCCAATCCACACCAAGCCATTTGCTCTGGTGGAAGGGCAGACTGCACACGTATCAACACAAATTAATTAATAAAAACTAAACATGAATCACTCCTTACAATCAAACCAAATACAACATAAATTACCTCACATTGATACTTAAAAAAGTCCCTAAACTCCATATTCATAACAACAAGTCTTCCATCATGCATAAAGCATGCCAAAAACCTCCCATTGCGAGAAACAGCAATTTTCTGCACAACACCACCAACTTTTTCCTCATCAACAAACCTCACCTCATCCTCGTCAACAATCACAATTCCACTTCCTACTCCTAACAAGACCTCCACATTGCCCGAAACCGTATACTGCGGTTCAATAACCGCCATACAATGCGGCAATTCCTCATCTCCAATCCCTATTTCTGCAAGCTTACACGGCCTAATCTCCTTAAAATCAGGAACACAGAACAACTTCCCAGCTTCCGTCAAGCACACGACGCCGTTCCCCCAAAACACACAATCCACGACATTCTGTTCAAAGCAATCTTTTCCCATGGAGAAATTAGGTTCTAGACACTCACCGTGGACGTTGTAACGGTAGATCGTGCCATCCTGGACTATGCAAATTAGGGTTTGGTCTTCGGTCCATGACATGCCGATCAATCGGCCGCCGGGGTGTTTCCATACGGTTTCGGAGAGGAGAATACCGGCGGAGTTAAAAATTCGGAGTTTCCGGAGAGCGGATTCGGCGTAGAGCTGGACGATTTTGGAATCGTCGCGGATTATAGCTATTGGACCACCGAATGGAGCGCAGGCTACTTTATTGCGACTTAAGTCTATGTGTTTCCATCGCATTGGGTAGAGTTCGGGTTTTCGATAGTACCGGTTTCTTAGGAGTTGCCATTCCGCCGCGACGGAGACATTTGCCATTGGAGAGGGAGAATTTGGCGAAATTAGGGTCTTTGATTTGTTAATTACAGAGGTTTTGATGCTGTTTCGTGTTAGAATAACGATCTGATCATGTTTTTCTTCTTCGTTTTTCAAAAGCACGTCATGCCGATCAGGATCTATTACAATTATTTTATCCAAATAATTTGTAGCTCCGAGTGAAAATGGGTTGCGTATCTCTTTTCGAACAAACCCGACCCTAATCTTTTTCTTTCAGATATTTTATAAGGTTCAAACGTCAAAGTTCTCGATGGGCTCATGTTTGGGCGTTGGGCTCCTGGAGTCGAGTTGAAATATTAAAACAAAACAGGCCCTTATTCGACATGAGATTTATTCTTCTATTTGAAAACGTGACAGTAGTAAAATTTTGATCGTGCAAAACAGAAGAGCAAAAATATGAGATTAGGGAATTAATTACACATAATATGTATTACCCCAAATAAAAAAATGTTTTCGCATAATATGCTGATAATATGTTATCGAATTATTAATATACAATTGGAATGAATTTAGCATTGGAGTACAAAATTTGGTCAAAGACATCATTATTTTTCTCATAAATGTTAAGGATGGCTAGAAGTTATGATTATGATTTCATCTTTTTTTCTTCTTTTTTTTGAAAAAATCTTAATCGATAAGCCAAAAAATAAAAAATAAAATGTGACAGTATATATTCTATTCCGGAGCTGGTTTCAATTGTCTCCAATGTAAGAATAATAAATTCAAGATCTCTCCTTCGAGATATGGTAAAAATTGAGTTCTATTAAGATATTAAAGTGGAGATTGGTCAGGTATCGATGGAGTTGGACAAAACTATTGTCATTAAAAAATAAAAATTGAACGAAATACTCGTTAAATATCAGCACCGGATGCACTAATCAAGTATTTTATCTGTTTTTATGATAAACAGTCGAATCAATCATTAAAATTTGGAAGAGCAACATGAAATCATTAAATTTTTAATGACAAAACTATTATCATTAAAAAATAAAAATTGAACGAAATACTCGTTAATCAGCATCGGATGCACTAATCATGGATTTTATCTGTTTTTATGAGAAACATTCGAACCAATCATTAAATTTTGAAAGAGCAACATGAAATCATTAAATTTTTAATGACAGAACTATTATCATTAAAAAATAATAATTGAACGAAATAATCTTTAATCGGCATCGGATGCACTAATCAAGGATTTTATCTGTTTTTATGAGAAACATTCGAATCAATCGTTAAATTTTGAAAGAGCAACAAGAAATCATTCTCATTGGTTGCATGGTCTTGTCATTTTCGCTATCAGCCACCCAATTCTGTTAAAAACTCCAGTCTTTTTAGCATCTTTGCAATCTCTTTACATAAAGCGTTCATTCAATAGACCTCCATTGACATTTGCTCTTTCGAAAATAATAGAGTTGGTTAGAGAGTTCATATCAGCGAAAAAAAAACCTTTTTTCTTTGGACAATCACTCACTTGATTATTCTTCAAAGCCACTTTGTCAAAGAAATATTCCATCCACAACACCACCTAGGTTTAAGGTTTTCCTTGTATTCTTATCTAGATATCCTCTAGTCTCTACGTTCCAAGATCCAAATATAAACTTAAAGCAAATGAATGGGTTTTACCATTTTCAACGCTATTTTTCAACTAGTATGAGCTCATACTAGTTGAAAAATACATTATGATTTTCTTTCAACTCAATGATTATATGGGTAGACAATGCTGTTGTATAACATGTGATGTGTCACACAGTCCCACAAAATGGCATGATTGGCTCATGTTAAGTATGCATATCATGGACCCATTTGATATCCAGTAATAAAATGAAAATTTGGTGACTCTTGTACTTCCATAAAACAAAGATTAGCAAGAGCAACAAAAATGTAATGTTTTCTATCTAATTAATGACACTAATTATTCTAACAAGTGTTGCCATTAATCAAAACTAGTTCCAATGCTAATATGAGCTTATTATATTTATAATGATGATTATTACCGCTGGAGTTTTTGATTGTATCCTTATTATCGCAGCAAGCTTATATTATTACTTTATATAGGTATGTGATCCACATGATTAGTATTGATCTTCTGGTTGTGTCCTTGTAAATGTTTAGGGTTTAAAACATGCATGTGTCATCCATTATACTTTAATCTGAATGGTGATGGTTCAGATCTTAGCTAGCAAGAGTGGATATATACATCCAGAAATGGTGGCATGGGGGGTGGGTGGAAGGGATCACATGCAAAACAGATTAGAGGCTACTATCTGTCTCTTTCTTTAGGAATTAATTAACAACGTAAAACTGGTAGAGACTCCAAATCTTCATCATGAACTCGAAGAAAATCAGTTGCAGTACTTGATAAGGGAAGGACCACTTCAGCTACGTGCAATCACTGCTAGATTTGTCACAACTAAAAAGTTGTATAGATGGGCTAACTTGTCTCGGATCACCTTTCTTGTTATGAGAATTGCTACTATGTACATTTGTTTAGTAACTCTTTTTTAGTTAAGTGTTTGTCAATACCTAGAGAAACTCATCCAGATTTGGTTAATCTGTACCTGTTATATATTTAACAGGTTGTGCTGGTCTGTAGGACGATAATTATGAGAAAAAGCCTACCAGAACAACAAGGGGCAAAAATGATGGTTGTCTATGAAATCATCTGTTTCAGTGAAAGCCAACTAGCCAAATAGGTTGTTTATTTAAATGCCTACAAACCATTATTATTTAGCAATGAAGTTTTACTACAAATGCAATCCAAAATCATCTTTTCTTTTATTAAATAATTTTTTTTTCGTTTTTGGGGTTGGTGTATTGGTTATTTCTAGCATGCCATTATGCTATGCTATACAGATACCCAGTAGTGGGAAGCAGAAGATAGTGTCTGCTAGTGTAACCTGCCAAGACTCACTTTATAAATTCAAACTTTTGTCCTCCATTGAAATCTGACCTTCCTTTTGCTCTGTAATTCTACATTCCCTTCCAATAAATCAAAAAGGTCTGTCAAAGTGAACCCCACTTGGTTGAAATTGCAATCCATGCCCATTCCCCACTTACCCTTTTCTTACTCAAATCCTCCCACCTAAAAGCATCAACCTCCATGCAATACATAGAGTTCTTTATTTAAAACATCCTCTTTGTCTTGGTTAAAATAAACTTTCATCCTGAGATTCCAAAATTCTACATACATTTGAGCATTACAATTTCTTGAAATAACATTCTAGAAGCTGGCCTAGTGGGTGTATTTGTATGCAGCAGGCAGGCAGGGAAAGGTGAAATTACTGGCAAATTAGTACTGCTGTTTTTGGAGAGAAGTCATAAAGCCGAACCTCCATTTTATTGTAAGAAATACATCAAGAACGCATTCAGTTGCGCCACTACTCCATTTTTTCTATCTTTACATCATTTTAATTAATGCACTATACCACTTAATCTCCAACTGAAGTTCAAGGTATCAATAGAAGAAAACGAATTACAGAAAGTCCTTGGCTGTGCTTCTGAAGAACAATGCAAATTCTGCAGAAACTGGTTTCTTTCACCATCTATGCGAATCTTGTTATTCTTCTTCTTGTACCATTTGTCAAATCATCTCAAGAACTCTTGAAAACAACAGGCAGTCATACTAGCAGCAAGAACATCATTCATAAGGTATTCCATTTTTTCTTATGGTTGTTTTTTGTTAAAGTTCTTATTATCAAACTCTGAAGTTTGTTGAGAAGTATCATTTTCAGTGCTTGCTCTCTTTTTTTCAAAGTATTTCTTTATACGCATGCCAAGTTCAACTCAGTTATACAAACTACCCAGTTTTCATCTTGTGGTATCAATAAACTGACTGATATTTTGTATTATTAACATTTAACAGTTAAGTCCTAAACTGCTGTTTGAGATTACACTCCATGGGTTTCTCCTGTGGGCCTCAATGGGATTCCTGATGCCTGTTGGGATAATCGCTATCAGAATGTCACACAGAGAGGCATGCGGAAGAAGGCTTAAGATTCTTTTCTATGTTCATTCTATTTCACAGGCAGGGTTTTTTTTTTTTTTTTTTTTCAACTATGTTCAAACAATCCTCTAATCTTCCCACAATTAAAATTAATTTTTTACCTTTTAGTTTATTTTACTTTAATTTCATATGGCTAACAATATCTCTACAGAGTTACAAAAAGATATCACTAAAGCTTTGAGATTTGTTTATTTAAGGTAGATACCCCACTCTTTAACTTTTAATGATGGTGAAAGAGAAATAAAGTAGAACAGTTTGCTGATTTGCAAGTATTAATATGTAGCCCATAGTTTGCTGTTAATCTCATTATTACTTGAGAGGGAAGTAAAGACACTGATGATAAATTAATAGTTTGATTGGCAATTTATAGCTTTATGATCTTAATTTAGCATAATTATGACATTAGGTGTCACTAGGCCAATCACAAAGGAATAGGTAAAGCCATCTTACACACAAGTGAGAGGATAACAACTTTATTTCTTTTTACCACATGAAAATTCTGTAGAATTTCTGTATTGAATGAGTAATTTGTGTTCTGCAGATGCTCTCTGTACTTCTCTCCACAGCAGGAGCAGTAATGTCTGTAAAAAACTTCAACAACTCATTCGACAACCACCATCAACGAATAGGCGTAGGCCTATATGGTATAGTATGGTTACAAGCCCTCATTGGGTTTCTACGACCGCGGAGGTAAGCTATCAAAATTCATTGAATTTTGATATTCAGATTTTAGGCTATTCCAACCGATTCAACTGCACTCGGCCATTTTCAGGCCTGCTAGTTGAAATCCCCTGAGGGTAGACCTATCAGTTTCCCATATATATAGTAGGAAGGGCATGCTACGTTTACTACCAAGTATCTCAAAATGATGTTTAGTCATAGGAAGTGCTGAGAGGACATATTGGACTGATAATGGGGAGTTCTTATAAAATGTACAAACCTCAATTAGCTAAGAATCTGAGTTGATGTGTAATGTCTTTAATCTACAGAGGATCTAAAGGAAGAAGTTGGTGGTTTTTTGTGCACTGGATAACTGGAACTGCAGTATCTCTGCTGGGAATCATCAACATATACACAGGATTACAAGCTTACCATCAAAAGACATCAAGAAGTATACATCTTTGGACTATAGTTTTCACCACTCAGGTCTCTTTCGTCATCTTCTTTTACCTGTTCCAAGACAAGTGGGTTTATATACAAAAGCAAGGAGTCATTTTGGGTGATGAACCAGTGAGGCCCACTCATCAAGTAATTTCTCCAGGAGAAAAGCAAAAGGGATCAGCAACTGACTCTTGTTGAGAAAGTAGATAAAATGCCTTTGAAAGAAATTATGGTCCGACGATAATAGGATTTTGAAAGGGAGAACTTGGATTTGTTACAAAACAGAGAATTATTTTCACCCCTAATTTTCCTGATCGCTGGATATTCTCCACTGCGAAGGACCAGTATTTGGAAGCATTGAAGATTGGATAAGAGACTTCTTGCCAGTATTAATAAGATGGATTGTGCATTTTTTTGATGGACTTCCTTTTCTTTTCCATTTTTATTTTTATTTTTCATTTTTGGTGAACTACTAGTGTTTAACATTTGTAAATTTGTAAGTAAATTTCTTGACCATGTTGGGATTTTAGTGTTGTATCCATGGTCAAGTGAACTATAAATACAGTTTTCTGATATTTGACTGGTTTGATACTAATTTAAGATCTTGTGGAACAGATATCCTAGCTTTGTGTTTGTCCAGAGGACGAATCCGATCTGGTAAATGGTAGTTTAGTTCAGATGAAAGCTGTTGCTGTTTTGTTTCCATAAAGGCCAAGAGAAAAGAAAAAGAAACTAGGACCTGACAATAATCATCAAGCTCTATATTCCTCTTTACTCTCAGACATCACAATGTATTGTTAATGATTGCCCTCTTTTACAATCCCACCATGAGCGAAAGGATCTTTTGTGTTTGAAACTATTAAAGAGCCTTGCTTGGAACAACTAGGCAACTAAGTACGTCATGGTGAACTTCTCCCATTGAACTTGCTTGGCATATAAAATTGTTACTTAATGTTAAGATGATGCGCAGTTGGCAAAGTTTCTGCAGTAAGGGCTATATTGGCCGGAGTGCAGGATTGATATGTTGTGAAAGAAAAACTCAAATTCAAATTAAAGCTGACCTCGTTCAGAAACGATTAAACGAAACGAAGAATCACACACAGGGACAGTAAATCTTTGTCCTTCCAAGGAAATGGCTTGAAGCAAGAAGTGGGGAATAGGAGAAATATCTCTAGCATTAAGGAAAGGAATTTCCCCAGAACATGCCTAAATTGAAAAGGCAATAACCAGAGAAGCTGCTCTGGTATTCTGTTAAAAATAGAATGATGAAGAAATTGGAAATGAAGGGAAGGAAACATCGTCGCCATTGGCTGAGCAGCCTACATGGTTTCTAAGGAGCAGATTGATGAACCAGAGAAATTAATTTCTCTCGAAATGCGAGTCTCGCTGTCTAAAAGTTGAACATTGTCCTCGACAAAGAGTAAGATCGACACTTTCAAGGTTCTAAAGTTTAAGTGTTATTTATGAATTCAATTTCTTTATGCAGAAACTTTCTGAAAATGCATAATAGCCATGAAATGTGAGTGGAAAGTTCTCTCCAGTTTCAAGTCAACATTCACCACTGATGCAGCTTGTAGCTTTCAACAACCCATCACACATTTTAGAATAGTACTTCGTCACACCTTCATGGCAGGCAAGAAAATGAGGGACAAGAAACTAAGTCTGTGAGTGATTTATGGAAAATCTCGAGTCAGATATGGTTTAATACAATAAGACCTACCAAATCTTCAAATGACACGTACAGTCATCAATTATTAGTTGGTTTTAAAGAAGTCATCTTAATGCCATCACTGCCTAGAGAATTTAAAATTGTACATGGCATTATTTCAACAAATCCCTTGCTTCTTTCACCTTTGTCATCATTTCTTTCTGAAGATGCAAGATTTTGCAATGACTATAACAAAAGAACAAAACTTTATTTCAAATGTAATGATGGAAACACAGAAAATTTTCGTTTCTTCAGACATAATGGCACTCTAATGTTATCAACAGTTCATTCCATAGTCTTCTATTAACTTTTTGTTTTCCCTTAAGATGTGATAATTACTTATTACAAACCCAAGAAACTCAATAACTAACTAGCTAACAAGTAACAACATTATCTATACTGGAGTATCAAGCTATAATTTCTCTACGAGAATTTAAGAAACTATCTAAAATATCATGGAAAAAGCTGCACATAACCAGTTAATATGGCAATTCCTAAGATTATAATCGGCGGAAGAATTATGAAAGCTCCGATAGTGGCAAAGAAAACTGAATCATTCCTTTGAGATACTTCATTCAGGTAAGCTTGTCTTCTAATGTTTCTCTTCTGCGAAACAGTTAGGAACTTGGTACTAACCTTCTTCAAGTTTTTTTACCCAATGAAATGGTGAAATCATCATCTCTATCTCCAACCAATCGCGCCAGCTGCTCACGAATTGTAATTTTACCAGAACTACCATCACTCTCATATCCTGATCATGAAAACAAGTAAAATTTCTCGTAGTTTATTAGTTTAACTATTGCTGATCTGAAATGAATGGCACAAACTTGCTGTGATATATATATGTAGAGATAAAATTCGCATACCATCAGCGGATGAGCTGGTAGAGGTGAGTTGTTCTAAGAGATCGAGCTGTGTGCGTGTGGAAGACAGAGACCCTTCAATGGAAAAACATCAAAATCACACAATAGGATCAATCGCCAAATCCTTATCCAATTCCAAAAAGTTTTAACAAGAAAAAAAAAGATAGACAGAGAAGAAGAAGAAGAAGGCTTTTTCATATACTTTGCTAGTCTATTTCCAAAAACCTTGCAATTTTCTCGGGACCAGGACTGGCACTCTGGCAGTAAAAAACATGTTACAATTAAGGGCTCTGAGTTATTCTCCTGCTTTGGAATTTTTTATGGACTTGTTTTTGTGGCTGAGAGAGTCCTAGGAGTGAATACTAGAAAGTTTTGGCTCTATATTATGAAATATGAGTAGAACTGCCTTGAAGAAATGCTATAAGAGAAGAACAATTGGAGACATACCTGAAAAGGAAAGAGGATCTTCTTCTGTAACTCCACTTCCAGCACCTTCTGATCGAGCAGATGCTTTAGTACAAGAAAAGGAAGAAGAAGGGTAGAGCTTGAAGAGGCACTTGTGCTTTGGGATTAGAAATTGAGGAGGACTGGTGGTAGAAGAAGATACTTGGGAAAGAGAGGAGGCAGCGAAATTCAAGGCCATGGGATTATTATATCTTCTGTTTTGGCAAAATCTACGAGCTTTCAAGTTTTCAGTTTTGCTTCCGTTTGTTTACTTTGTAATTGTGAGGCTGTAATAATTCAGTCGCTGCTTTCAATTTTCAAATTTCTCTTCTATTATTGCCACCTGAAATATTTATTTTTTTCCCTTTTTTTTTTTTTTTGTCAAATAAATAAATTGGCCAGACCGCCAGACTCAGAAGAGCTCTCTTCCACAAATATCAGTTGTTATGGGCCTTGGGAAGGAGTCCTCTGCATTGAAACCCACCCAGTTGTTAGTTCTCCAACCATCTTAATTTTTTTTTAAAAAAAAAATGTTGTCAAAATTTTAAAAACTAAATTAAAAAAAAACCATATCCATGTCCAGCCGGACCAGAATGTTCGAGAACATGTAATTTTAGCAATTCAAATAACAAAAAAATAGACACCTTTCCATACTGTCATTTTGGATATTTGAGATGCCATTATGGATATTTTTATAAATAAAATGCTCTTATGAGAAATTTTAAAACATTCATGAAATAACTAATAATATTTATTTCATGAATTAACTTTAAAGAGAGAGACTAATACAATAAATAAATAAATAATATTTGAATCCAAAAAAAATTATAAAAATATTTTTTATTCATTTTAGTTTTAATTTTAATTTTTAATCTTTTCATACTTTATCTGATATTTTTTTACAATAATTCACGGTTAAGTATATTATATATATAACATATTGAATTACAATGATTCACATTAAAATATCAGATTGATTAATAGGTGGGGATTCGAAGATGGACGGATTGGAGATGTCCTATCTCATTGTCTCAAATAAGAAAATGGCTTCCTTCTCAATAATACATGTTTTTTTTTTTTGTTCATTTTTGTCCTCAAAATAAATAAAAATTGCATAAGTAACCTGCATAATTTTACCTTAATCCTTGTATTTCCAACTTCTATTATTTATTCGTCCATCTTTGTCGTTTAGTTTCGTAAACAAAAACACCTCACGAAAATAATAAAACAATAAAAAACAAGTTTGTTAAAAAAAGGTATGATCTTATAATTTTATTATTTGAGTTAAAACAACAAGCTTTTGTCTCATGAAAACATAAAAAGATTATAGTTGTAATAACATTACAAAAACGATTTTCCTTCCATTGCAAATTCCACTCATTTCCGAACATATAAAATAATCTATCCCCAACATTCATTGATTATTCCTCTCACTTTCCCTTCATCCAAACATAAATTTATTGCCTTTGACTTTCCTTTCTCCCTCACTTCTCTTTCCTCCCTCGCCAAAACAAACTGTTTAACTCGTCAAGATCCAATCAAAACATCATGCATATCCTACTGTACAGGTAATCCATCCAATGGACATAACGCTAAAGATCCCAGAAAGTTCCCTTCTCCTAAATACCAAAAATACCCCTATTGACTTCAGGGACCTTTACTTTTTGCGGAAGATAAAGCCCCTGGGAAGGAACCTGACTTTCCTTTTCCCTATAACTCCACAGGCTTTCACACGAAAGGATGGAGGACACGCTCCCCTCTAAAGTCTCCAAGGGATAAAACAGTCATTTGAACAGAAGCCGACAGCGTAGTGAGAGAAAAAATATGACCGTTGGAGATGGGGAGTCCTGAAAAAACCAGGCGTTAGTCTTTCGAATATTGTCATTATTTTACTTTTTAATTTGAAAAAACAAAAACATCATTAGAAGAAATTGAATTATATAGGAGCAGTAGTGTTGGCGATAGAAATTGAATCAGAGAGAGAGAGAGAGAGGAGAGAGAGAGAGAGAGAATCAGATACCATGTAAGCAAAGCTGAACCAGTTTAAAAAGCTGGGAATCAGATACCAACCAAAACTCTCCTCAATCTCAACCTCAGCAAAACCACACATACGCCATTTCCTTCTCTCACAATCTTGTCTGTGTCTCAAGAAACCAAAGAAGACAAAGAAGAAGAAAAGATATAAAACGACAATGGCGAACAGTAGTGGTGAAGTACAAGAGCGGGGGATAGTGGTGGTGCAAGAAGAAGCACACCCTTATGCGTTTCATGTTTCTGGGCCTCGAAATGTAGCTTCTCCTAATTGGAGAGATCTCATCAATTCTAGTTGGTCAGTATTATTATTACCACTGCTACTCATTTCTTTCTTTTTATATCAATGGTTTCTTTCTTTCTTTCTTGCTTTTTTTTTTTAATTTTTGGTTCAAATAGTACGTGGGTCCTGATGGGTTTTAGATTTGAATAATCAGAAACAGAGAACATGACATAAATGGCATCTGAGTTTAAGATACTCATGTAGTAACTTCCTTATTTATGTTGCCTGATTATACGTTCATGGTTGTGAACTTATAATCAGGCAACATAATACAACATGATGTCTGTGTCCTATTTGTCATGGATGGTAATTCATTCTGGATATTTTTGGAAAGTTTTGTCAATCGGGTGTATCTTTGGTTGCATTTAGTCTACTGGATTTAAGGGCCTGGAATTTTTTTGCATTTAACTAGTGGTATAGACTAAAAACGAGCCTTGCGACGAGACGCGGACATTCCCATGCTGCGGATCCCTCCGGTTCTTGTGAACTCCTATTCGTTTTGCTAGGGGATTGTCAATTGTTTAATCACGTAATGAACTTTGAGACTTCATCATCACCGGGATTCTACATCAATACCCAAAAAATAAAAAATATTTCTTTGGGACCAAATTACCGGGATTCTTCAAATTAAAAATCCCTGTGAATGCAGTCGTCTAGAACAGAACAAGATTTCTAATAATAGAGGTCATTGCATCTTGGACTTCTACGGGCTAATTGGTTAATTAGTTACTTCTGGAGATCATTGATGGCTACTAAACTTTGTTTTTGTTCTTATGCTGTTTATTCAACAGTGATCTAAATAATTGTTCCTGTAATTTCTTTGAACAAGAGTATAGGGCAGAGCGGAGAGCAAGGGAAAGACTAGGATTTCTGAAAGTTTGTCCAATCCTGGATTTCTAGCCCGTTTTGAGTGATAGAATGGATTAGAAAAAGGAGCAAAACACTAATTGATCATTTGTCATTTGGGTTAAGAAGAAATGAGGCTGGGGCCTTTGTTGGGTTGGGGGGTGGGGTGTGGGGTTTGTATTCTGTATAGATGATAATTTTGTGATCAATCAGAAATTCCTGGTTTTGTGAGGCAGTATCATGCCTTATTCTGCTAATCCACAAAGTGCCATATTTTTTCTTATTGTTGCTGAGAAAATTGGTAAATGGTTTTAATTTCGAAATTGTGTGACCGGATCATCATTTTGTTGCATCTCACTTGCCTCATTTTGTTTTATTTTTCTTCTCCAGTTATGATTAAAGCTCAATCATTCATTGACATACAATTTAAAGTAGGAACTAACTTATTAGTGGTTTTCAATCAGTAGGAACATACCTACCTACAGAAAGTTGCCTGCAATCTATTCTTAGAATACCTCAACTTTCATCCATATCCTTGATAATTTGGTTCTCAGTTCTCACAGATGATTTGTGTACTATACAGGAAGAATGAGAACTACAAGCGAACAGTATTTTCATGCTTCATTCAAGCAGTTTATTTGCTTGAAATTGACAGACAAGAGAATAGAGCAGAAGAAAATGCACTTGCTCCAAATTGGTGGCGAAGCTTCAAATACAAATTGACCCAAACCTTAATTGATGAAAGAGATGGATCTATATTTGGTGCGGTACTAGAATGGGATCGAGCTGCAGCAATAGCTGACATGATCCTTATCAGACCTAGTGGAGCACCAAAGGCTGTTTTAGCACTTCGAGGAACATTACTCAAAGGCCCTACAATCCGGAGGGATATCGAAGATGACCTCCGTTTTCTAGCCTGGGAAAGTTTGAAAGGTTCTGTCAGATTCAAAATAGCATTGGAGGCTTTAAAATCAGTTGCTGAAATGTATGGAAGCAGCAACGTCTGTGTTGCTGGTCATTCCTTGGGGGCTGGTTTTGCTCTCCAGGTGGGAAAAGCATTAGCTAAAGAAGGTATGTATGTAGAGGCCCATTTATTTAACCCACCTTCTGTTTCTATGGCAATGAGCTTAAGAAACATAGGAGATAGGGCTGGGTTTGCTTGGAAGAGATTTAAGTCGATGCTTCCTTCAAGTTGTGAAGCTCAGGCCACCAGTGATGAGGGAGAGAAGAATTCTACTGTAGGATTGAGAAACTGGATACCTCTTTTGGGTTATAAAACTTCTATGGGATTAAAAAATTGGGTGCCTAATTTGTATGTGAACAATAGTGACTATATCTGTTGCTCCTACACTGACCAGGATGGAACTGAAGGTAAAGAAGCTAATAAGGAGAATGCAGGTCCTGCAAATGGGCAAGTTGCAGCAAAACTGTTTGTTATGTCTAAGGGAAAACAGAAGTTTCTTGAAGCTCATGGATTAGAGCAATGGTGGTCTGATGACGTGCAACTTCAACAGGCTCTACATAACAGCAAGCTCATAAGCAGGCAGCTGAAATCGTTGTATACTTTCCCAGCCGCTCAACCAACGCAGCGAACGCCTCAATGACATAAGATTGTTGCTTTCATTATTTGCTAAATAACTCATTTTTTCATACTTTGTTTCTGGAAACGTATCAAATCCAAGCATGGAAGGGTAAATGTTTACCTGCATTTTTCATTATGTAATCTGTTCTTTTTTTTTTTTCTTTTTATATTTCGGTACAATAATCTGTTGTACCAATAATACTAGTGGATTAGTGGAGGTTTAATGGATTAAAAAAAAACAAGAGAGCTGAAAGAGTAGGCGAAGATATCTTTCAAGAACTTATAGAGCTGAGGGGCCTAATCAGACCGTATTCTAACAAGCGAAGCCCAGTGATGGATAACGTGTTCATTACACAGTCTGGATTCTGTTACCCTTTTCTCATCTTCCACTTCTTCTCAAATCCTCTTAATGATCCGATGCCAGTGCTTTTAGCAGACCCGGCTCCAGGCCAAGGCAATACCAGGCACAACGGCTTTAGCGAAAGTACCAGCGAGTTAGCTGCTATCGGAAAAAGCGCAATATCCCCCGCCTAGAGAATAGACGATTTTCTCAAGCAAAAAATCTGATTAGGATTCTCTCATTCTCGAAAGAAAGTAGAAAGGGAGAGAAGGCAAATCGAAAGGAAGGACAAACTCTCAACTAATTTCTGACTTCTCTGACATCATTTTCAACTTGGATTCCCAAGTAATTGCATTTCATTTCCTGACCATGAGAAAAACACTCTTAACAAAAATAAGAAGATATTTCTGCTTGTAGAACTTCTCAGAGTTAAGAATGTTAGCGTTCTTTATGACAACTAGTTTACATCCAGTCGCGGATGGTTTTATAAAATTTATTTCGATACTTTAATTAATTATGAAAATTTATAATAATAATAATAATAACAATCAATACATATATTGATATAGAATCACTTATTTGAAAATTTTAATGAGTATTTAACTCAAAACTTAAATAAGATGATACTGCAAAATTCATTCATACCAAAAGCAACAGGTTTTTTTTTTACATTGTTATATGTATTCTATGGGCATTAAAAAAAGTTCGAAATTACAATTTTAAATCTGAAATTTTTATATAGAATAAGAAAATATATATTGTTGAATATCTCAATTTATATAATTAAATATTTTTTATTATATTTAACGAACATAAATATATTTTATGAAGCATGTCAGGCCGTAAAAATCACCAATAACTAAATATTTATTATTATTTAAAAAAATCTTATGTTCAATTGTAAATCTTTTTTTTTTAAAGGCCAATAGAACTTGATTTTTTAGTCTTTTATAATCAACACTATATTAATGATTATATAATAAAATTTTGACTTACTTTTATTGATTTTTATAATTTAAAGACTTAAAAATTTCTTATGATTAATTTTTTATTTCTTATAAGAAAAAATAATAATTTAAGAGTTCAAAAATATATAATGATTAATTCAATAGAAATTGTCTATCACCCAAAAAACTTAAAAAAAAAAATGGCAAATGCAAAAATTAGAAAGAAAAAGAAAAAAGTAAAGCGAGCCTACTACGTGTTCTGGCCAAGGCCTGCCGGCTCAGGGCTGGTTCACGCCAAGGCCAAGTGCTGCAGGCTCGCTTGTAATGGAAAATAAAAGGAAGGAAGCAAACGACGCATCACTTTCTCAAAAGACGACGCGTCGTGCAATTCACTTCCTTTTTTTTTCTTTCAAATTTTCAGTTGACAAAAATCTGAAAATTGTCGTGTTTCAAGGAGCCACTTTTTTGGCTCTCCACGTCCATTTGACTCAAAAACGTGTCAGAATCATCTCAAAAATATTTAAAAAATATTTTAAATTTTTAAATACGATCAAATCTATTTTAAAAATTAAAAATATCAAATCAAATCCAAAAACTCATTGATAAACTTTTTTTTAAGAATCGATATTATTTTTTAATCATTTAAGGTGCAAAAACATTTATCAACATACTATTATCATAAAGACTAACACACCGACACTAATATTATCGAATTATGTACGTGCTTTAATTGTGGATCATTAGAGATTTTTCTCTCCTCCCATCTTTCTCTTGTTTTCTCTTGCCTCTCTCTACATTCAAGGACTTGAATTTGACATGAGTCAAGTTCGGAGACTATTGCATAAAATTCTCAAACTCTGAAGACTAAATTGAAAGAAAGTTTCAATAAATTACTTAAAATTTATAACGAGGAAGCTCTCAATGGAAGTGAATAGTATGCTTCCCCACAAAGATATTCTACGAGGAAAACATAAGAAAGAGGATGTGGCGTGCTTGGAATGCCAATCCTAGTTGTGCAATTAGTCGTTATAATCTTTTATATATCACAGGCAAAGTACCATGGGAAAAGCCAGAGAGACAGATACCTTAGCAACAATCATACAAGATGAAATCCTCTTAGAATAATGGCTGTAGTCAGCATGATTCCCTCTTCTGGTTTATAACTACCATATTGCACGATCCAAATACCAAAAATGGATGTTTTTGTCATCAAATTTATGCATCTAGAAGATCTTCTGTTCGACGACTTACACAAATGCTTCCTGTATGATCCCAAGTCTCATGTCTTGTTTCTTATGGATCCGGTATAGTCTATCCAAACTCTGCATATGCATCGGTAGGAAAAACAATTGGTTTGAAATAGAAGAAGCAAGCAAGAGACTAAGACCACAAACTAGCATGGATTAAAGAGGTAAGAAATGATTTAGTATCTCAACAACTCAAGTAACTAAATTAAATCCAAAAAATATACATACATAGCGTATATGATTTTTTTCTTAACATATTAATGAAGTAATCTAGTTAATTCTATTATGTGCATGCCAATTCATGCTTCTTTTTTTTTAGTATATGTTGTCAAACTATACAACAAATGGATTGAATTGAAAATAAGTATTGTCCAATGCCGGATTTATTTTGCATCGTACAAGGATAGATATAGTTAGATATTCTAGCAAAATCAATGTCTTTACATCTTGTATTTATAATGTATTAAAAAAATCTGACTTGATAGATTTAAAATAAGGTCCACTAAAAGAAAACCTAATTATTATATTCTTTAGCCTTTATTAGTAAGTTGAAGTAGCGTAGTTGAACATAGATGACATGATATAATTCTAACCATCAAGAGTCATTTTTCTTTTATTATAAATATCAACTTCACGTTACTATGAAGGAAGATTTTAACTTTTTAGATATTTAATAAAACATTTAAACTCTTTTTTCTCTCTCTTAAAACTCTTTCACTCGACACATCGGATACCTAAAGCTCATTTTGTTTAGACTTTGATCATTCAACCGTCCGTCATTCGATTCGCACGTTGTTAGCTTGCATCTTTCCAGGATTGTCTACTCATTTTCTCACACTTACATCCATTTTATTTAATTATTTATTGTTATTTTTACAAATCATAACACTAGACTTTGTACTTTCACTAATCTATTGACCAAAAATCCTTCTCACTCACAAAGCAATGGGGAAAAATGATGCTGCTCTATCTCCACCGGAATAATAATACAGCAGCATGAAGGCCATATGACATAAAAAGCAAATAAATTTAACATAATATTTGGCTTTCTATATAAACAGAATATACAGGGAACTAATGATGCACAAAGGTTTCCCTATGTATCCATTCTATATACTAAGAAGTATGAACAAAAGGAAGATTTACATCACAAAGTAAAACCATGCACAAGTTTTGCCTTCTGCTGTTCTAGTGATAGAACAACCCCTTCACCATAGGCCAGATAATTCATAGTCATATATACTGACCTCTTCCAGCTGGTGAATCTGAGAATAACTGCTAGAGAAAGGATACTGCTCGATATCCAGCAGCAACGACTCAAAATCTTGACCTGTTAACACGTCTGTCTGTTGATTTGTTAATAGATGGTCTGATGTAACGTCATCGAAATGTAACTGATTGTAAGGTTGATTTAGTTCTTCAGGAACGGGGACTAACTGATTGCAAAACTTAAACGAATGGACTGATGCATCAAAGGATGTTTCCATGCTACTCTCAGGTTCTCCGTGATTGCAAGGTTGATTTAGTTCTTCAGTTAAAGAGACTAACTGATTGCAAATATCAAAAGAATCGACCGATGCATCCAAGGATGTTTCCATGCCACTCTCGTGCTCTCCTTGAGCTTCAACATTTACAATCGCAACATTCTCAAGCTCTGTTTGGTGTTTAGAGGGAGGTGGTGGAGAGGGAATTGTCCTTCCATTGCCAGTTAATTCTTGAACAAGCCTTTTAAAGCTGGAGCTGTCAGTGATGTAGATCTTTGGTCGCAAAACTTTTATCAAACTTCTGAGTTGATTGTTTTCATTCTTAGAAATCTTCATCGACGCTTGACTTACTTTCGTTCCCATAATTTCTATGTTCTTAGTTTGGAATCTGCACCGATTTCTTCGCTTAAGCGGAACATACTAAGAGCTATATATATGTATGAGGTTTAAGACCTGTACAAGAGACAGGACAAGGCACAGTTCGCCATTAAATTAACGATGCTGAAAATGATGTCGATATCCTTAAAATAAATTTTCTTATAAGAAATTTCCATCCAGCCACCCTCCGTTCTATATTATATTATGGCCTTTGCCTCTCTGTCTCTCTCTCATTGTCCGAGTGTGACACTCGACCAATCAAGGAAATGCTAGGGTTTGTATTTACATGGAAGGATTGGTCAATTCCGGTCCTGAAGCTGGTTTAAGGTGAAAGAAAGCAAAGATAAAATAATGCAAGTATGAGACTTTATTGGCACGGGCATGAGTTAGATGGGCATCGAGGGCACGCAGCCTACTATTCATAGACTCATTTTCTTTTGCTTGGTGCTTCTAGCCACATCCCATTTGAGACAGAGGGAGGATGTTGAAATTTGAAGGAAAAAAACAACTAAAGTCTGAGATTTATATTGTTAAAAAAACATTGTCAAGAAATACATTAATGTAATGGCCTGTTTTTATCAGACGCACGAGCACTGATAACTTCAACTCTTATCAATTGACATTCCGAGTTCTCTCAAGATACTTGGAATTTCGGTCTGGAAAAATTTTGATGTAATAACGGGTTCACGGTATGCAAAGGAAAATAAACCAAAAAAATTGGAGGAATATTAAAAGCCATCTGAGCTCTTTCCTGTTAAGTTCTATGTATCTGTTGGGGGAGCTGCCATAGGACAGAAGTGATCCCATCAGTTCTTGCTATTGAAAATACGAGTAAGTGTTGATATTCGATTTCTTTAAAACAACGTGAAAAGGATATGAAAGATGTCCCATCAGATGGAATGTGTCATTTTTTGTTTCCACATCGAACGTCAAATCAAGATCTCGAATTTTGGCGTTCACTGTCTTTTTGTAATGGGAAACGAAAACGTGGGGACAAATTCCCTCCAATTAATTATGAAGTTAAGCCTGCTGTAAGTCACCTTCTGTGCCTAACTTTAATTAGGCAATACTTCTAAAATTACACATCATCAATTGCTTAATCATATATGCTACAGCTACTCCTCGATGTAGAAAGGCTGCTACTGCGATTACTCGTGATTCTGTGAGAAGATATATCCTGATCTTTCTCGTTGGATAGTATTTATCCATATGCGAAATGATTCATTTTGTAACTAGATTCATATGAGATTTCTGCCATAACCAGTGTTTAGCATACCCATTTAGACCATGTCAGCAATGGCAATACGTATTAATCAGTTATTTATTTTTGTGCAAATCTTTAGTTTCGTGTACATATTTCTCCTATGAGTATCAATTTAATCTTTTTTGAATAATAAATAAAGTTCTAGCCAGATATATAGTCTCATAGGACTTCAAAGCTAAGGATGCTTTGAATTGCAATTAATTAGTACTGTTTAAATCTGTTTTCAATTGTTAATTACAAGTTTTTGATCAAATCGGATTACATCTCCAGCAATTTTGGGAGGAAACATGCACCACTCTCATGACAATGGAATTTTAAAAACTGAGATGATTAGGAGGAAAAAAACATTCTTAATTTTATCCAAAGATCCTTTCCAGAATCATTTTCTCAAAAAAATTCCAATCATTTGATGCATGGGGTCTAACCATTAATTCGATCGATGAATGTGAATTTATAGGATTAGCACACTACTAATCTAAATTATAAGGGATGTTTTTACAGATTACTTCAAGTAAATTTCATCTGAGGACAAAAAAATAATCCATCAGCATGACGTATCCATGAAGCTGTTAAGTTGGAACACAATATGACAAAAAGATTGCTTTCTGATTAATTCAATAATTTTATATTTCGATATGAACTTGGAAGTTTGTGTATATATAATCAAGATATGTCACTGGTCAACGCTTGTAGTCTAGAAAAAAAACCATCGGGTGTTTTCTGGGGCTTGGTTCAACTAAAGCTTGAATTAGATTCCAAACAACTAACTAATCATGTAATGGCAAAAGAATATGATCAAATAGCAAAGTTTAAGCTGGTTTTGATGATTTTTAACTGATATTAGATCAACTGGGCAGAAGAACTGAACACACAGCAAACTGAAGTCTGGTGAAGCAAAACAAACACAAGCCATTTTGCATGAACCTCTAAGAATCCCGTATTTGCACCCAGTACTGTTTCTCTGTTAATTTTAGATTTGGATAACCTATTGCCAAACCCTAGCAATACGACCGACCTTGAGTGGTGAATGGTTAAACCAGTCAGGACGTTATGGAGATTCTTTGAGGAAATAAAACGACAGAAAATGCAGCCAAATTTTTCATTTGTGTTCAAAGCTTAACCAGCCGGCTAAGAAAAAGGCTTTCTTTTACCAGCAGAGTCAGGAGGAACCGTACTGTTGAGCTCTGGCATGAATTTTTTAATCAGTTTTCTAGGATTCAGGAAGTTGCTTGTGGCCGAGTCCAGCAAGGTACAGCTATGCATGCCGGGTTAATAGTCATGGAGTTCCTTCTTTTTTTCTTTTTTTCTTTTTTTATCTTTATTAAACTCATTCTTCTACGTTTGTTTCTGTTTTAATCTCCATCTTTGGTTAATTTTTGGACTACTAGTGTTAACTTTTTTTTCCGTCTTAATCTCTTCCTTTACTACATTTTTTCATCTTAATCTTTTTTTTTTTTTTGCCAAATTTTAATTTTTTTTTTAAAAAAAAAAAAGCTAAAAGAAAAGTGAAGATATCTCTAGTTATTTTCTCTTTTAAAAAAAAACTAGAAAAAAAAGTTGAAGATAAAAATATTTTTTTATAAACTTAAATTTATCTATATGATGGTAAACGAATTTTGAGCATAAAAAAATATTTATAGTACTTTTTTTTAGCATGTGTCTCTATGATAGTAAATAATTATTTAGTATAAAATAAAATATTTATAGTATTTTTTTTAAATGTGAAGAGAGTTTTAGTTAAAATTTTAAATAAGATTTATAATTTTATAATACCTCAAAAGAGTTTATTATAATTTACTTATTTTGATTTTACAAATTTTTTAATTTGACTAAAATTAAACTGAAAATATAAATTTTTGCTAGTGTTAAAAAATACTATAAATATTTTATTTTATGCTTAAATTTTTTTATTAAATTTAAAATCATAAAAGATATTTTGGATAAAAATAAAATTAACTTCACTTTTTTTAGTTTATTTATTTATTTTCAATTTGTAAAGACAGTGGCTATATATGTGTGTGTGAAAAATTAGGATTAAAAGATAAAATGGAGTGATGAAATTAAGATAGAAAACAAACAAATTAACACCGTCAGCTCAAAAATTGTCAGTGATACGAGATTAACACGAAAATAAAAAGATGAATTTAATACGGAAAAAAGCAAGAGAAGTAGCATAAAAACAAAACAAAAATAGAGATACTTTTGCAACTATGCTTATGCTTGGACGGGATTAATTTTCCGGTTTATTCCAACTTGCCATCCAGTGGGTAGTGGGCACGGTAATAAGTTTCCATTTTCTTACACCAGGCTTACTTGTTTCTGTGGAGCTAGATGCTCTAGGAAAGAAGACAGGTCTGTGAGTTCACAATTTTTTTCTATCTTTCCAAAATGAGAGATCTGCGAAGAGGAAGATAAATTATTTTTTTATTTGCTTTTACCTTTCATTTGTTTGTTCTCTCATTTCTCCTTCCAACCAAACAAGACAAATTTGGGTTCCATATTTTCCTCTCCTTGCCTGTCCAACACGAGGTTAAAGGTAATTGAGAACCCTGATCCGAATCCTCTTTGTGTCTCCTTCACCCTTTCTATCCTCAGTTTTATCGTCCTAACCAAACGTAGGTGTAGTGTGTAAATGCACATGAAAGCAGGACAGAGACAGCTCACAGCAGGCAGAAGGCAGCTGGCTGCATATGATCTATTCAGTTCTCTTAGGCCTTGGGAACTCAATATTGAAGTCGACAAGCGTAATCGTTCTATAAGCTCCGAAAGAATCATCGAGCCACAAAATATTAAAGCGGTGTTATTACATAAACCACTGGCTTCATATTTCTTAAGCTTCCAAACATGGTAATGAGAATGTAAACGTTCAAGCAACTTGAGAGTTTAGATGCTGGTAAGCAACTCGGGATGAAGATTGAGTGAGAACTGTAAAATAATCAAGACACGAAATTGAAAATTACTATACCAAAAGGTAAAGACGAAAAATGACTTATGGGCTGTTCAAGACGCATGCAAACATCAGAATTTCTGCCCTGGCAATAAAAACAATTTGACATTCTCATGAACACCTAACTTGAAGTTTGAGATTTTCCTGTAGCATTGATTTATCCATTGAATTTCATAGTTACATGAAATTAGCACTCGACAAAAATGACAGTATAATGGAAGTGAAAAAAATTATATGAAGAGAAAAGTGTACCTGGAGATCAAAACTAGCACCACACTAGAAGAAGCTTTCTCAATTAGCCTATATACACGGAAGATTAATAGAAATCTTCTAATGATCAAGGCAAAGGTCTAAAAATTTCTGGCTTACATGGTGTATACTTGTTATTAATGCTTTTGGGCAAGGAGCATTCTCTGTCAACAATGACCCTAATTGATTCGTAAGAGGGTATATAGGGCTAAATTCCTTGTCTCCTCTTGATCTAACCTTTGCAGCATAATCATCTAAAGCTGCTTTGATACCTTTCCGAATCTGATCTTTCCCTTGAGAATCCAGCCACAAGGAATACTGCAGAGGTGTAAGCCTGTTCCTCTGCAGTGGCGACTCCAATTCACCGGAGACTCGGGTGAAAAGGTGGTGAAGTATGACACTTGGTGGGTGATCTTACAGTAAGTTATTTCTAGAAAAAATAAAAGGTTAAATTAGCACACTACTAGTCCAAATTATAAGGGATGGATTTACAGATTACTTCAAGTAAATTTCATCTTGGGACAAAAAAAAAAAGAATCCATTAGCATGATGCATGCAATTATGCATGAAGCTGTTAAATTGAAACACAATATGACAAAAGAGATCACTTACTGATTAACTGAATAGTTTTAGATTTGGATATGAACTTGGAAATTTGTGTATAATCAAGAGGTCAATGGTCAAAACTTGTAGTCTAGGGAAAAAAACCATCACGTGTTTTGTGGGCTCGGCTCAACCAAAGCTTGCATTAGATTCCAAACAACTAAAGCTAATCATGTAATGACAAAAGAACATGATCAAATAGCAAAATTTAAGCTGATTTTGATGACTTTTAACTGATAGTAGATCAACTGGGCAGGAGAACTGAACACAGAGCACTGAAACTTAGTGAAGCAAAACAAGCATAAACCATTTTCTATGGACTTCTGAGACTCCCACATTTGCCCCCCTATTTCTCTGTTAATTTTATATTTGGATAACCTATTGCCAAACCTAGCAATACGACTGACCTTGAGTAGTAAATGGTTGAACCAGTCAGGACGTTATGGAGATTCTATGAGCAAATAAAAAGACAGAAAATGCAGTTAAATTCTCATTTGTGTTCAAAGCTTCCAGACATTGTATTGCCTTCCGAGTTCCCGTGTATTTTCAGATTAAGATGGCAAGTGGCTCTGTGTTGTGAAATATCGAGCTGAAAAAATGGCTTTCTTCTACCAGCATAGTCAGGAGGAACTGTACCGTTGAGCTCTGGTATGAATTTTTTAATCAGTTTTCTAGGGTTCGGGAAAGTTGCTTCATGCTGAGTTCGCACGGTACAGATGTATATGCCTATGCTTGGACGGGATTAAGTTTCCGGTATATTCCAACATGCCATCCTGTGGGTAGTGGGTACGGTCATCGCATTTCTTTACACCACGCTTGTTTCTGTGGAGCTAGATGATGGACCAAAAGGAATGGAAAACATGAGATGCTCTAAGAAAGAAGACAGGTATGTAGGTTCACAAGTTTTTTCTATCTTTCCAAATAGAGAGATCTGCAAAGGGGAAGATAACTATTTGTTTATTTGCTTTTACCTTTCATTTGTTTCTTCTCTCATTTCTCCTTCCAACCAAACAAGACAAATTTAGATTCCATATTTTCCTCTCCATGCCTATCCAACTAGTGATAAAAGGTAACTGAGAAACCTGACTCCAACTCTTTCTTCTCTCTTTCCCCCTTTCTATCCTCTGTTTCATCGTCCTAACCAAACGTAGCTGTAGAGTGTAAATGCACCTGAAAGCAGGACAGAGACAGCGGACAGCTGGCTACATATAATATTTTCAGTTCTCTTGGACCTTGGGAACTCAATATTGAATTGACAAGCGTGATGGTTCTATAAGTTCCGAAAGAATCATCAAGCCAGAGAATATTAAAGCGGTATTTATACATAAGCCGCTGGCTTCATAGTTCCTAAGCACCCAGAATTGATGGCTTCCAAGTTCCTAAGCAGCCAGAAATGGTAATAAGAACGTAAACCTTCAAATAACCTGAGCTGTCATTTGATTTCCAGCAATGAAAGATTCATAATAAAAATACATAAATTAAAATATTAAATTAAAAAATTAAAATAATATTTATATTCTTATACTGTATTTGAAATAATAATAGAAAATTAAAATAGCATTCAAAATTTTTTAATATTTGGTTTTTTAAAACAAATAAAATAATAATTAAAAATAATTTCATCAACTATAATAATAATAAAATTGATGAAAATGATTGTTGTATTGGTAGTAATAATAATATAATAATAGCAATAATATATTTTTAAAAAATTAATATCACCATCATAGAAAATAACAATAGAAGAAACATGATAAGAATAGTCATGGAAGAGAAGAGGCAAAATAACAATAATAATATATATATATATATTTTTTTTTTTATCACCACTATCAATAGTAGAAGTGGTGGTGGCGATATAATAAAAATGATAATGAAGGTAATGATAGAAGTGAAAGAAAAATGATAGAGAAATAATAAAAAAAAACAAAAAAAAATTATCATCACAGTCAGCAATGGTTATAGCGATGGCAGAAATAATTGATACACAATAAATAAAAATAATATATCACTACTTTAAAATTAAAAAAAAAAATTCACTATTTAAAAGAAAAAAATTTCATTCTCATTACTTATTTTTAATCCTACCTTCCCATAAGAATGAAATTATGGTAAATGTTCATTCTTATTTTCACTCTTAAATTACATCCCCATTTTATTCTTTTCAATTAAATACCTAACAAGTGAGAATAAAAGTTTTATTTTTATTTTCACCATTTCATTCCCCAATGGTTGACAGTTTAGATGTTGGTACGATACTCGGGAAGAAGATTGAGTGAGAATTGTAAAATAATCAAGACACAAAATTCAAAATTCCTATACCAAAAGATAGAGACAAAAAATGACTTTGAGTTGTTCAAGACGCAAACATCAGAATTTCCTCCCTGACAGCAAAAACAATTTGACATTTTCATGAACAACTAACTTGAAGTTTGACATTTTCCTTTGGCATTGATTTATCCATTGAATTTCATAGTTACATGCACATAGCAGTCGACAAAAATGACAGTCTAATGGAAGTGAAAAAAATTATATAAAGAGAAAAGTATACCTGGAGAGCAAAACTAGCACCACGCTATAGGAAGCTTCCTCAATTAGCCCATACACATAGAAGACTAATAGAAATCTTCAAGTGAAAGCAAAGGTCTAAAAATTGCTGGCGTACGAGATGTATACTTGTTATTAATGCTTTTGGGACACAAGGGCATTCTCTGTCAACAATGACCCTAATTGATGCATCAGAGGGTATACAGGACTAAATTCCTTGTCTCCTCTTGATCTAACCTTTGCAGCATAATCATCTAAAGTTGCTTTGATGCCTTTCCAAATCTGATCCTCCCCTTGAGAATCCAGCCACAGTGAATATTGAAGAGGAGTAAGCCTGTTCCTTTGCAGTGGCGACTCCAATTCATCGGGGCCTCGGGTGTAAAGGTGGTGAAGTATGACACTTGGTGGCAAATCTTGAAGGAGAGGAGATGCTCCCAACTGAGATGTCTCCAAGAAAATAAGGGGCCGAAATGCTCGGAGTGCTCGGTATGGCGGTCCAAGTTGTTCTACGGGGAACAAATTCTGGCCTACAGTTAACTCCAGCTCAGCCATGTCTCTAGCCATCCTCAGTTTCCCTGATTCTGAAAGAGGTCGTACAAGAGAGGCATGTCTGATAAAGAATATCAAAACCCGTGATGCAATGCTTCTCACAAGCTGCATGCATATAGTTTCTGCCCCTGCTGTTGTAGCACTAGCTGAAGAAGGTAAGAGCCTAGACAAGAACTCAGTACGAAAGTGAAGAATGCACTCCTGCAACTCTTCCATGTAAGGAGAAGCATTATTGTCCATTGCAGCATCCATACCATGAGCACCAAAGTTCTGATCATGAATTTGCAGGATGCATGACTCGAGACGGTCAATCATTGCTTTGAACAGGGGTGTCACGGAGTCACGAGCTACCCCATATATTGCACCTAGTGCAGGAGACAACACATCTGCAGCAATAGTGGGCAGCCCAGCAATCATAGATGATATACGTGTATGAATTTCTTGTAAATGCTGGCACAAAGCAAAGTTCTTGACTTGTGCTACAGTTGCAGGACCTGTAATTTGGCGTGCCTCATGACCAGCAGATATCTGAAATTTAAATGCAATATTTTTATATATGAAAGGCCTTCTCCATTATAAAAACCATGAGAAAACTACCCCTTTAAAGAATCCAATTACATTCACTTTGAAGATTCAATTATTTTATGGGGCCTAGCCACAGAAGGAATATACGGTATAGCAAGATGATCAAATGAAAACAAGAGTGAAAGAAGTTTCCAGTATATAACCTAATCTATCCTTGAGTTCCATCATTGGGAATTTTTATCATATTCAAACAGAAAACACCACGAGATTCGAAGAAACCACTAGCATTAAATCACCAGATTTAGATAGCACACTGACTAAAACTATGACAACTCTTGCTTTACTTGAACATAGATTTTTAAGCATGCAAAGCTAGTTAATATGATGGTACCAGAAATTAGCCATGTGTCACCCACTGAATAAAACAATAATTACAATTTACAAGTAACAATCTAATACAACTAACAGGATAGTAATTTTATGAGGAAGTCTTTATCAAACGACTAAACTACACAAACACAACATAAAAATTTGCCAACAACTAGGTTGTGAGGGCCATGGTGGAACTCACTATGGACCCCATGATATGATGGTTAGCATTTCTTTTAGTTGTGCTCAGTGTAGGTTGTTTTGTGTTATTTAGAATTGCAGTAATTTTACAAGGACATATCACAAAAATAATTATTTAAGGTAAAAAAAAGGAAAGAAAACAACAAACCACAAGATTGGGGTAACGCTCAAGTAGGATATGCAAATGGATTATTTTTATGTGTCATATAGGGAAAAACTCCACAAATATAAGAACACATGATGGAAAGACCTGAGCCAACAAACAAAGATACTATTTGTTTACTAGATTACCTGGTATTCAGCCCGTTCTGAAAGCAGGAGCAAAACCTTGCCGATTTCACGCAATACAAGAAGAGTCAAGCGCCCATCCAATTGAACTGCTTCAACCTCTTCCTGGATACGGGAGATAATTCTTGAGATTTGTTCTTTGGAAGGAACACTTCCACGGCTGGACATTGGGAAAACAGCATTCACAAGATCTGAAAGGCGACTTAAGCACAGAGCCAAGAAAGCTGTCTGGAACATTTCAATGGCAGCAACCATCTGTTCCTTTCCGTCCAAAGTAATAGCTGGTAAAACCCCTTTGACATCTGTATCACGTGAGATTCTTTCAAGTAGATTCTCTATCAAGGAGAAGAGTTTAGGGTAGCCTATAGTAAATATCTCCTTAACAAAACTTGAAGCAGTGAAAGCAGACTTGATTTGGCTTGCAAATGCCTTCACAAGTGCCTCCCAAACTCGGTCTGTTAAAATTGTATCACCATCCTACAAGAATATCAGCTTATTATAAGCATAAAAGAGATGGAAAGTAATGTGGCAGAAGATTAAGTAGTAATACAGTAAACATCTGTAGAAATCTCCCCCTCTCACAGAAACGTCTTAGCATCAGAATGTTTCTTTCTTGAATTTGTTATGGCCCATAAAATCAATCAAAAAGGGGAAACCATCAATAATGACTTGAACTACTCAGGAAGCTTTTATATGGCATAATCCAGAAAACAAAGTGCATAAAATTACTAAATCTGATTACTGGACATGAAAAACACCAAGAAACATTAACAAGATTAGACTATAGATTGCTAATCCACTGGAATAATAGATCAAGTTGAAGGTTGCATCACTTCACATGATTTGAGTCTCTCCATAATAGGCCCACTGCCTACACCTAATGATGTTTCTATCAAGATATCAGATTGGTCGAATTTGCTATCTAAGTACACATAGATTCAACTATATTCAACAACTGGAGATTAAAAACTTCGTTTTGTGGTACAGAGATGTGCAGAGGTTATCACATTACAAACTAGTGCTATCAACTTCTAGTACAGGATCAACCCGAAACGGAAGAATAACTAACTGCATTACAAGATCTAAACACCACAAACCAACTAAAACTCTGCTTAGCAGTTCACACAACAAAAAGTACCACAATCCAAAACCAATATATATATATATACACACACACACAAAACAAGCAAACATACTGAAACATTCTGAAAAGCAAAATCACAAATCCCTCTCACCTTAATAACCTCATCAAGCAACAAAACATGCGTAAATGGATCCCTCTTCTTGGACAACACTCTCTGCAAATGCCAAACGGCAACAACAATAGAATGCAATCGATCCATACAATTCCCCATTCTCTGCCAAAGTGCCTCCCTTGCCTTCGCCCCTCCTCCAATCTGTGGAGTCCCACTCCCTCTTATCCCTCCTGGCCCATACCCGCCGCCACCGCCGCTGCCACTCGCAGAAATGGCCTTCATATCCAATGCTAAACCCACACTCTTCACTCCCATTCCCTTATACTTATTCACCAATTGCTCCACAGTCACCTTCAACTCTCCTAAATTATAGAAAACTTGCAACCCAGTTCCCACTTCTGCCTGATTCAATCCTTCCATTCCTCTCTCTAACACTTTCATGGCTTCGCTTCGCAGTTTTTCCCCAATTTCTTTTATCCAATTCAGCTCTTCGTCAACCACATCAATTCCTCTCAAATCATACTCGTTACACATTGTCAAGATCTCGCAATGTAATTGCGCTGCCTTGGCAAGATCCAACTTTTCAGGCTCTGATTCTGATGCAGATATTAAATCTCGAAGCTTTTTCGACAACCTCAGAGCGCGAGTCGTGTGTTGTAACGCTTGGTTGGTTCGATGCAAGTTGGAGAGCTGAATAGTTTTTGATTGAATAGAATTATGGGGATCAGAAAGCTCGGATCGGACGCGGCGGATAGAGGACTGGAGAGAAGAGACGGCGGATCGGAGGGTGGAGAGGGAGAGTTCAGCGTCTTTAATGGAGGAGAGTTGGTGGAGGAGTTGGGGATGGCGGGTAAGGACTTCAGAACGGAGTTGGGATTCGAGGAGGCGAATGGCATGGTGGAGGTGTTCGGCGGTCGAGGCAGGGGAACCAGAGGAGAGGGCAGCGGAGGAGAAGGAAGTGGAAGAGAAGGAGGCGGAGAGGAATGGGGAGAGAATTGGGTCTTTGGAGAAAGAGTCTAGAGGGGAAGGAGATGGGGTTGCGGTGGTTGAGGACGGTGGAGGAGAGGAAGCAGAGGGGGTTTTGAAAGTGGAGAGGCGTTGGAGAGGGGAAGAGGAGGAGGAGGAGGGAGAGTGAGAAGCATTGGTAGTTATGGAGGGGAGTTGGGATCTTTGGAGTGCTGCTCCTGGTGATGCCATTTTTTTTATGTTTTGGTTTAGATTTGATCAGAGCTTTTCTCCTGGGTTTATACCTTTTGATATAGTGGCAGTCGGAAGTTACACCCGAGAAAAAAAATAGAAGATAACAATTTCATCCTTCGAGTATTACCGTTTTTTTAATTGCATCCCAAGTAATTTTAAGTTTGGCCTATATTAAATAATTATCGCAACTTTACTTAAAAAATATGCGGCTTAACCTTCTAGTAAATTGTAAATTACTCTATTTAGTTTTGCAAAATGATTAATAATCCATTTTAAATTGAAAACTGATTAATTAATTCTTTAATTAATGTTGACTATAGTTAATTTATTTTTAAAAAATTCTATTTTTTTTCATCAGTCTTTTCATATTTTAAACCTTTTTTCTTCTTTATTCTTAAAACAAAACAAAAAATTGAAAAATTGAAACAAGATTGAGTTACAAAAAATATAAAATGTAAGGACTAATTAATTAATTTTTTAAACTACAGGATCATTTAATTTGTGAGTCATCTGATTAGTAAAAACTAGAATTGAATTCTATTTTAAAATCATAATTCAGTAATACATGTATGTATTTAAAAACAAATGCCAAATTTTCTTAATATTTAACTTCGCTTTTCCGGTGAATATGAGTGAAGAAGAGACATCAATATTGGAAACCACTCTACTATTAGTAATGCATATAGGATTCTGAAATAAAGTTGATTAAGTCCACTCCACTATCGTCGTGAGCATTAACTGTAGGATTATTGTGCCATATTAGATTTCGTATCCCTTTCGATTGAACAGAACATCTTGTTTTCTTATACATTTTGCTTTTAAATGTAACTCGTTACACGTGATCCAACATTTTTGCCAATCTAAAGGAAACGAGTATGGATGGTTTTTCTAGATGCTGCTACTTGATTAGTCGATGTAGAAAATGGTCACAAAAGGTTGCTGGTAAAGCAATTCCAAGATTTATAAGCTTATGGATGGTTTTTCTAGCTGCTGCTGCTACTGGATTAGTCGATGTAGAAAATGGTCATAAAAGGTTGCTGGTAAAGGAATTCCAAGATTTATAAGCTTATGCGGCTGGTATATCTTTTTGGTTTTGGAACTCGTACAATTGGATAACCTCCCAAATAAAATGATAAACTGTACGAAGTGCTTCTAATTCGATAGAAAACTCTCCATCAGTAAGGAAAAACCTTGATGATTCTGAATTTGCAAAGTAGCTAGGTTGCTAAAAGACATCAAAGATACTATGTAGATTTGAGAATGGAAACACTAAAATTTACTTCTACAGGCCTAGTTATAATATGAAAGACAAAATTTTAGATTGTAAAATACAAAACACTAAATTTAATAGGCCTAAAAAAAAGAACTTATGGACTAAAATACAATTGATCCTTGATACATCACCTGAATTCATCTGCACGGATGCCCTAGTAAAACCATCAGGAGCTACGGGTTAGCATGAGTTAAGGAGTATCAGAGAAGAAAATGGCATAAATTAAGACTAACATGAGGTACCATAGACCGTGAGTAGACAGAGATTGTGAATTTCCGATGATTCGAACATCAAAGATCAATAAGAAGTTACAATTGTTGACATTTATTTGCACTCCGTACAAGACCAAATAATCAAATTAGCTGCTATAATATCAGTTTTCCTCTGAATTCTAATACAAGCCTCAAATCTTGAAACCCCGGACTCAAAAGGTGAATACAGAACCAGATCAAATAAAGAATAAATGAATAGAAAAACCAACAAGCTGGTAGTAATTAATTACTCATATGTGGCAGCCACAGCACAGATAGAAGAAGCAGAGAGTGGAAACAAGAACGATAGCTTCAGCTACGTAGAGAACCTTGAAGACCAAATTGTCTATTATGTTCAACTGTAAACCAAGACCACGTTTCCATTTGATACCAGAGATTTTCCATGGCCACAACTGATCCTTCGTCATCATCGCCTTCTTCAATGACCATGTCTTCTTTGCCATTATAAAAACAAAAGAAAACAGAGCTCTTGCCCTTTTCTACCTCTCTGTGACTCTGTCTGTGTGTTTTGTTAGTTTTGATGTACTCTATGTTTGTTTCTGTTCTCTTGTGTTTATATAATGTGACAGCTTTGATCTGTTTCATTCGAGAAGGGAAAAAAAAGACAGGATCTTGCTGGCCGAGGTTAGATTGAGGAGGGTACTTCGAGAAGTTAACTAACTGAGTTCAGTGGAAGAATCTTCTAGTGGAAAAGGGTGCTTGTGGTCTTTCCAGCTAGCAAAGACGGCATCCTATACTGTCTCTGTTCACACGCGTTTTTGTCTAAGCGGAAGGAATCTGAAATTATTAATCTGGAAAAATAATAGAATTCACACTTATTTTTATTTATTGGATTTCAACTTTAATAACTAATTATTTTTCAAAAAAAAAAATCATAATATCCATTTCTTTTTACCGAAAGTTCTTGGCTATTGGATTTCTTTCTCATCATGCTAGCCATAACCAGATCCTAAATAATGCTTCCCTTGTGTGGTGAATTTTTGGTGTTTATAATATCTTTTTTGGGAATGTGCTCGATTTTTTTCCCGGATAACAAACAAAAAAACTACGGAGCTTTGGAGGCAAAACTGTGGAGTTCAAACAAAAATCAAAATGGTCTCCACTACCGAGTAATGATTGGAGTTATTTGTAATTTTGTATACATCTCACCAATTGTTGCTCTTCGTTAACATTTCTCAAAAAGCCAATATGTTTCTCAAAAGAGGGGGAAAAAACTAAATAACGTGTTTGTCCATAAAAGACCTGTATTGCCAACATTACCCTGGCCTGAAGTAAAATGGGAATTAATTCCAAACGACATGTTGTCTTTTAAAATCATTGCTTAAACCACTTTTTCCCTGCCTCCTCCTCCACGTTTTTTTAATTATTATTATTATTTATAATGTAACGGTTATTACATAGGCAGTTGGATACTATTATTAAAAAAAGGGAAAAAAAAAAACAAATGTTGGCATCTATGTGATTGCTGTACTCCAACTGGTCTCAAAAGGTATAGACCATGGCCAGTAAGTACTCAGTGGAATCATGTCCGTTAGTGTTTAGACGATTTCAAGTTGTGGTTTTGGTTTCCATCATTTGGTCAAGGCTCTTCAACGGCTAGTTCTCAAAAGAAAAGAAAGAAAAATATAGATGCTGATAAAAAGTGTTTCTTTTTTTTTCTTTTTTTTTTTTATTTGAGACCAAAGAGGATTCAATACGGTTTGGCCTTAAAGGTGTTTATTCTGCCAGCTCAAATGAGATGGGGATGGTGGCATTCGACAAAATAAACCTCAACTTCTATGAAAAAGGTACTTACTTTAGTTTGTTGGGAAAATAAAGGAGAGGGATATACGAAAGACTCCTTCGGTACTTACTTTTAAGTTTTAGGCTTTAGAGACTTGCAACGTTGCAAGGAATCGTAACCCGAATGCAGCGATGATGCAGAGTCGTCCAATATTTGAAAAAAAAAATTAGGGGTGTTGTTATGGTAAATATCAACCTTTGATGTCATCAGCTTTTATTCAAGTTACATGAGTTATTTATACAGTAAGAATGGCATTTATTATGATTTAATGTTTAAATTTGTTTTTTGAAGTCTATTAGGGTTTAATTTGAAACTTAAAATGAAAGTATTTAATGAACAGGTGTAAATTAAACAAATTCTTCGATTTTCATTAATAATGGGTAATTGGGCTTGTGTAAAATTGATAAAATAAAAACGATTAGAAATTTAATTGAATATTAGGTTATAGCTTTTGGAAATTTTGATTACTCGAATTACCGTATAAGAATATTACAGGGATGATATTCCTCCGGAAGTAACTATCCATTAATTTCTCCATTGGCCGACGTGATCGAACGGCTGCAAGCTTGTCCCGAAGCCTTACGACGATATCTATAGTTTTGTGGGCTTTCTTACTTGTTGCTGGCTTGTTTTTCTTGGACTTTCTCTTGATTTTCCTGGCAAGGGCTTTTTGACCATTGGTCCATATCTTCAGGCCTTATTGCAATAAAAAGCTTGACCGAGCGATGAAATTTTCATTCGTGATAAAGAAAGAAATTATCTTCAAAGAGCCAATTCGATATTTTATTCAATCCAATTAGTGCAATTTTAATTGCAAGGTCAACATCTCAAAGAACACAGCATAGCCCTTTGAATCTTTTGTTTTTTTCTCTTTTTCAAGAATACTCCATGCGAATAAGTTCATCCTTTCAATCTGATCTAATACGAATAATTTATACGAAGACTAAAAAATTCACGAAATCTAACAATAAAATATTAGTAATATATTAAAAGCCACGAGGAGTTTGAATAGGAGCAATATTGTTCACTCCATCATAAATCACTACTCAATTGGTTTTTTTTTTTTTTTACCCTCACACTTTCATTCACTTTTACTGTATATTGTACTATCCTCTTCTTGTTTGGTTTTTTTTTTCACTCTTAGTTTTTTTCTTTTTTTCTTAGGTTTTTTTCTGGTTTTCGAATTATTTTGTTTTTATTTTTTTTTATTTTAACTCTTAGTTTTTTTTTTCTTAAGTTTTTTTTTGTAATTTTCAAATTATTTCGTTTTAATTCCTAAAATTTTAAAATAAAAATTTTAATCCCTAGCCGATGCACTACAAGTCTTTTCTTTTTTTCTTTGGTTTTTTCTTTTTGCTTTTTTTATTAATTTATGTTCTTTTTTTATTTAACTAGGTGTTAAAATTTTTAAAAATCAATCATTCTTTTTTTCATACAAGTTGATGATTATATAATATATATAAATTAAATGTATATACTTTAAAAATCACCCCTCACAATGAATTATCCACTCCTTTTTTCGTTTTTTTTTAACCCTCACAATGTACTATCCACTCTTAGGTTTTTTATTTTTTATTTTTTTTATAATTTTCACTCTTAGTTTTTTTTTTCTTAGGTTTTGTTTTTGTAATTTTCAAATTATTTCATTTTTATTCTTAAAATTTTAAAATAAAAATTTTGATCCTTAGCCGATGCACTACTTGCTTTTTTTTCTTTGGTTTTTTCTTTGCTTCTTTTCATCAATTTATGTTTTTTTTTTTTTACTTGATAAGGTGTCAAATTTTAAAAAATTAATCGTTACTTTTTTTCACATAAACTAACGATTATATATATATATATATATGAAATGTATATATTTAAATAAAAAAATCTTCTCATCAACATTAAAATAGAATAAAATTTCATTTTTTCATTGATTAATTTTTATACAAGTCTATATATTAATTGTAACTTTATTTTTTTGATATATTCTCATAAAACAATGTATTTTTAAAATATTTGTTTTTAAGGCAACACTATTCTCCCCTTTACGAGTGTACTATTCACTCCCTTTTTTTCGTTTTTTTGGTACCCTTATAATGTACTATCTACTCTTTTTTCCCCCTCACGAGTGTACTATTCACTTTTAGGTGTGTGTGTGTGTGTTTTTTTTTTGTAATTTTCAAATTATTTTGCTTTTATTTTTATTTTTTTTCACTCTTTTTTTTTATTTTGTAATCTTCCAATTATTTTGTTTTGATACCTGAAATTTTAAAATAAAAATTTTAATCTCTAGCCGATGCACTACGTGCATTTTCTTTTCTTTTTTCTTTGGTTTTTTCTTTGATTTTTTTCCATCAATTTATATTCTTTTTTTTTTAATTGAGTGTGAAAATTTTTAAAAATCAATTGTTATTTTTTTTCAATACTTTTTTTCACACAACCCGATGCTTATATATATATATCAAATGTATATACTTTAAAAAAATAATCTTCTCATCAACATTAATAAGAATAAAATTTTATTTTTTCATTAATTAATTTTTATATAAGTCTATACATTAATTATAACTTTATTTTTTACGTATATTTTTAAAGTATTTGTTTTAAAATTCTTAATCAATATTTTTTTAAGCATAAATTTTATGAAAAACATAAAAATAGTAATAATTAATTATATAATTTTAAAATAATTTTATTTTATCTACCCGTAACGTTATGTGAATAATTTTAAAAATTAACATTCTTATCAGCATTAAATAAGATTTTTTTCATTTGTTAGTTTTTATAAAAATTTATCCATTAATTATAACTTTGTTTTTTGAAATACAATATTATGAAAAATATATTTTTAAAAGTTTTTTTAATTCTTGATTAATATTTTAGTTAAAATCAATCCATAAAAAATAATGATTTATGTTTTTTTAAATAAAAAAGTTATAAAAACATTATAAAAAATTTTAATTAAAAAAATTTATAATTGTAAAATAATTATATTCTATTAGAACCACTGCGTAACTGGGCAATCGGCTAATTACAATATGACTAAAGAAAGTGAGGCAAATGAACAGTAAAACACTGATCATTTACTGTTCATTTGCCTTAATTCACTATTCACATTATGGCACTTTTGTAAATTTTCTTTTTTTTCCCCAAGCAACAATCCATATCAGTTTGCACAAAAGAAATATACCTCACATGCAAAATCACGTGACTCACGACTATAAATTAAACAGAACTTTAAGCCTTGGTCATTGGTCCAATCCAAATTGCTGTAAGATGAACCTAGGAATTAAAATGGTACGGCGGCCCACATGCTCCAACGTGTAAAGTGAGAATAAGAAAGAAAAAAATAAATCTTCTTTTATTTTTTCAGAAGAATAATAAATAAATAAATAAATAAAACTTCTAATATACTAAGGTATGTCGATACCCATTTTAAAGCATTTTAAAATAATAATAACAATAACAATAATAAATATGAAGTAAAATGGCAAGAAAAAGCTTCAACAAAATTGTGAGTCATTTTTTGGAATAAAATTTTAAATTATTTTTATTGCATTTTATTAACTTTAATATATTTCTTACAATTTAATTTTTTTAAAAACATATTTTTTAATTTATATAGAGTATGGTGATGATGTAATGATGTATACAAAAAAGTATTGTTGATTTTATTAAAAATTAATTTTGTATTTACACATATAACACCAACTATTTTCTATTATTGATTTTTAATATTCTAAGTTTAATTTATTTTAAATAAAAAATTATTTTAGAAAACCACCTAATAATTCAAATACACATTTTTATACCTAATATTATTGATTGTTTTCTATGCCTATATCTATATATCAAATGTATATGTTTTAAAAAGGTTTTAAAATATTCATCAATTAATTTTTATAAATTTGTTTTATAGATTGTTGATATATTTCTCCGATGATGCCTTGTAAAAAAAATTAAGATATTTTAAAAAGTTTATATTTATATTATTGTGAGTTTTTATTTAAAAATGTATGAATAAAAAAATAAATTGTGTGTTTTAACAAGCAAAATCTATGAAAAATATAAAGAAGCGCGAATAAAATACAAAATTTGATTAAAAATTAAGCAATTAAATAAAAATTTTATATTTTATTTTTAATTTAATATGCAACAAGTAGGACAAAACTAAAAGAACCGAGATATTTACTATTCATTTACTATTGTTTTACACTTAGATTGAATATTCATTGTGTTGTTTGATTTTTCGCCTCCTACCTTTTTGTTAATTTCTCTTTTGATACTCGATGGATTTGAGAAAATTAATTTTTGCCCTTGACTGATTTTCTTTTTAATTTTATTTTTGGGCATTTTTCGTCATTTTTTTCTTTTTCCTTCGGATTGAGCATTTAATGCTCATGTCTTCTTTCAATGTTTTTTTATTCTTATTTTCAGCAAGGAAGCATCACTTGCTATTCAAGAGTGATTATAAATTAGTCTCTCTTTCTTCGAGAAACAAATTGATTAGTCCCTATGGTTCAAAACTATTATTTTGTCCTTTTTGCTACTTCAATGTTTTTATTTTATGTTTTAAGAAATAGAGAAAGAATAAAAAAAAGTAAAAACATAAACGATAAGATATTTTATAAAATAATAAATTATTCATGGTCAACACTCGATTAAAAAAATTAAATAATTTATTTTTGAAACCAAAATAATTAATTCATTCTTTTTTTCAAAATGAGAAGAACTAATTTATAATTTAATTTGCAATTCAAAAATCTCTTTCATCATAAATTAGGAAGTTATATTTATGGGAACCAATTTTTTAATAGTTTTTATTTCAATTTATCGACTTTAATATATTTTATACAACTTAAATGTTTTTTTTTAAAAAAAATATTTATACTATATACTCGAATCTACTAAGTATGGTATATATAGTTTTGTTGGAAATTAATTATGCATCCGCATACATAACACTAATTATTTATTCTTTTTTATGTTCTAAAATCAATATTTTTTAAAAATAAAATAATTGAAATGTATATCATTAGTTTTGTTAGAAATTAATTATGTATCTATACACATGACACTAATTATTTATTAGTTATTCTTTTTTATATTCTAAAATCAATATTTTTAAATAAAATAATATTTTAAAAGAACATTTTAATTATTCAAATACAACTTTTTATGTCAATATTATTGATTATTTTGCTAATATATATCAATCGATTTTACTCAACAAATAAATTTGATTTATATTAATTATCGAAATAAGATTTTTATCTATATTATATCATATGAATCATACAAATCATTGACTTTTATGTATATAATGGTTATCCGATTACATTGTAATACAAATATCCAATTAGTATAACATAAAAGAGTTGGGCTTCGACGTCTAAAATTTATGCCTGATTTTTTTCTTTTCGTGATCCTTGTTGATGCGCGGCCTCTTTGCATATGTTATTACGATACGTGTGGTCTCTTCGATACTAGAAGGCAAATGGTATACGTCAAATGGCCCAAGTCGTTTTCACTTTTCTTCTCTTAAAAATTCCAAGTCACCTTAAATTTCCTTCCATCTGTCAAAAGCCGTGACTAATATGATGGTATCAAAAGCAGACTATTTCAAGACTTTTAAGGGTCTCTTTCGCATCATCAAAGGGCAGGCTCGCTATAGCACCTGACAGCAAATTTTCGGAAGTCATGTGGGAAGAAACATCATGTTGCCACGACAGGATAGGGAAAGGTAGCAAAGGTTCTGCATTTACGGGAAGAACACGAAAAGCAAAACAAAGCAGAACACCGAAATCTTGCATTTTCACGTCCATTGCTAGATATATATATATCTCGTGGATAGGTTGATTGGTCCTGTGCTTGATTTCTTGATTCTTATAATTAAACCATATTAGTTGTTTACATCACAAACAGGGACCCCACACACAGACACACACATATATAACACAAAAGACAACTACGGATTTTAACAAACGTTTACAACCTTATGACCGTGAATAATCACATGCAAAAGAGAAGAAATTAACATTTATCTTGTGGTCCAAACAACATTCTATCTCGATCAAGGCTAATCTTAGTAGATGAATAAAATTTTGTGGTCCAGTTGAGTTGTTATCGAATCAGATTGCAGTGATGGATACCTCGTCGAAAGTGCCTTGGTCGACAGAAAAATCAAGATTGGATGACCAGTTGCATCTCTTGCTTTTCTTTAGTTATTACTAATCAGGAAGGATTAGTACTGCCTTGGCTTGAATTGAGAAAAAAATCAATGCTTTCTTATTAAGAAACCTAGGTTAAATGTTTTGAATAATTAGTCAAGGATCAATTTTTGCAAGTCTCTTTCTATATCAGTTTTTCTTCGCAGCGTAATTTGTCGGCAGGGTATGACTCTCTTAAACAGATGGAATGTTGTTAGAAATTTCATGATTTTGTCTTGCTCACAATTCACAGATCACGGTCATGCAGTACTAGGTTTTCTCCCTTCTGATTTTTTCCCTCCATGAAAAGGACGAATCACGCTATCATGTCGCCCGATTCCATCCCCCGTCCAAGCATTTACCATAATTGTAAATATAATTAATTGCGCTTATCTCGTTATGGAATATCGTAACAACCACTAAATTTTGCTATGGAAAATGGGTTTACAAATAGGCTAACAGACGGTACACGTCTGTCGATGATTTTAGATTCCACCGTTCCAGTATTTTTCATTCCTAGAACATACGTTTCTGTTTTGCTACGAAGAATCTCATTTTCTTTAGAGCGAAGAAAATCTCGTTTCCAAGCACTTGAGAAAGTAAAAGTAGATTATTTGAAAGTAAACGTCCCACCATCATATTCCCTGTATACCTTTATTTTTAGTAATGATAATACATTTAGTTATGAATATATGCTAACAAACAGACTGACAGAGCGGTAAGTGAGTTTTTCATAAAATTACTATTGGTTGTTTACATTTCGTTTTTGTCAAAAAAATAAAATAAATTATTAATATTCTAATATTTTTACTAGATATTTATTTATTTTCTCTTGCAATTACAATTTTTTTTAATCAAATTGAATATATTGTACGACAGTTTTATCCATTTCTATATGTTAATTTAGAATATGTAACATACGTGTTTATTTGCTTAATTATTGAATTAAAAGAACAATTCTAATATTTACAACATCTTGCTGTTGTATCCAAACAAATAAATTTTGACTAATCTGACTAATGTCCACTAACATTGAACTTGATAAAATGAAATGGTTAAATAATTAAAAAATAAAATTATTCAAGAATACATATTGAATATACTAAGACTATATGTTAAATTTATAGTGATTGATAACTGAAAATGTGTTTGTGATTGTTTTAGAAGAATTACCTATGAATATGATCTCAAAAATAGATTGATTTTATATATCTTTCAATTCGAATCAATAAAACCAATGTCTTTTTGCATGATATGGAGTTTAAATATTCACAATCTAAATGCTAATGAATCGAATTATTTATCCCTCGATCTATTAGTGAACCATCTTTTCGCGGATTGTGAAAGATGTTTCACCGTAGATATTTTTATCATTACTTAGACTTGTATTCCTCAAAAAGTGGATGACGCTCTAATAATTCTGAATAAATTAAACACATATATTAAAAAATTAGATACCATATGTTTTTAAAGTAAAATATTAATTTTTTTTAAATTTTATATGAATCCAATACAACAAAGTAAAACAAAATAAATCGAAAGAAGATGAAAATGATTAAATTATAAATAGATTTAAAAAATATAAGAATTAATAATTAAACTAAAGGGATTGTTTGATTCCTTTAAAAAAAAAAAAAACACTAGAGGGATTAATTTATAATTTGCTCCAACCTCTTTGGGCAATTCTCAAGCCGCCAGCAGGGCAAAGACACGCCAAAAGAAAGAGAGACTATTTTGCAAACTTACAGTAGTGATCAGGGCACCGAGGTTTTTTTTAATCTTATTTACCAAAATATTATCTTGTATGCCATACAGACTCCACATGAGCATTTCAAGCCATTATGTTATTATATTATTGGGCTGCCGTCCTCAAGTTATTTTTTTTAAGCAATAAAAGTGTTTTAGAGTAATTTTTAGGCATTTTAAGACTTGCTTTCTCTAGTTTTAAAATTATCTATTTAAATCTTTTGTTAAATTATCCACATCTCGTATAAAATGTTTTTATCTTATTTATCAAAACATTATCTTTTATGCCATACGGACGAAGGACGGCCTTGATCCCGTCGTTGATTAATCGTTATTTAGCAACGAATATAAGTATTTGTTGTTAAGTCATTGTTAAATGGATAACTTTTTAATTTCAAAAGGTTGTTAATTTTTTTAGAATTAGCCACGGATATCATCTTTTAGCGATGAATCTTTCATTGCTAAAGTAAAATATTAAAAATAGTGATAAAAATAATAACTTATCGTTGATTTCAGTAGAAATTTTGTCGCCAATCTTTTGCTAAAATAACCATAAAGATTTTGACACAACAAATAGCAACGAATTTTCCTCCGTCGTTGATAAACCATCATCAAATTATTTCTAAATCTCACTTATGCTATTCAATTACTATTTTTAGTTATTTATGAACGGATTACAATCTGTCAATAAATCTCAATTTTGTTACGATGGTAATTACAAATATTATTTAGGAATAAGATAAACAGGAGGATATAATAGTTAGTAATTATTTTGACCATCAATCAAATGAATCTAAAAGGGAAGGAAAATAATATATTTAGATATAAAATTATTCATTAATGGCAACCATGAAAGATCACGTCACTTTTTTAATTAATTTAAGAGAGGGAATTAATAAGAGAGAGACAATGTTTGTTTTCCTTTTATATTTACTAGAATCTTGATTGATTAATAACCACATTTAAAAGCTATTTAATTCATTAACAAAGAAAATAACATGGTAATTAAAATATTCCATGCCAAAAAGTACTTTATTGGATAAATAAAATTAAAAATACTTTAATTTAGTAAATAAGATATCAAAGTTCCTTAAGTAACCAATATGCAGCATGCCAGAGGGCAAAAACAAGAGGAAGCAAATCAACACATTAAACAGATCCTCTGTCACCGTCTCTCCGTACACCTCATTATCGACGTTTGTTCGGCCCTTACTGCTTGCCATATAATATAATACGAACCATAAAGCACACACCCGAGACCAACGCATAAAAACAAATAGCACAACCCTTTTTATTTCTCTCTCTCTCTGTTTTTTTTTTTTTCGTCCTCTTTCTCTTTTAGCTTTTTCTCGCCCAGGTTCCTCCTCCTGCTGCGAGATTTTTTTCAGTTGCTACAAATAGAATAAGGAAAACCAATGAATCTAAGTTCAAGCTGCTATTCTCTGGACCTGCTTATTGTTAACATAGCTCTTGCTTGCATCGATGGTACTCTTGCCTCTATTGCATTCTCTCAGGTTTGTTTTCTTCTTCTTCTTCTTCTTATGGATACCCTTTCACTTTGTATTATTCTTGATGGTAGGTAGCTGAAATAAGCAATGATGGGTTGTTCATTCTGTTTGCTTGAATGTACCTAGAAATTGGGTTTGGATTTGAATTAGAGAGAAAACGGGAGGTTTTTTTTTTTTTTTTTTTTGTGTTGGAATTCGAGGGAAAGATATAAAACGATTTGGAATATTAAAAGTGGCTCGGTTTCGGAATATATATAGTTTTTCAAGATTCCCAATTTTTGATTGTTATATGTTATATTCTGGGCAAATGGATACCCGTCAAAAGGACATGCTAGAGTGGAGTTTTTTTCGCTAAGGTTCGAAATATGAGCGTGCATTTAAACTTTGGAAATCTTTGCTGAATATATGCTTCTGAATTGCAAGAAATATGTCTAAGGACTATGTAGCTTCTACTTCCTCGATAGGTATAGTCTAGACACCAGACATATAACATTAGGAATAGCAGAGTATGCTCTTTTACAAATTTGTTTTAAATTCCTTTACCTGTTAATATTGTTAATTCTTTTTCTCTTTTTTTCCCGATTGTTCTGACATATTCTAGCTATTTACCAGCTTATGAGGATTCATATGCGAAATCAACAATCTGGATGGACACGCCAGAAAGTATGCTCCATCTCCTTGTATTAAGTGAAATTCATTTATGTGTGGTGGCCCTAAAAAATGTTGCATTTCATTTTCTTCTCCCTTTTCTGGATTTTTCACCTCATGCCATAGCCACCGTTAGAGGGTTTTCTGCTACCGGAAGCTTCAAGCCATTTATCTTATGAAGATGAATGCAAATCTTGTTATTTTGTTAGCATCTGGTGTGACTTGTTAAGGATACTCATTTGGTGGTGGGGTTCTTGATTGCAGGTACTCCATCTCATGGTTGGCTCTTGTAATTTGGGTAAGTCTGAGGCATTAGGGTTCATACAGTGAAGATCATTCTTTATCTTAGTATAATGTTAAGTACGATGATTTTTCTGAATCATGTTTGGTGAATCACGGCCATTTTAGCAGTGGATTAATTCGTGGAATAATAGGATTCATAAAAAAGTAAGATGTCACAAACCTCTGCATTTATTGTCAGCCATTTCAAAAGCCAGATGATTTCTGGAGAGAATTGCATCCTTTGAGCAATTTGAGCAAATTTACCATATTGTGCAAAGGTTTGATGGGACTTGCGTTTTCAATTCCTTTTTTTCTTTTTTTCATGAGTTTCCAAATTTACATTTAGCTTTCATTTGATCAAAATGATGTTTTAGTGCAAAGTTTGAGCACGCTATCTTCTCTTTTTACAAGTTCCAATGGATGTTGGAACTGGATGTGATTCTAAGTATGCTGTTTCATAACTTCTCTCTTTTAATTATTTACATGGACCTGATCATGATAAATTAGAAAAACACATTGTTCAAGGAGATTTGCAATGTCTAGGCCACTTGGTCTATTGCATGATTACTAATTATGTTGATTTTTGAAATGTTCCAATTAGCTAATTAACTGATCAGTTCCCTCGATATCTTGACATTAATTTGCTATTTTTGAGCTCTTAATTCCATTAAAAAAAAAAAAAAACTCCCTTGAGGATTTTTCATCTTCTCTATGTTTAGTGAGCAAAAAGCTACAACCCTGATCTCTTGGTCTTGGTCCTGAAATTTGGAAGCATTAATTTCATGATTTTTTTTTTTAATTTCTATTTGACAGGTTACCTCATCTACTTTATATCCACAGTTATTGCTGCTTGTAATAGATGGCTTTGCTGGTCTCATGCATGTGGTTTTATCCTCATGGGTAGGCTTTCCTCCAGGTCACTTTTAGATGCCCTTTTTTATTGTTTCTGTCTATTCTAGTGGTCTTAGCGAACTTGTGAAATTTCTTGCAGCATTTCCCAAAATTCTGTTTTTTGCAGCATTTCTACTTCTTCTATCTTTCTGGTGAGTTTATTAGGTTCTTTTAAAGCTTCCCTCTTTTTTTTTTTTTTTTTTTTTCTGGGTTAGGTTTTCTATTTTCCCTTGCTTTCTCTGTAAGATAATGTATTCAGTCTTTGTGGTTCTCATTTGGAGATCAACGATGACTTTGCATTTGTCCAACTTGAAGAGAAGATCAAACAAGTAGAATGGTAGTGAAGGACAGATTTACAGCAGAAAGAAATACTTTGATGTGGCCATAATTAATCTCTGGAGCCTTGAAGAGGCAATACTAATGTAACAGGAAGATTTTGTTCTCTAGGTGGTGAACAAATATTGTAAGGCCAATGAATACTTCTTCAAATGGTGTTTGATGGGTAGATTTGTTGGATCAAGGTCCTGTCTATTATGTTTTCTAGGGATGCGTAAGAGGAAGAAAGAAAGAGTGTTAAGAAAGACAAATTAGAGATTAATCAAATTAGGCCATCACATATAGAACCAACTTCAACAAATTGAAGCATAGGATTATTTTGTTCTTGTTTTGGTTCCTTGAGCTGATTTCTATTAATTGCTGTCAACATGGTTATTTTTTTTCTTATCTGATAGTTCTGGAATTAATCTTGGGAGGCTTTGGGCTTTGGATATCTTTAATCTATAGATACTTCATGGTAGGCCAACATCTTAATATTGCAGGAAGAAACTTGAAGTTGACATTAATGAAAGTAGTGTACAAATGGATTTGACGGTCATCTTCTTAGCATTTATCTCTACAAGACATTGTATTAAGAATGGTATACTGTAATTTATGAGCTACATATATCTTTTTTCATGGATAATGATTTATAGGGTCGACCTTTGCCATCAGGCAAATGAAGAAGATGACGACGATGAAGAAAATAGCTCTCAACAGCCTTTGTTGGAAAGTGCAAAGAATAAGCCTGGTTCAGCGAACACAGATGGTTGTTGGAGATGGTGCTCACTCCGTGGTATTCATGTCGGCAGTCGTCAGAAATTTGTTATCACAGTACGAGAAGTAGTTTTCGAAATTCTGTCATTTTATTTTCACATTTTGTCTATTGATTCTGGAATATCATGGCTCTCTGTCTCTGTCTCTCTCTCAATGATTATAATTTTTTTTTTTAATAATGTAGGTTGTAGTGTTGATCTTTCTCTTAATGCTGTCATTTGCTGTAATAATCTGGATTGGAGTGGGAAAGAATCCGATTGATTCTTCAGTAGTTGCTCGGGTATTAATCCATCCCTTCCTGCTTATAACGATGACAGCACAGGAAAATAGCAGAACTTTTTCTTTTTGAGGATTTAATTGTTGGTTCGTTAACCTTCTGGAAGTTGTGAATGAGTTGTGTTTTGCTTCTGTGAATGACAGAAAAGCTGAAGTAAAATATATGTGACACACATACACACATTTTATCTTCAGAACTGCAAATTATTGTTAATTACCTGAATATACTGTGCAGGTATATGTAGATTTTTTTGCCACTGCAATCCTCATACTGGGAGGGGCTTTAGGTTGCTACGGTAAGTAACTGCAATGTTTTTCTATGCCAGTTAAATTTAGTTGGAAATGACAATAGATAGCACATTAAAATATGTTACAGTTTGAGAAATATCTGTCATAAAAGCAATGTGACGTTTTCAGATACCTTTGCTCAGCTAAATATTCTAATGATATATTGTCTGCCAATAGATGCTGGAAGGGTAAATTTCAAATCATTAAATAAGGTTACTGGTTAGTTCCTTGACCAATGCATCGTTGTAATTCTTTGTTTTTTTTTCCCCTTTTCAGCAACATAATTTTGAGCTTATCTTCTTTTTTGTATGCATTATCATGTCCATTTTTATGCTGATTTTGTTTAAATCTTGTGTATGAATCCTATGGTATTTCTTGAATCTCCCTTTTATCTTGATTTCTCTTCTTGAATAGAGGATACAAAACATAGTTAAAAAAAAAAAAAAAAGAACTTCCAGAAAATGCTTGTTGTGGCTATTAGAATTCACACAGCTATGTAGGATCTAAGAAGATGAATAGCTCTATATATGCTAAGTGAAGAAGGTTTATTTTTGTATGCATCTCCAATCAAGGTTGTTCCATCGGGTATTTGTTTCCAACCATCAGCCATTTGACTTTTCATGTTCAAGTCTTATCAGTTAGTACAGTGTTTATGTTCATGCATGGTTTCAAACTGTAACTTATGTATGTATTTTACTTAGAAACTGTCTATCTTTTTTACCTGGTATGCTAGCATGAATGGTTTCATGTGTTTTTATCTATATAAGTTCATTCTTCTTTCTTTGGACTATCTTTCACTCGCTGTTTTTTCAGGTCTTGTCCTATTTCTTAAATTGAGGAAAGTAAGGTCTGAGACAGCTTCATCTGAGATGCGGAAGGTATTCTCTCTGTGATTTGCCTTTTTATAGGTTTTGATTAGAATATTTTTCTTACCATCTTTATGCCACCAACTATATTCTTATTTCTTTGAACGTTATAATTTACAAAACACATTGGCTCTTCCTTTCTGTACAAACTGGAATAACTTGATTGTGTTCAGATTTCGTAAAATTTTCCATGATATGCAGGTTGCTGGTCTAGCAGTTGTTTCTGTTGTATGTTTTACGTCAAGTGCTGCAATAGCTCTTTCTACAGATATACCTGTAAGTGGTTGATTGCTGCTGGGGTTATCAGTTTCTGCCTTGGCATGTACAGTTTTTAATCTCAGTTCACTTGGCAGCTTCTATATCATTGGAGTATGAAGAATATAAATGAAGCAAAAACAGTAGTTCTCCTAGTTTTTTACTATTTTATAGGTACTTCCTCCACCTTGTTTACGTATGTTTTTCAGCATACCAAAAGATTGGTTGTTTGGTCTAGTGAACTTAGAAATGCTGTAGGCAACGACTATGTCTACGTGATTATCTAGGTCCATATCTTCGAATGCCAAGCTTAGTAACAATAACTTGTGGCACCAATGGTCACGTAGCTGAATGTTGGAAGGTGTCATATGCCTTTGCTTTGAAACTAGAATTTATTGGATAAGTGTTGTAGGAATCCATTACAAATGAAAGAAGTTTGACAGTTGGAGAAGGCTGGCCTTGGATAGTCATATTTATCATTATGCTATTGCACTATTGGGTGTGGGATGATATCAATTTGATACATCCTTGCCAAACATGGAGAATTAAAGATTTGACTTCACTAGCCAGATTAGTTTCTTTGAGAGATACTTCCCTTAATAACAGAAAAATTGAAGTGACCCATGGTTTAATAGGGGTTTTAATTGATAAAATTAACGAGTCATTTAATTTTTCCTTAGTTCTTGAACTTTAAGGGAGTCGGGTCTTAATTTTTGCAATTATGGAGGCAAAACTAATTTTTATTCAGTTCACAGGCATGCGTTTTTGTAAATTTGTCAGCAGCATATCTATTATTGCTACAAACTTGTTGTTTTCAGGTTCATCCGTGCCCTCAGCTTTTGTATTATGGGTCATGCGAGAATTGCCAACCCCAGTTATAATTACACAAGCACAACCAAGAGCAGTAACTTTCATCAGTTATGGGGCTGAAGGGACACAAAATCCTCGGCACTGGGTTGCTGCAACGACTTCAAAGAATCAGGTTTTTATTTATTTATTTATAATTTCTAGAAACTAATTATTTCCTCGAGCTCGTTTAGGTGTCGACTTTAAACAGCATTTCTGAGTTGGAAATGCAAATAGAAAATCCTTATTATGGCATATTGGACATTGTTTAGGAATCCCAGTGATGATCCCTAGAAGTCTGATACATAACAGGTGCCTCACACACTAGTCAAGCAACAAATCTTGTGAATCGTGTATTAGTGTTAGATGATGATATTGTAAAGCTTATAAAATCAAAGCACGTGTAGCATTTTAAGCTAAAAGTCCACTCTGGGTGCTTGTATACCTTAAGAGGGAAGTTTGCCCATCGAAGTATCTATGTGTTGGCTTTGAGACGCCAAACTCAGAATTCTATAGTGGGCGCAATCACAAGAAGGAAGGTTTCTTCTTTATTACCCTCGTATTCCTTGCTTGCATCTTGGTAATCTTGGTGCTTTTGCAATAAACTTGTTGTTGCAGCAACTACTTTTTCATTACATTTTTACCTTCGCATGAGACTGGACCAAAATACTAGAAGTCTCTTTCTTTGCAATTTCATTGCAGGTGTCAAAAGCAAGTCCAATATAAGCATGATCATGACAGCTGTGCTAAAGAATGCGGAAAGTGTAGAAAGCTGAGTGTGTTACGAGTGGAAGTTCAATTGTGCCATATGACAGAGCCAGCAGCTTCCTTCACTCCTCGCGTTTAAATTACCTACTCCTGGTTGGGCATCAAATTTTGACATTAATGATTGTACATAACTGTTATCATAGTGAGTGAGACCAATGCTTTCTCTAAAAGAGTTCCACTTTCTCATCATCTCCATGGAAAAATCACCTTAGAAGGCCTCTATGAAAAGATTTCTGCTAACATCTCAAAATGATTTTTCTTCATATACCTCGAATAATTGTCTTCACAGTTTCTTTTCTTGTACTGTTAACATGGTCTGCAGGCCGTGTAATGCCTGACTTGGCTCTGGTAACTTCCCTGGAAGGCTGGAACAGCTATCGCGAGGGTGTTATGCCATTTTCTGCGAGCACGTACGAGTTAGAAGATGACTTTCGTTTCCCCTGTATTGATAAATTAATTAACATTTTACACGTATGCCTTTTTCTCCCTCGCCATTATAGTATTCCAGTACGATGTTAATTTAATAAGGAGACAGTGACTCCACGGAGGAAATGCCATCTTTAACTTTTCAGAACCTGAACTTTAGTCCAGAACTTCGTCAATAATTTTTCTACTTCTGGCTGGATCTTAGAACTTAGCCCCTTGAACATTAAACTTATTTGGCTGGATTAGATGCCTCAATTTCACTGGACATAAAGATATACATATGCAAGTACGTTCACGCTCATGTAGTGCGAAGCATAATGATCACGGTCGAGTTTTCGCATGAAAAGGTGGGAGCAGGAAACTGTGGCTTGGTGAGCGTGTTAAGTAAATTTGTCATTTTTTTGTACTTTATTATCAAGTATTTTTATGAATTTTAAAAATACAAGGTTATATTTTTAAGTGAAAAGGGCTAGACAAAAAAGATGAGCAAAATTTTCCATAAAATAATTGAAAGACAGCAAAAGGACAAAACTAAGTCCGAGAAAAGAGAAGAATGTATAGGAAGATTGCATGAAACGACTAGTTTGTCAGTTGTTACGTTAAACAGTGTTGACAAAAAAAAATAAAAATAAAAAAACACCTAACTCCATGATATGAACATGAAAATTTGTTGGCTGAATTGCTCTGTACATTAGGCGTCCGGACAGAAAGATTATTTCACCATCATCCTTACGAGGTTGTACTCTCTCAAGTCTATGTAGAGTTCAAGTTTCATAGATCGTTCTTACATGAGTGGGAGAAAAGTCACAGCACTAAATTTCAGACTCATCTCACGGCCGGAGCTTTTAATAAAATTTAATGTTTAGGACTAAAATTTTAAATTTTTTAAATATATAAAATGAAGAAGAAGGACTAAATCCACGAAAGAAAAGAAATCCAAATAACTTTTTCCAATAAAGTACAGACAGTTGTGCAAAGATCACATGGAAGCAGCTATTTTTATCGTGTAAATAGTCTCGCACTAAGGCCCTAAAAAAGAAAGGGTTTAGTAATTGCAGAAATATCTCTGTTGTTTGTTTTGTTTTTATATGTCTTTTTGCTTTCTTTCTTTCTTTTTCTTTTTTTTTCAATCTCTTAACTTTTTGAACCAATATTATTAAATACGCAGTCGCACATGATCGTTACACATATTAACTTCGTCTTTTTTTCATCTTAACTTGTCTATCTATTTTTTTTATCCCACGTAAATAAATAAATAAAAGATGAATATGCATTTGGTAATTCTCTCAATAAACTGGAAATAAAAAAATTAAAATAAATGAGTGAATATTTAATTAAAATTCACTTTTTAAAATTAAAAAAATATAAATATTTTATTTTATATTTAAAATTTATTTATTATCGTAGAAATAAATTTAAATTTATAAAATATATTTTTAATCTTCTCTTTTTTTTATATTCAGTTTTTAGAAAGAATAATCCGGTCACTTTTTTTTCAAATTTTATTTATTTAAATTTAGTAAAAAAATAGAAAAACAAGATTAAAAAAGAAAAAAATAAGGTTGACATGTGTTGTAATTCCATAAAACTATACAAGTTAATAATTTAACATCATCAGTCTAAAAAATAATCAGAATAAATAATTTAAAACAAAAATCAAACATAAATAGACAAACTGAAGATAAAAAAAAATAAAGGGATATTTTTTTTACACGAAAAAAGATTAGAAGAACCGACAACCTTCGACCGAAAAAAGAAACCCTTCCTTTACATTTCCCGTCACCAATCCCAGCTTCCACTTACAAAAAGCAAAAGCACTCTGCTCTCTCCTCCGAAAAAGCAGTACTTACTGATTGCTTCATTTGTTTATCAAAACTCAAAAAAGCAAAAAAGCAGCCTCCCCTAAAAATTAAAATCCCTAAATTCAATTCTTTTCTTGCCATCAGAGCAATCACTTTGCCCCACTCCACACTCAAAGCATCAATCTTTGTCTCTCTATCTACAAAAAGAAGAATGATCTCTCTCATTCTCACTACTTCGACCAACCCTAACATAGCGGACAAGATAGCGAAAACCAAAGAAACTTCGATCATTTTTACTCAACTTGAAAATCAAAGGTATTGTCGATTTAATTACTATTGGTTTTGTGGATTGGGGTTGTGTAATTGGAGATGGCGAGTTCGAGCGGGACCAGGAACGAAGGAGGTCCGCCTCGGTCGCACTCTCGGAGAATGACACGAGCGCCGTCGATTATGTTGGATTTGTCTGATGAGGATAGTAGTGCCCCTGATAGTGAGCTAGTGCCATCTTCTTTGGCCGCTCTCGCTCCTATTCTTCGCGTCGCTAATGAGATTGAAAAGGAAAATCCGCGTGTCGCCTATCTCTGTACGTAACCTCCTCCACTGCTCCTTTACCTTTTCTTTTTAAAATTTATTTTACTTTCCCCCTAAACAAACAATACAGTATACAATTGTTATTATATTTATTTATATTTTTGTGCAATCAGGCCGATTCCATGCATTTGAGAAGGCTCATCATATGGATAAAACGTCGAGTGGACGTGGAGTCCGACAGTTCAAGACCTATCTGCTGCATAGGCTTGAGAAGGTATAACTGATTTTTTTTTTTTTTGGTAATATTTTGTTTCAGCTACGGGGATTTTGTGAATGATTTGTTGTAGAGGTTTCAATAATTCTGTCTTGTTTGACCTTAGATTTTTCACTCTGAACTAATGATTGGATTCTAAACGAAGTAGACGAGTTGTGGTGTTGGTCGTGATCCTCTCTAATGAAATTTGTAGCTTATAGCTATTTTCTTTTCTTTGTTTCAAGTATTAATGAAGTGAATTTGTATGGGCTGCATTGTTGTGAATATACATAGTGTTCTCGTAGAAAATCCCTTTCGTTTTAGCATTTCAAACTTTTAACCGGCAGGCAGTATTTACTCCTTGGCATCTGGTAAATTTGAAAATCTTTAAGGCTTTATGAAAAATCATCTGACATACACCATGCATAAATTGTGTTCTGAAGTTCAAGATGCCACTCAAATTTAGTTCTTGTTGTAAAACGAGGCAAATTTTGGTAGTGGTTGATCGCATCCATGAAAAAAACTAAACTGCTCCCCTGATATTTTTTTAATCCTACTTCCTTTAGGTTACCTGAGTTTCTTAGTTTAACTGCTTGCCTGATTCTTAATTATCTTAATTAAAAATAACTACCATGCTGCTGACCTGAATCTCAATGGAAAAAATTATCACACTGCTTGCATGACTTGTTGGAGCATCCTTGGTATACTAGCTGAAGTTTGGTATGACTTTACAATAGTAGCTTATGGAACCTCTTGGGTTGGATACTCATAAAAGGTATTTAGAAAATGCCTGTATATTGTCTTGTCTGATATGTTGCATTTGCCTGTTTTTGTTGGGCCTGAACATGAGAGGGACATTGTATAATCTTATAATGAGCTGGATAAGAAAGTCTGGTTTAGCCTTATCTAGTGTGCTACTTTCTCACCAACTAACATAAGCCTTTTTGTTGGATGCGCCAAACGTTAGAAACATTTTATATAATCCTGTTCTGGATAACACTTCCAGTGCTGCTCTGCAATGCATTATTCTTGGTGCTCTACAGAATTTCCATCTCAATTGGGAACTGTTGATGTTAATATTTGAACCTCTCAGCATTCTAAAATTTTTGTATTAACAGTATTGATTTGCTATAGTTAGAAGGCCTCAGAATCCACTGCCTTATACAAGTGCATCTTATGAAAGTTACCCTGCTGAATGTCTAATCCCAGAAGGGTAAAGGGGTGTGGGTGTGGCAATTAGCGCTAACAGTATTGAATTAGATGAACAGTGTGGTGCCTGGAAGAATGGTTTATGTTATCTATGGAATTGTTTCTCGGTTGTAAGATTTCAGTGCTGAAAAATGTCAATGGTCTTGACCATGTAACCTTTAATCTCATTCTCTCATAGAACTTCTGTAATTGCTAATGAACATGCTGATGGATGATTTTGATTCCTTTCGTCTTTCATGATATTCTGCAGCATAGAAAGATTGGTATTTATGTGTTTTTTCTTTCTATTCTGGCTTTTCTTTTATTTTTAATTCTTGCCTGCTATCTCATTCTCGTCCAAATTCTTCCAATCATGTTCCATAATTTATTTTTTTTGTGCTCTTACTCTCCTGGGGATTGCCTCGACCTGGATATATTGACGGAGTAAACTGTAGTTTTATTAAGAGGGAAAAATTGGGCTTTAAACTGAATATTGAATACGAAATTGTAGAGAAACTGCTGAACTGATTTATGATTTAGCCTAATCACATCTTCCTAAAACCTAATTAGTCATCAGGTAACCTGTTCAATATATAAACAGGCTTAATATATATTTTTTTTCATTTAACCTCAATAATACATTCAGATTGCAAGTTCCTGTTACAAAAAAAGAAGATATTATCAGATTGCTGTATTAAGAATACACTCAAAATTATATTCTAGAGTTCTCAAAGAAATGATTTAAGACCATTTAAATTTCTGCTTTTTGTAGGAAGAAGATGAAACAAGGCCTCAGCTTGCAAGAAATGATCCAAGAGAAATTCAGTTGTATTACCAAAAATTCTATGAGCAGAACATCAAAGATGCACAACACACAAAAAAACCGTGAGGCCTGATTATTTTAAGGAGCCTTTTTTTTTTTTTTTTTTTGTCTATAGTTGTCTTGCCAAAGTTACTAAGCATTTACCTTCTTTTTTGCGTCAACTCTTGCAGGGAGGAGATGGCTATGATTCTTCGCATTGCTACAGTATTATATGATGTGCTGCAAACGGTTGTACCTACAGGAAAAGTTGACAATGAGGTTTGATTTGATTGATTTCGGCATCCTGGCATGAGTTCTTAAGGTACATGTTTGCATGTGGAAGGTGCTTAATCATGGATGTCCAATTGATTTTATTGTCACAGACACGAAAATATGCTGAGGATGTTGAGAGGAAAAAGGGACAGTATGAACACTACAACATTCTTCCATTATATGCTGCTGGGGTACAACCAGCAATCATGGAACTTCCAGAGGTTGGATGTTGTAGTATATATAACCTTTGTTTTGCTTGAGCTAATTACATTAATTGTGAATGCCTGAACTTTAACATGGTTATCCTTGAAAATATAGATCAAAGCTGCACGTCAAGCTCTACATAATGTTGATAATCTTCCAATGCCCAGAATTAGGCTGCCACATGATTTCCGTGATGACTCGCATCAGGAAAGGGTTAAATCTGTCAATGACATACTCGATTGGCTTTCATCTATTTTTGGGTTTCAGGTAAGTTGCACCTTCAGTTCTATCTTTGCAATTTGTTTTCTTATTCACATCTAAAATGTTAGTTTTGGGTCATCTGTTATTCAGCTCTGAAGTAATCTGCATGTGTAGCTTCTAGACCTTTTAGTTTCTTAAAGGACTCACGGACATAAATGCTTGGACCTTTGGGTCACAGTTCACTATTATTTATGTACTTTATTCACTTATTCCTTTTGAGAATTGGCGGCACAGCAGTATTGTTCTTTATGAAGCTAGGTGAATCTTATATGGCAATGAGGAGATTACAATGAAAGCAATAAAGAAATTAATGCATCTCTTTCTAATGCCTGCGGAAAAAAACCCAGAATGTTTCTAAATGGATAGAAAGACGAACTATTTCAAATTTGGAATAACTTATAAAGAACAGACTGGGAACAGTTTACTTCAGAGCTGTACCATCCCTATTCAAACCAATCATACTGAATTGATAAAAATAAATGAAATTTGTGGTTAGGATCAGGGTTATTTTCTTTGGTGAGCTATGGGTGTGCCGTAAAACCTAGACAGATTTATTATTCACTTTTCTTTGGGTTTTGGGAGGGGCAAAGAAGGCAAGACCCTTTCGAGAGGTGCAATTTTTTTATAGAAAATCAGTTATCTAAGGTTAGGGTGGTTTTTATAGCTTATTTGTGCCAGTTGATTTTTCAGAATGATTTGTAGAACAGTAGAAGTGGTTTTGTGTTAGTTTAGAAGATGCCTTGTCATACTTAGTATTCCATTTTCTTTTCCTTCATTAATAAAATTTCCTCTTCTGTACAAAAAGAAACGAACCACCCCCCCCCCCCCCCCTCCCTCCTCTCGAATAATCAAATGTGACTAACATATGGAAAAACAAGACTGGTGTTGCATGGATTTGACCATCTGTTTGTCTTGTTAGATATCTAGTGTGGGTTTCACTAACACCTTTAGAGTTGCCACAAAAATATCATAGTTTGATGGTCATAATGAAACTTGTGTGTTATGTTCATATAATCAAGTCAGCTTTATGCATACAAGTTTCTGATTCAGTTATGACTCCTTATATTATTATCTTGTCTATGAAGTTTAACAAAACGAATATCAGTTTTTATTTAACTATATAATGCTTTCTTTGTTCTTGTGGGGGATCAAAGCGAGGAAATGTGGCAAATCAGAGGGAGCACCTGATATTGCTACTAGCCAATATGGATGTAAGGAATAGGAATCTTGACAATTATACTGAGGTAAAAGCTTGATGCTTTATATTCACTTATCTTGTATGAATTTATCATTCTTCTATTCTCTCTATAAAAGCCTTTTTGCTCTTTTAACTTCTTTATATCATTGTCTTTCAAAGATTGAAATAAAGCTTATTGCAGCTCAATAGTGGGACCATACAATTATTGCTGGATAAAATTTTCAAGAATTATCGTTCGTGGTGTAACTATTTGCACTGTAAATCAAATCTGAAGTAAGTTATTGTGCCACTGTCAAAGTCCTAAGTTAAATTGCAGTTGGTAAGATGTATTTTCAGGTGATTGAAGTTTTTGATCTTGTAGGCTCCCTGAAAAGTCTGAGAACAAACAGTTAAAGCTTATTTACATTGCACTCTATCTTCTTATATGGGGTGAAGCTTCAAATATACGATTCATGCCAGAATGCCTTTGCTATATCTTCCACAATGTATGTTTGTTTATGAGACTTTTTCATGGAGTATTGTCAAGTTAGAATTAAATAATTTTAGCATGGCAGCAGTTTTTTCTCGTTCTTATGATATGTGTGTAAGTAGTGAAATTTCATTTTGCATCCTTGATTAGTTATTGTTATAGTCATCCATCATGAGTCTTAGAAGTACATTCAACATAAAATGTTGTATAGGAACTATGATTTACGTGTTCTGGTAGCATTGTAGCCCTTTGTTTTCCTAAAAGAGATAAATGAAAATTTGAATGAATTAAAGAAAGGGGCTGAGTTTTTTGTTTAACAGAAAAAGGTAAGATCTTCAAGAGAAAGGGAATCCTGAATAAGGAGAGCAAGGCAAATTCTGTGGAGAATATAAAAGATTGTAAAAGATTAAGGAACAATGGCTTTCTAGTCTTATTGAATATCCACTAAAGAAACTCCTAAATGCTCCAGATAGATTGCACCACAAAGAAGCTACGAAAATAATTTTATCCCACATTTATTATGCTAGGATTATTATTATTATTATTTTTTATCATACCGCTGCAAATATTACACATTTATGCAAAATCTTACGGTCCTTCCTCCCAAAACCCACCAACTGCATAAGAAACAAGTCTTCCATCTTACTAGGGTTGCTGATGCTCACCAGTGGTATCAGAAATTGGATTCTATATATCCCAACCCAGATGACAATGTATCAAACGATGGTCAAGTATCTCCCCATTACTAAGCTACATGAGAAGTACCTTATGAGGCCTCTTTACTTGTAACCGGTTGTTAGAATTAGCCTAATCATCTACTAATGTCTGAAATAAATGTCTTAATCTTGGTATCCAAATACTAGAATGCATCTGTCTTGCTGGTTATTTGGTTACACTTTGTATATAGCATATTGCCTTGACTTCCATTCTTTGTACCACTTGTGCAAATTAGTTTACTAGAAGCATTGATGCCAGTTATGATAGCAGAACTCTATCGTCACCAGAAATTAATTTTTGGCATATAATTCTCCCATCTTAGAAAATCTAATGAATCATTCATTGGGGTGGCATCTGTTTAGCTTCCTGCATAATAATTTTTTGATGTTCCATATCTTTTTTGTATGCGAATGTAATGCTCTCCTTATTTCCCAATGTATAAGATGGCACATGAAGTCTATGGAATATTATATAGCAATGTGCATCCTGTCAGTGGGGAGACATATGAAACAGCAGCACCTGATGATGAAGCCTTTCTGAGGAACGTTATAACCCCAATCTATCAGGTTTTGCGCAAGGTAAATTTTAAATCAATTTGCTGTTTATGTATTCAACTTTCACTGACATCTTACATCTGGAAAATGATTTCATTTCTTGAAAAAGGAAGCAAGGAGAAACAAAGGAGGCAAGACTAGCCATTCAAAATGGAGAAATTATGATGACCTAAACGAGTACTTCTGGTAAGATCCTCTGAAGAGTAAGTTCTGTTTCTACAATTAGTCAAGACTACCGAGAACTAACTTTTTCTATCTTTTTAGGTCTGGCAAGTGTCTTGACTTAAGTTGGCCTATGGACCTTCGAGCAGATTTTTTTGTTCATTCTGATGAGATGCCACCAGCAAGTGAGGTACCTCTCTCTCTTCTACTCCCCCTCACCCAAAAACCCAAAAAAAAAAAATAAGTGGGGGCGAGGGGGATAAGGAATCCAAATATTCCCAGACCACAGTGTAGTAGCCTTTTACTGAAGCATGTGGATGACTATGCTTCACAAAAAGTGAGACATCATTGAGCATGGTGTTTGTTGCTGATCTTTAAATTCATATCACTATTTTTGAAATATCTTTCAATTGGTTTCTTGGTTTTTTTCCCTAAAATGTGATGTAATGATGTTAGCAATGTTTAAGCCATTGATAATAATGTTAGTTTTTGATGTTGAACTGTTGAAGTTCTTCTGTCTTCCTGAATTTCTTTTCAAGTTCTTTGTATTCCCTTGGGAAGTGCTCTATCATGCATTTCTTTCGAACATTTTGTGTTGAAGTTTGTATGCTTTTTGCAGAGATCTAACCAAGGCACTGGTGGAAAGAGGAAGCCTAAAACTAATTTTGTTGAAGTCCGCACTTTTTGGCATCTCTTTAGAAGTTTTGACCGAATGTGGATATTTTTTATATTGGCTTTGCAGGTGGCCTAAAATGTTGCTGGGTTAATGTTTTCAATCAATTTCTCTGTTGGAATCAACTGAATATGAACTCGTTTTTCAGGCTATGATAATTATTGCATGGAGTCCTTCTGGATCCATTGCATCCTTTTTCGATGAGGATGTCTTCAGAAGTGTTTTGAGCATTTTTGTCACTTCTGCATTCCTTAATCTTCTGCAAGGTATTGGTGAAATTCTTAATACTTTTTCTCGTCCAGATATATATATATATATATATATATATATTTGCTATTTTAATTTCTATTGCTTTTATACCTTCTGAAATAAAAATTTGCTTGCATTATTGTCTACTTATGGTAGCAGTTCTTGTGGATATCAACCAAATAAAATAAAGCTTTACGATTGTATTGCTTTTTGCAATGTCTCAATTTATATTAAACATTAATATGAATTTTATAAGTTTCACAGACTGTTATATCCTGCTATGGTTGTGTTGTTATAGATTGCGCAAATTCTTTTGGTGCTCCCTTGACATTTTCACCTTCTGTTTTGCAGCTTCTCTGGATATAATTCTGAGTCTTAATGCATGGAGGAGCTTAAAAGTCACACAGATACTACGGTACCTTCTGAAGTTTGCTGTGGCTGCTGCATGGGCTGTGGTTCTGCCAATTGGTTATTCCAGCTCTGTGCTGAATCCAACAGGACTTGTAAAGTTTTTTAGCACTTGGTCTATGGATTGGCAGAATCAGTCATTTTATACTTATGCTGTTGCAATTTATTTGATACCCAATATGTTGGCTGCTATACTTTTTGTGCTTCCACCTTTACGGAGAACCATGGAACGTTCAAACTGGCGGATTGTTACTATCTTTATGTGGTGGGCTCAGGCAAGAATATCTAGAACTGTTACTTCACACTCAGCTGTTTCTGTGCATGTGTGTGTGTGTTTCTTGTTTGGTTAATATTCTAGATTTTGTTCCTTTCTCTTCATCCTAGGGGTTGCCTTACATATGTTTTGCCTTCCTGCAGCCAAAACTATATGTAGGAAGAGGCATGCATGAGGATCCATTCTCACTTTTGAAGTAAGAGAAACAAATGCTATTGATTGTTATTTTATTTTCATTTTTATTTTTTTGGAGGGGATGAGTGAGGTTTCAAGGAAGTTTCATGATTGGGTTCTAGTATTTTATTAATGTTAGAATCCTTATTGGGAAATTTAACATGAATTTGATGCCTCTGTAAAATAGAGGTTCTCTCTTTCTCCTAAAATCTTGGTATTTTCCTATGTACAGGTATACATTGTTTTGGATCCTGCTGATAATCTGCAAGCTAGCATTTAGCTACTATGTGGAGGTTTTTTTCCCTTAAACATCTTAATTGTTGAAATTCAGTATCCCTTGGGATAAAAATTTGATAATCTTATTCTGAGTTCAAATGATTAAATACTCACAGCACACATACACGTGTGCATGCACAATAATGTTATAAGTTTGCTTATATGCTTGTATTTGGAATTTGGATCTATACACATGAAATAAAGATATTCAGATAAGAGCATGGAATTGTCATGAACATGTTTAGGAGGAACTTTGAAGTCTTTTCTCCACCACCTAAAAGGGTGTTACTCTTGTAGAACTTCTCATCACATGCATTTATACTTCTCAAATTAAAGAACAGTGCATGCGGTATAGTTTGGCAGTTAACGGATAGAAACTCAACTTCCTGGAATTTACATCTATTTGGAACGCTCTTTCAAGGTAGTTGTCATGTGAGATATTTCAAATTGCTCCAATGCTAAAACTCCTAATTACAGGACTGATTAGAGAGCAAAAGTACAATTTCTGAGAGAGATGGTATCTTAGCCCATGTATAATATTGGGAGAAACGTAGTTTTCCTGAATTTTCTTCATCTGTTCCAGAAACAGTAATCCTACTATGGGAAAGTATGGTGAGAGTGCTAAACTTTGTTAGTCTTATCTCATACGATCGAAATCTTTTGCCAAGCATATAAGAAATTCTTATATGTTGCCTACCATTCTAATAATAAGAAGGAATACAACTTCTTTTTATTTTCTTTGGAGCCTTTAACTTAATAATGAAAACTGTGATATTTTTTAACAAAAAAAGTGCCAAAAACAAGCTGTTAAAATTCTTTGCTTATTAATTACTGTACTGTTCTCGTGAATTTCTGCGGTAAATAAACTATAGATGTGGCAAAACATACAATCTGATTCTGTATTTGTCCATGTTATAGGTTCTTTACTTTTCAATTTCGATTTACGTGGAACATGTGTTTTCTTGGATGATCTGTCAAATTCATTTGCTTATACCCTGTATCTTGCATATTTGTAAACAGATACTGCCTCTAGTTGGACCGACAAAGTTGATTATGGGGATTCATGTTAATAACTATCAATGGCACGAATTCTTTCCCCACCGTAATATTTTCACCCATTTCTATGACTATTGGTACTTTCTTTCATCATGGAGTTATAACCAAGTCCTGTTTTGAAACTGCTGTAGTTATGTATAACATTGGTGTTGTTATCTCAATATGGACTCCTATTCTTCTGGTAAGTGGACTGAATAAAAAGTTTTAGGTATGAGAAACTTTATAGCATTATGTTACGCAACAAACTCTTACAATAAGTTAAGATAAATTCCATTATTGTATTAGGTTTATTTTTTGGATGCACAAATATGGTATGCCATATTTTCTACTCTTGTTGGTGGGATTCAAGGAGCCTTCAGCCATTTGGGTGAGGTTAGTGGTCATTTTTTTCTCATATAATGATATATTAGCTATCATATGATGCGCAATGATCTCATTTACCCGACATTGTTTTGATTGTTATAGAAGATTTGGAATATTAGTTCATATTTGATTGGATGGAAAATATGTAGTTGATACATTGTGGTTTTCATTCTGCATAACACTCATAACATTTTATTTTTCAGATAAGGACCCTAGGGATGTTACGGTCCAGATTTGATTCCGTGCCTTCAGCTTTCAGTCGTCATCTTGTGCCATCATCAAACAGGGATGCTAACAGGAAACATTTTGTGAGCAATTCTGACAAATCTTGTAGTAGTTTTCTTATTTGCACTGGCAGTTTGATATTTTTTCTGTTGATGTTCCATTTTGTGCCAAATATAAAAGCAGCGATATTATTTTGTTTTCCAATTTATTTATGCAGCAATCAATTGGAACCTTCTATTCTTTGTCTTTGTCTAAATCAGCAATTCTCTTCATGGCAGGATGAGCAGCAGGAAAGAAAAAATATTGCAAATTTTTCACATGTGTGGAATGGGTTCATACAGTCTTTGAGAGGGGAGGATCTGATCAGCAATCAGTTGAGACTCTTCTTGCTAAACAATTTGTTCAATATGTAAAGTGCATCATCTTTTATAGTTATAAGAATTTTAATGTACTTCACTGTTCAGTGAAAGAAGCTTGCTACTTGTGCCATATTCTTCAAAGGATGTCTCAGTCATCCAGTGGCCTCCTTTTTTGCTTGCTAGCAAGGTATATACATTCATTCATTGTTATTCTTAATATTTGTACTCAATGCAATTCCAGTTCCAACTTATCTCCTTTTGTTGATTGACACATGACAGATTCCTATAGCATTGGACATGGCAAAAGATTTCAAGGGAAAGGAGGATGCTGAGTTATATAAGAAGATGGATGAATATATGCAATCAGCATTGATAGAGTGTTATGAAGCATTGAGTGACATAATAGAGGGGCTTTTGGAAGATGATGCGGATAAGTTGTAAGAAGCATTCATCTTGCGAGTTTGAGTCTCATAAGTAATATTAGATGAATCTGGTTTTATATGATTGATTATTTATTCTTTTCCAAATAGGATTGTCAGAGAAATATGTAATGAGATAGATGAGAGCATACAACAGAATCATTTTTTGAATGAATTCCGGATGAGCGGATTGCCTATGCTTAGTGACTATTTGGAGAGATTTCTAAGAGTCCTGGTAATGTGCTTTCTTTATGCTTTCGTTTATTTCCTTTTTCTTTAATTTTTTAGCATTTTAAATTGGAACTTGTCGTCATGGTCTGCACTTGCTCATGTCTGAGTGCTCACACTAGTTTGTTGACAGATAGGTGATCATGACAATGATGACATTTACCAATCTCAGATAATTAATGGTCTCCAGTCTATTATAGAAGTTATCACTCAGGATATTATGACGCATGGCCATGAGTAAGTTCCGAATTATTACTTACTAGGATGCCAAAATAATTTGTGACAGATTGAGCCTTGATAACTTATGTTTGATCACCTATGCCTGCAGCATTCTGGAAAGAGCTCACTCAAGCACCTCAAGGGATCATAGTATGAAAGAACAGAGGTTTGGAAGGATAAATATGACACATAGAGATACCAAGTATTGGAAAGAGAAGGTTGTCCTGACACTTTTATATTTTGTTACAATTATCATATTATGACTTCATATATACATCTTCAATTTTTATATTGTTTACATTTCTCTGTAGGTTACTAGGCTTCATTTACTTTTGACCACCAAGGAATCTGCCATAAATGTGCCATCGAACTTAGATGCTCGCCGCCGAATCACTTTCTTTGCAAATTCCTTATTTATGAACATGCCGAAGGCTCCAAAAGTCCGAGACATGTTCTCTTTTAGGTGAGTGATTGAAAAACGCTAATTTTGTAACCAAAAATGTTATAGGTGGGACTAGTTTTTGTCTGTACTTTCATCATAGCAATAACATATTCTAAAAAAATCATCTTCAACATGATCATGGCTTGTTACCACAATCAGGTCAGAAATGAAGAAATGATGTTATGCTCGTGCAAACATGAAAAGAATTGTCTTAAGAAGGATCGCTCAGTTTCTTCTCTTATTCACCATCTTTAGAATTGGTCATATGCTTCTGTTTGCTCATTTTCTTCCATATGGATAATCATTCATTGGTCATAAATAAATGGCTACTTATTTTCAGTTTTTTCTATTCTGACATAGATTTCTTGTGATATCGTTAGTGTTTTGACTCCCTATTACAAAGAAGATGTTCTTTATTCTGATGAAGAACTTCATAAGGAAAATGAAGATGGGATAACAATTTTGTTCTACCTAAAGACCATATATCGCGGTGAGTTTCAGACCAGTTCCTGCATCACACTTTGGTCTTCTATAATGGGGTTAAACTCACCAAGAACAAATGAATACAAAACAGATGAGTGGAAAAATTTTGAGGAACGCATAGATGATCCGAAAATTAAATGCTCTTACAAGGAGCAGATGGAGCTTACTCGTCAGTGGGTATCCTACAGGGGGCAGACCCTTGCTAGAACAGGTTTGAACAGTGAAGGTTTTTGCTTCTTTATTTACTTGCTTCATTTGTGGATGTTGACTGGGCCATCATGTAACAATATATATGTGTGTGTGTGTGTGTGTAATTCTCTCTGTTTTTTTTCTTTTTTTTTTCAGTGAGGGGGATGATGTACTATAAGCAAGCCCTAGAACTTCAATGCCTTTTGGAAAAAGCAGGAGACAATGGTTTGTGATTTCTTAACATATATATGCGCTATTACTTTTGAAATTTAGCATTTGATTCCATTTCCTCTAATGGTACCTTTTTTTTCAATAAACTAATCACCATTTCGCTTTGCAGCTGTTTTGGATGGCTTCCGTACCTTGGAACCGGAGCAGTATCAAAAAACTTACTTAGATGATGCACAAGCTCTGGCTGATTTGAAGTTCACCTATGTTGTTTCTTGTCAGGTGTATGGGGATCAGAAAAAATCCAGTGAATCCCGGGACCGAAGTTGTTACAGTAATATTCTGAATTTAATGTTAACGTAAGTGAAAGTTATGTCCCAATGCATTACAAGAAGTTCTCCATTTAAATGCAAAAGGTTGATGGCAACCTTTGTTTCATAACTTTAATGCAGGAATAAATCGCTGCGTGTTGCTTACATAGATGAAAGAGAGGTCACAGTGAATGGAAAATCTCAAAAGTGGTATTACTCTGTTCTTGTCAAAGGGGGTGACAAGTATGATGAGGTATGGGGCTGATTCATTGTCTGGTGTGGAATTTTAATTGCTGCTGGATTTCTATGCTAAACTTAAGTTGAGTAATTGGTCACTTCCAGTTAAATTTACCACATTTCAAACTGCAACTAAGGGTTGGAATTGCCGAGTTGTCTTCTGGAAGAACTCTAGTTATTCTCCACTAGATAATCCAACGAAGTAATTTGTTATCTGCAGCTGTAAATAAACTGTACAGTTGTTTAAGGACTATCTCTTGGGAAAAGTTAAATTTATGTGATGTTTCCCCCACTGCTTAGTTTAGACACCTCCATTCATATACCAGGTATGAGGAGCATGTCCTGCCTTTGTATTTTCAAGACAAAAAGAAAAAAAAATTGAGATTAGTTGACTGTTAATGCTGCTTCTGTTACAAGCTCCTTTTGCCATCTTTCTACAAATCCAAAGCACGTTCTCTTATATGTTGTACTCCTTACACTGCTAGGAAATCTACCGAATCAAGCTTCCAGGTCCTCCGACAGATATTGGTGAAGGAAAACCTGAAAATCAAAATCATGCCATTATTTTTACTCGTGGAGAAGCCCTACAGACTATAGACATGAATCAGGTAGTTCCCCCTTTCCTTTTTTCATTTGTAGATTACATTATACAGTAATTCACTAAACTGTCCCTTTGTTTCAGGACAATTACTTTGAAGAAGCTTTTAAAATGAGAAATGTGTTGGAGGAGCTTAAAAAATCTCATCGTAGGAAACAAAAACCTACGATTTTGGGTCTAAGGGAGCATATTTTTACGGGAAGGTCAGCTTTACCATTTTCAATGGTTGTGCACAAGTTAGCATGCAAGAAGAATTATGTTGTAGAACCATGCTGATTTTGAGAGTAATAAATCCTTATATTTCTTGCGTTTCATTTGACAGTGTTTCATCGCTTGCTTGGTTCATGTCCAATCAGGAGACCAGCTTTGTGACTATCGGCCAACGTGTTTTGGCTAGTCCTCTAAGGTAAGCCTAATTTTAGCCAGCAATCAATGTATACTTATGTGGTATTATATGTAATTTACAATTTAAATGCTCTTTCTGTCAGTTAAAATTTGTTTCTGCATACATTTCTATGTTTCCTTTTTAATTCTCAAGCATGGGAGAAAAAATTTCAAACCTCAGACAGATGATATTTCACTGTTTGAGAAAAGGAAAACTAGAAAGTAGAATTTTTTGCATTGATTGCTCCTGGGAAGCTTCTCCCCATAGAGAAAAATCTTAAGCTTAAACCACCTCCTGACTGTTTTTTCCCTTTTCCTCAATACAGACTCATTGACCATTACAAGATATCTGGATTGACTTACTGATGAACTTTGTTCCAGAGTACTAAGATACCATAAAACCCTGGTTTTCTTATAAAAAATTGCTTAAGGAAAAGAGTAGGAGTCGAAAATTACAGAGTTTTCAACTTTCAAATATAAGAACAATTGCAAGCTTCAAACTGAAGTGAACTTTGTTTTATACACTTGTTGTCAAGACCGAAGGGCACCAAATCAATAAAATTTTCTAGGAATATATCCTTTTATTGCATCAAATGCTCTGGAAAGTTTAGTTCAATATGTGTATAAATAAGCATGGAAAAAGTTGTGAAACAATTAAACTTGTGCCAGAAACTTTACAAAGAGAATTAGAATAGGGTCTAATCCCAATAAAATATACTTATAGTATATTTTCTGATCAATCATCAGTGACAATGTACATGAAAACTGGAAGATGAAGGTTGAGGATGGGGGGTTGGGTAGTTAGGGAAAAGGGGCTTTTCTTGTTGACCTAGAATTTTGATATTTCTCAGACAGTATTTGATGTTATTTGTATGTCTTTAATGTCTTCAATATTGAAGGGGGCTTTTGCTTGAATAATTCCAATTCATGTTATCAAATAATTCTGGTCTTGAATTCTTCAATTTGCGTAGACATGAATTCAACTAATCCAACAGTTCTTTGATGGAGACAAGTCCAATCCTTTTGAAACAAAACAACTCCAATTTCCAGGAACATGTTACCTCTTATACTTTTGGATGAAAATGGTGTCTTTTCTCTTGATTTTATGGATGCTTGTGTCGTAACAAACTCTTTGAAGTGACTTATTTTCATTGACATGCAATGTTGTATTTTGCAGTTCTATAGAATTTTTTAGCTGTTTTTGACTATGATCTTTGTTTATGCTCAATTGAATCCAATTACCAATTATATTGTTGCTTGGTCTAATTCAAATGTTATGTCTCAGGTTCAAAGAATCAAATTTATTTTGTTCTATTACCAATTTAAGATTCTAATAAATGTTGTCTGACTTTATAGGGTACGGTTCCACTATGGCCATCCTGATATATTTGACAGAATCTTCCACATTACAAGGGGTGGCATAAGCAAAGCTTCAAGAACAATAAATTTAAGCGAGGATATATTTGCAGGTAATTTTATATGGATTTGAACACTTGTGACATTACACATAAGTGCCATGCGATGATTAAGCATGTCATTCTCTTCAGGATACAACACAACTCAACGTGGAGGATATGTAACACATCATGAATATATCCAAGTAGGAAAAGGGCGTGATGTGGGGATGAATCAAATATCATCTTTTGAGGCAAAGGTTGCAAATGGAAATGGAGAGCAGACCCTTAGCCGTGATGTTTATCGACTGGGGCGCCGTTTTGACTTCTATAGGATGCTCTCGTTCTACTTTACAACAGTTGGTTTCTATTTCAGTAGCATGGTAAGGTGATCTGATTTTTTTTATTTTACCGACTGTGTTGAACAAATCTCTTAGTCTTTTGTTTCATAGAAATGCTAATAGTGCCTCCATGACTGCTACTGGTGATATCTCTTTTGCTTTAAGTTTTTAGAGTTATGGTGGTTTGTTGGTCTCCTTAAGGAGTTCTAAGTCTGGAGTTTCAAGTTGATTTCTTTATTTAATTTGCAGTAAGCTCAGAAAACACTTTGTGTATTTGTTACTTCTTTTTGGAGGATGACTTCTTCTTCCTCCCTGTTGATTTTTTTTGTCTATTAAAAAAAAAAAACATGTATAACATAACTAGGCTCCCTGTTAAATGTAGCTCAGATTATTCTTAATTCCAAGCTGTTGATTGTTCGCTGTTGAGGATGAGCTTCATTTTATTCTGGTATCAAAATATAAACACCAAGTATAAGAGCAGTTTGTTTCAGCTTGGGCCTTATGCTTCAATCTTGTGTCGTGACCAACATCATGTAGTAATAGTTTCTAAATTATTTTCTGCATTCATGAGGTACTAAAAAAGAACAACCCAAATTTTATGAAATTCAAAAATTTCGATCATCATTTGAATTGGATAAGGATATTGTGCACTATAGGATCAGTGGCTAGATACCATCAAGTGATTCAGGTCACTTGTCCAGCTTGTTACTTTTGAAGCCATTTTAATATTCCTACACATGATTTGCTTTAAGCCTATTAGAATTACATGAAATGGAGAGTATGTTTTAGCTTGATTTGGTATGCTTTTGTTGTTTCAGGTAACTGTGCTTACTGCATATGTGTTCTTATATGGACGCTTATATATGGTAATGAGTGGATTAGAAAGGGAGATTCTTATGGACCCGAGCATAAACGAGAGCAAGGCCCTTGAACAGGCTTTGGCTCCTCAATCCATTTTTCAGCTAGGCTTGTTGCTAGTGTTACCCATGGTTATGGAAATTGGTTTGGAGAAAGGGTTCCGCACTGCTCTGGGTGATTTTATCATTATGCAGCTACAGCTTGCCTCAGTGTTCTTTACATTCCAGCTTGGAACTAAAGCACATTATTATGGAAGAACAATTTTGCATGGCGGTTCCAAATATCGAGCTACTGGGCGTGGCTTTGTTGTTTTCCATGCAAAGTTTGCGGAAAACTACAGGCTATACTCACGAAGTCACTTTGTTAAGGGATTGGAACTAGTTATACTGTTGGTCTTGTATGAAGTCTATGGGGAATCATATCGCAGTTCAAGTCTTTATTTGTTCGTCACGTTGTCCATGTGGTTCCTGGTTGGATCCTGGTTGTTTGCTCCATTTGTTTTCAATCCATCTGGATTTGACTGGCAAAAAACAGTGGATGATTGGACAGATTGGAAAAGGTGGATGGGCAATCGTGGTGGTATAGGGATTCCACCTGATAAAAGTTGGGAATCGTGGTGGGGTGAAGAACAAGAACATCTCAGATACACGAATATCAGGGGATGGTTGGTTGAAATAATCCTTGCATTTCGCTTCTTTATCTATCAATATGGCATTGTCTACCACCTTGATATAGCTCATCACAGTAAAAGTTTGCTGGTACATCCATATTTGAGTGATGTTTTGTTTACTTCTTAGCCTAAAACTGTTTGGTTGATTTCTGCCACCAAATACTATTAACTTAAAATCTTTATTGTAGGTTTATGGACTTTCATGGATAGTTATGATAACTGCTCTTTTAGTCCTCAAGGTATGTGGCATGCCAATAGAACTCATGCAAAAGGAAATATGATTGGGAGCAGCTTGAATAAATTTTTCACATACAAGAAATTTTTGTATTTGAAAACTAGCAAATCAGCATTTTAAGCGTATATATGGACCAATTGAATGTAGAATATGTCTGTTTTTCCTTTCACTTCTCACAATTGTGGTTGTCTGTGGTTTATTTCTGAACTTGGCTTACTGCTGTTTGTGTGTCCAATGTTGCTCTCAGATGGTATCAATGGGGAGACGAAAATTCCGTACAGACTTTCAGCTCATGTTCAGGATTCTCAAGGCACTCCTATTTCTCGGCTTCATGTCAGTCATGACTGTTCTATTTGTAGTTTGCGGTCTCACAATACAAGATTTATTTGCTGCCATCCTCGCATTCATGCCCACGGGGTGGGCCCTTCTTCTTGTAAGTAAAAACATTTTGTTCAAAATGTGCAATATACTTTAAAGGTTCTCCTTCAGTTTGCCACTGCATGATTTATCCGAAAGAAAAGGAAATTCTTACCTTAAGCAAATATTACATTCGTTCAAATCCATATGCTCTTCAATGCATATTAATATTTTTCCAAGAACCTATTGAGAATAACAAAAGGTCACATGACGTAGTTCCTTGTGATAAAAGCTACATTTTTTAATCCAATTCCTTTCTAAATATTATTTGGCCAAAAAGACAGCTCTCTTTGGTGTAATTAGTTCTTTTTTCCCTCCTAAAATATTACTGGTGATTCATAGGTTAACTAAACGAGAACTTTTTATATCCTATATCTTGTCCGTCGTAGATTGGACAAGCATGCAGGCCGTTGTTTGAGTGGATAGGATTATGGGATTCAATAAAGGAGCTAGGAAGGGCATACGAGTATATCATGGGCTTATTGCTTTTCATGCCAATAGCCATCTTGTCATGGTTCCCATTTGTCTCAGAGTTCCAGACTCGCCTGCTCTTCAATCAAGCATTTAGTCGAGGCCTCCAAATTTCTATGATTCTTGCAGGAAAGAAAGATGGAGCTGATACTGCAAAGAAAGAGGCAGCTGATGCAGGAAAGAAAGACGGAGCTGATACTGCAAAAAGAGGCAGCTGAGGGAAGGAAAAGACTAGACACCATCTAACTAGAGTTTCTACATTTCACGTTCATTTTTTATATTATTTTTTTGTATTTTTAACTGTATCTAAAATTAGTTGAAGTCCAAGAAAGATGGTGATTATTTTTACAAAATCCGTTGATATAAGGATTTTTTTTTTTGCTCGGGATCAAAATTAGTGACTTTCTTTTAGTTATTCCTTGTAATTTTATTCACTGCTGAATCACGTTTGTATGGAGCATGGATTATTGTTTATATGCACGAACTTTTAAACGAAATGATTTATAACAATAGAATAAAGTAAAAGTGAAATTACTAAAATCATTGTATTGGTGTTTTAAAAAATATAATAAAATTTTCTGATAATAACTTTTTAGCTTAATAATTTGATAGTATAGTAAATAGGAACTCAACGTATAATCTCTTGAAAAGGGACATGGATAGAAATTAGATCATTTCCAGGCAATGACTTCATTTGAAAGCGTAGGACCCAAGTGCAAGGTGGTATTCTTAAGTGGTGATCAGCGAGTTTTTTTGGTTTCTATTCATTCTTTGGAGAGGTTTTACATGGTTATTGGATTTGGCTAGTGGCCAGGAAAAAAACATTTGTCAAAATTTGTTCATGTTTTGGCTTCGGTTCTTGAGCGTATCGTCTGATGTTGATGTTGAGGAAGTAAATATTCTTGCATTTATTGCGACTGCACTGTTCATTTTAGTTCCTATTGCTTTTGTACTTGTAAGGTGTTAGTCAAAACAATTAATTTGAATGAAACTTAACTTCTTAATTCTTATTAATATCAAGAATTAACGAAATAAAATGAAAAGAATTTTAATTTTGCATTTTAGTTGAAATGAACAAACTAAAAAAAGAATCTTCTCCTTTAAGAATAATAATAAAAAAAAATGTTCAATTAAAACATGAAAACGTGATTTAATTTGTCCTTGACCTCAAGGTTATGAGCCTTGCGAGCTACCAAGCTGCTCTACCACGCATGATGGAGAGAAGAAGTGAGAACTAATAGACAAACAAGGATTGAATACGCCCCTCTACCATATCTGTACAAATAGAATAGTACATTTATACATAATGGTAAAGAGGTTCTTCTATGATCGATGATTATAGAAATAACTACAAAAATGAAATGGTCCCTCCGTAACTAGTCATCCATAATATCAAATAAATCATTTTCATCTTTGAAAAATTTACCCAAATAAATCATTTTCATCTTTGAAAAATTTACCAAGTGCTATAGTCATCGTGATCCTCTTATTCAACTACTTTAATCATTTTTGAACACCTCATGGTATTTTCAAAGTCTTTGAAGCTTCTATCATTTATATTTGATTTCTACACACTATCCTTTTTAATTTCTAATGGGTTTTGAAAATTTAAATTTTTTATTGGTCCATAACCTGATTTAGGTAAATTCATGAACTCAATTTGGTTATTCCTTCTTAATAACCATACGAACCGTGAATTAGAATAATGCCTTAAGTTCTACAATATCCCACTTGAAGTTTGTGAACCTTTTCAATTACCTCCCTAGATCGTCTTGTACCTTAACTAATATAGATGTTCATGGAAGATTCTTTCTCAAAATGAAAAATGTAAGGTCCAAAATGAACGCCTAACTAAAACCTCCGGCGTACTAAAAAGAAAAAAGAAAAGCATGGTTTGGGGGTGAATGAAACTGACTGTGCCTCTAAACTTGAGGGGCAGTGTTGTCATTTAGCCTAATATTAGTCCCGTCCCAAGTCCCAACCCAAAGTCCAAAGAAGAAGCCTTTTAACAGGGGCTGGTTAAAAGGCCCGAGTCGGACCCCAATACCCCATTTAATTACGATTCACGTCCCTAAAAAAAAAAAAAAAAAACCCTCTCTTCAGTCTCGTGAGGAAAACAAAAAGTTTTTTTTTTTTTTGGGCTATTGGATTGATTTTGAAGTTAATAAAAATTTTTTTGAAAAAATGAATATCCAACAACAGAATCAATCAAAATCGCTCTCTTTGGAAGACATCTCCAACCACTTCTCTCTTCCCCTCTCCGATGCCGCTAGCAATCTCGGTACCTCCCTTTTTCCTCTTTTCTCTCCTTTGGATTTTCTGGTAAACAAACAGAGCCTCTGAAGAATTTAAAATCATTTTTTTATTAATATCTTGTACTTTTTATTTATTACTATTATATTTTTTTTGGGAGCAGGCGTGTGTGTTAGTGTGCTTAAGAAAATTTGCCGTGAGAATGGTCTTGATAGATGGCCATATCGCAAGGTAAATTTTTTTTCTTTTTCCAGTTCCTATTTGTAATTTTTACGCATGCTAATAATTTGTGATTAATTACTTTCTTTTTATTTTAACTTTTTGATAATTTCAGTACTTAGCTGGAAAGAGTATCGAAGACATTAAAAGGCATGCTGCTAGAGAAAGAACCAAAGCCCTTGCTGACCTCGCGAAGGCCGCTTCTAACAAAAAGTATATATGTGTGTTATTTATTTATTTATTTTGTTGCTCCTAATTACTGCAAGCAAATTACAGAGTTTAAAAATTTTACGCTATTGGATTCCTTATTAATTTCACTTTCGAAAATTTTCGTTATGATGTTTGTTTGCATTACTAACAAGATTTAAGATATAGGGTCGATTGTTGATACAAGTTTACCTGAAGAAGAAATTACTCAGGGTTTGTTTATGTTAGTTCTTGGTAAAGATTTGGACCAAAATAAAGACTATATTGGGGAACAAATTGAAAGATTAGATTTTTTAGAGGTTTGCCGTTGGTGCATTGGTTGGATTCGCCTTTCGCTATATGCTAGGTTTTCCTTTAATTCAGAATCAGTGTTTGAATGTGCATGCTTATTCTCTATCCTTGCTTCTTGGATTTTCTAGGACAGTGTAGAGTTAGATTTTTCTTTTTATCCACAAGAGTAGGCAACAAATGATGTGTTAGTTGCAGTTGTCTTTATCTCTATGCATGAGTAGTGATTTTGTTTGTGATCTGAGTGGCAAAACAGTTAAAATTCTTGCATGGTCCATCAGCCATTAGATAATCATAATATCCATCATGTCAGTTCATGGAGCATATAGATATCACCTAGTACATTATTTTTTTAATTATGAAATGTATTCAATTTTTTATTGGATCGCGGTTTCTAAGCTCCTCTACAATATACTTGATTTAATTTAGGCCTTTTCACATGTCTTGTGGAGGAATGCTTGACATGATAGAAACCAAATCTATCATCTAAAGCACTATGTATACTGTTTCCTTTTTCTTACTTTTCTTTTATATTCATTTGAATTATATGCTCTTATGTTTATGCATCCTCAATTTGATTCATTTTCTTTCTTTGGCCTATTTTCATGATCTGGTCAGTGTTATCCAGCAGCAAAACAATGAGAATTCCAAATCACAAGGAATGGCATTGCCTCACAAACTGCAGCAACAAGGAACTAAGGATGTTCTAGCGGGGAGGCAACAGATCATGCTTGCTCCAGGGTTGGCAAAAGGATTGATGGGTTTGGATGAGTTTAAATATGGATTTCCATCAGATGGCTTATCAACAGCTGCAAATAAATGGTGGGGCAGTGGCCTGTCTGATACTCACAGGGGCACTGATAAAACTGAAACTGAGACTGATGAAGATGACAACCATCAATCAGAAGAAAAGGCCCATGGTGGTACTGATGTGATGACTGTAGACAAAGAAAAAGCTGGAAATGGACTGGCAGAGAATGAAATTGATCCCAAAGGGACTGTTTTATTGACATCTGTTAGAAAAAGAGCTGTTGAAGAAGGGCGAGGAGCACTTAAGCTTGGTGTCTACAGAACCTATGGTGTAAACAAGTTAGGCACGAAAGAGAGAGCTCTGCTTCTTCGAATATTTGGATCTCCATTGCCAAAAAGATGGATTCAGGACTCTTGTTCTAATAGAGGTGAATTGTAGACATGCAATACAGTTTCTACTGAGAATGTGAAGTAACAGATGTAAAACCGTTTAAATGGGTCGGGAATCTCACTTGTGTAAACGTCATGTTTGATTTCTTTTGTTTTTATGATATGCTGACATTTTATTACTTGATTGAATTGAACTAGTTTGGGACTGTAATTTAGTTGGATATATCTATTGCAGTACAGGACTTTGTCACCGGCTGATGGGACTTTATTGCATTTGGTGGCATCCAGCTGTAATAATCTTCTCATAAATGCCAGGGATGTGCTTGATTCTAAGGTAAGTATGGATGTACTTAAGAGTTCGTATCATCTGTTTTCCTCAGTGCTGTTAATGATTTCTAGTATATTTTCCTTGGCTTGAATTCATCCAATGAAGTCTTTTTTAAATCCACCAAGGTGTGCTGCCATGTTGATGTGTTTGATTTCTTTTTCTGTTGTGTTAAATTTCAGAGTAAACTTGTTAGAAATTTAGAAATTGACATTGTGTTGTGGTGTAAACTGCTTAATTAGTAAATTCGCTTGCAATACTTAAAAGCGGAACAGTGCTTGACATAATAATTCTTTGCAGTTTCAGTGGCTAAACAATGCTGTAATCTGTGATGGATGAATTTAATTATCAATAGACCTGTAAGTTATAGCTCATTAATTGGAACTTTAGCAAGAGGTTGAAAAGGTAGAATCAAACCCTTTTTTTTTTTTTTTTTTGGAACAAGAGCCGATGTTATATAATGTTGCTATTGCTGTTATTTAGATGAAATGTTGTGCTACGAAAACAGATCTGTTTTTACATTATGTAACAACTTTTATTTGAAACTATAGTGTAGAAAGAAAAAGATCCAATAAGTTAATGCACTCTTAGAAAAGAAATGACAAATGGGTTGTTAGATTATAATCTTAAAGTAGTATTTAATTGTAAGTTTCTCTAATCTAGTATTCCATGTGTATTCTTGAATTTTTTTTTTATTTATTCTTCTCTAATTTTCTTAAAGTTTAGCATCAATCTTTTATGTATTTAAATATATTATACAAATAAATTTAAAAACTAATTATTTCAAAAGTTGCCTAGAATGGTATGTCCTGACATTATTATTACCTATACGACTCCTTTTCGTATCACGGGATTCATGTTCTATATATATATATATTTTTTGTTTTTTCACGTAGCATAACATTACTCTTTGGAAGATTGCAATTTAGTCAAACTTTGTAAATGGGATGGCATCTAGTCTACTTCCTTTCTTTCTTTCGTTTTTTAACTTTTCGCTGCTTATTTAGCCCATTCTAAAATAACTGAGTTTGATTTTGTTGCTGCAGAGTAAAATAATTCTCCTCTCTTTTTTTATGATTTTGTCAAGCCTGTATCTACTTCATCGATTTGCTTTCAGTTTCTGTATGATCATATCAACAAATTCTACATAGTAAAAAAGAACTCACAGACATTCGGTTTCGCGACAAGATGTATTTTTCACGTATCATCTTCGATTCGTAGCACAAAAGTCATGAATGAATTTAAACAAGCATTTACTCATAGGTTTACGAAGATAAGTGGAAACATACAAGGAAAAAAAAACCAAAAAGCTCTATAGATCTGAATATATTATTTGATTCTCTAATATAACTGACAACCATACAGTATTACTTTTAGAATGAAAAATAACTAAACGTGTTATCACAATTTTTCAAAAAGAAATAAAGTTAAAATAATAAATTAATGTTAACTTATTATAAAGCTATTTCTTTTTACTCTAACGAAGAATGAAGGTTAAAAATTAACCTCCTTTCGCTTTTCCTCTCGTTAAAAATTTTCTTCTCAAATAAAATTAAAATGTTATTAGTCTCCGTTCAACTCCCCTCTCTTGCCTTCCGTTCATGTATTTTCCAAACAAATTGTAAAAAATTAACATTTATAGTGCCAGAGTTTGCCTTTATTTTGTTTCATGTCACAAATCAAAACGGCACTTGCATCCCTAATGATGCATTGTTTTTGTGTTTTGCATGAAAATTAAGCAAAACTTTTCTTTTCTTTTCTTTTTTTGGTTTTAGTTAGATAATTCTATCTTATCTTGGAGACAGAAGCAACAATATTACATCCATAAATAATTTATCTAAAAACTTACTCATTTACTATTAGACCATTAACTTATTGATAATATTAAATATAATTTTCTCAAAGCTAGCTTAGTTAGCGAGATCTGAAGGATTTGAGCATTTGCATTCCAATAATTGAACTTCTTATCCATGCATCATGTGATCTAACGACACAGAAAAAAACATTGTAAACAAGGAAAGAGGCTTGGTTAATTAATATATTTGACAAGCAAGCAAACAATTCTTGGTTCGTAGTTAACAAGCCACAACAACATCATTGTTCTTCTTTTTTAATTAAATGTGAATTATTTATTCTTTTAATATAGAAATGGCTTGCAAGTTTTTATCATCTTGACTTAGACTTCCTTATGGGCATACCAGTAAATTAGTGAAAGAAAACTCCTGTTTTGTTTTGATTCTCAATTATTGAAATTAATAGGGGATCTAGCCCTGATTTATGCGTCAATTAATCACCCTTTTGTTACTTCCCAAATTTAATTTAGTTGCAAATTAGAGAAAAATGAAATTACACTGGATCTGTAATAATCCTAAATAATTATGAAAGAAAGAAAACATATAAATAACTGTTAATAATAATACAATTAGATATAGATCCTCTAGGCCAAAGCTATGGAGGAAGGCATGGAAATGTGACGGAAAGTTTTTGACCAAAAAAATGGTCATGTTACTGCTTCCTGGGCTGTAAAATACTGAATTAGCTTATGTTGATTTGATACCTTAGGAGCCTTAAAACCTATTCTGGATAAAAAAATTTATGCTTATGTAATGGTTTAAAAAAAAAATTATTTAATCTTGCAGGTCAATTTTTTAGCTTTTATAGAATTACTTAGTAGCTCAACAGACGGTAGTTTTCATTTTTCCTTCAAAAAATTCCGAATTCAAACCTCTTTGAAAAAAATGAGCTTTTATCTATCTGTCTAGTTTAGAAACCAAGTATTCGTTAACAACACTGCACGAGTGAGTTCGAAATGGTGATAAGCCTGAAGTATTAGACAGGATTTTTTTCTTCTTCTTTATATATATATATATATTAGAACAAGATTTTTAAGCTTAAATTAAAAATAAATGAATTAATTAGTTCTCCTTTTTCAAAAATTATTTAATCCTTATATTTTTTTTTAAACTTAATCCTTTTTAATCTTTTAAAATTTATTTTTATTTTTTATTTTAAGAAATAGAAGAAAAAAATGGTATGATTTTTGAGAAAAGATAATATTTTATGAAATTAAATGATAATAAATTATGCGTAGTCAATACTAATAAAAAATTAAATAATTAGTTTTTAAAAAAAAGACTAATAAATTTATTTTTTTAAATAGAGAGACTAATTTATAATTTACTCGATTTTTAATCACCGTTTGGTGTTAGAACTGACCGTGACCATTAAAAAAAAAAAAAGTTTCTGCTAAGAAATCATGAATGTATCAATTAATAGATGTCAGATCGATCCACGCTTTTGTGTTGGTCTGGTGTCAAGAAGGGAAACATTCAAGGTAAGAAGATGATGCAGGCTTTGTCCTTTATCTTATGTTTTAGCCTAACATAGAGGCCAGACCACCAGGGGCGCATAAGCAGCATCGATTTTTACAAAGCACAGGAATTGTCTGCATTGTTGAATGTTGATAGGATTTTGCCTGCATATCAATTATACCAATGGGATTGCTAAAATCCACATTTCTTTGGAGGGCTTCCTATATACAAATAAAATTGTTTTTTTTTTTTTCCGTTACCAATATAACAGTGCTTGTTACATGTAGTGTTAATCCTTCCAGGTAACTTTCCTTGGATTTTTTTGTTTTTCTTTTTTCCTTATGGCCTGATTCTATGCAACACTTCGATAACATTAAAAAATAAAAAAATAAAAAAATAAAAAAAAAAGGAAAAAGTACATCATTGATATTCCACCCTTTCCAATGTAAAGCGAGAAATCTCAAGAATTTCCAACAAGAAGAAGAAAGATGTTTATGCAACTGGTACTTCTGGCCGTTCTGTTTATGTTGTCAATAAAAGCACTGGCACTATCTCCATCTCTGGCCAAGCCAAATTGTCAAGCCTTCTGTGGAGAAGTCAGCATTCCATTCCCTTTCGGGATAGGACCAGACTGTTATTCCCACAAATTGTTGGAAATAGTTTGCAATGAAACTTTCAGCCCTCCCAAACCTTTTGCAAGTAGCATTAATCTGGAGGTGCTGAACATTTCAATTGGAAACAGCAGAATTCATGTCAATCTGCCAATAGCTTCTTCTGGTTGTAACGGTGCAGCAACGAGCAGTGTAAGCATTAATTTGGAATCCAGCCCTTTTGCACTGTCCGAAAGAAATATATTCACTGCCATAGGTTGTGAAAACTTGGCCTTGTTAAGGGAAAAGAGCACAGTTATTGGCGGGTGCATGCCACTTTGTGATCAGAACAAGAACATGATAAAAGGTGGTTGCTTTGGCATCAACTGCTGCCAGACCACCATCCCTTTAGATTTAAGGGAATACAATGCAAGCATAGGGAGCATGAAGAACAGTGAACGCAGTGTGGGATGCAAGTATGCCTTCTTAGTAGACCAACTATGGTTTGGAGCCAATTTGGCAGATCTGCAAGCTGTGAATAAAATGAATTTTGTTCCTGTCGTGCTAGACTGGTGGATAGATAGATGGACATTTGATTGGCCTTCACTGGATGAGCAATCACGGATGCAACACCAAAACTTTAGTTGTCTAATTTACAAAGCTGCCTCGTCACCTAGTAACAATGGATCCAAAATTCAATGTCATTGCAAAAGGGGTTTTGAAGGAAATCCTTACCTTAATGAAGGATGTCAAGGTATGTATTTATATTATTGTAAAATTTCATAAGGTTCTCTCGATCTTAACTTTACTTAGAAAAAGAAAGAGAGGGAAAGATAATGATTTGTATCCTTCGTATGCTAATTCTTTTTACTATTTTGCTAGACATTGATGAGTGCGATGTCCCTAATGCTTGCCGAAAGCCTATGATTTGCAAAAATTTTATGGGGAGTTGGGGTTGCCACCATCCACCTGAGTTCGGAAATTCTCAAGTTGATATGGTCTTCACAGGTATGACCCTCAGTCTTAAATCCTACGAATGAAAATTGGTTACCTTAGTTCTGAAACTTATTGATTAGGATGGAGCATGAATGACATAACTCTTTTGGTAAAAGCAATGCTTAAAATTGAACAAATACCTTTCCTTTCCTTTCAATTGGGAGCAAGACATTTGTTTTTATGTGAAAATAATAATATTCCTCTGAAATCACTGAGGCGTGCAGCTGTTGGCTCAAGCTTGGTATTGGTGCTTTTAATTATTGGACTGTGGTGGCTGCTCAAAGAAGAAAAGAAGAGAAAGAACTTCAAACTGAAGGAAAAGTTCTTTAAACGAAACGGTGGTCTGCTGCTGCAACAACAATTATCTTCAGGTGAAGTAAATGTTAACACAACCAAACTGTTTGAATCAAGGGAACTGGAGAAGGCCACTGACCATTTTAGCGTGCGTAGAAAGGTTGGACAGGGAGGTCAAGGGACTGTTTACACAGGAATGTTGACAGATGGTAGGATTGTTGCAGTGAAAAAGTCAGGATTGGTTAGTGAAGGAAAACTTGAAAAATTCATCAATGAAGTTGTCATTCTTTCACAAATAAATCATAGGAATGTGGTTAGGCTATTAGGTTGTTGCTTGGAGACCGAGGTTCCTTTACTAGTCTATGAGTTCATTCCTAATGGAACACTTTTCCAGTATCTCCACGATCAATTCGAGGAGTTCCCACTCACGTGGAATATGCGTTTAAGGATTGCCATAGAAGTTGCAGGCGCTCTTTCTTACTTGCATTCAGCTGCTTCTTTGCCTATTTATCATCGTGACATCAAGACTTCAAACATACTTTTAGATGACAAGTACCGAGCAAAAGTTGCAGATTTCGGAATCTCTAAATCAGTTGCCATAGACCAAACTCATGTAACTACACAAGTGCAAGGCACATTTGGGTACTTGGATCCGGAATACTTCCAGTCAAGCCAATTTACAGAAAAGAGTGATGTTTATAGCTATGGAGTTGTCCTTGTTGAGCTCTTAACTAGACAAAAACCAAACTCTTCGACGAGGTCCGAAGAAGATGGAAATTTGATATTATATTTCATGCTTTGTGCGGAGGAGAATCGGCTACAAGATATTATTGATGCTGAACTTGTCCTGCAGGCTGAGAAAATGGTAATCGTGGCAGTTGCTAACGTTGCTTATAAATGCCTGAACATAAATAGGAAGAAACGACCGACAATGAAAGAAGTCGCAAAGGAGTTGGAGGAGATCCAAATATTGCAAAATGATTTCAATGCCAATCCACAGAATTATGAAGAGGCTGAATACCTTAAGCGTGATCTATCGGAGCCTTGCGATGTTCTTTCCCCTTCAAATTCAATCACTAGGTAAAAGTTGTTAAAGCTACGTACTAGTAGTGTAGTATATGATTTTTTTTTCTGTAAAATAATCAGACTGGAGAAAACTTTCAAGTTTGATCTCTTATTAGGAGTCTTGCTTCCATTTGGTAGGTGAAAGAAGGCAAGGGATATAATATTCACATTTTTCATGTATATACATGTATAATTTTTTACTAAGAATGCTATATTTCAAACGAGAAGCACCACCCTACCTTGCTTCTGTTCCTTTTTCTCAGCTGCTAATTTGAGAATTGAAGATAAGAGAATTAGAGATGGACAGAGAGTCATGCAAGGCTTTGACAGTTAAAAATAAATAACGATCCATTTGCTAGGTTTTATCGTATCAGTCAGAGTTCAATTGGAAGCCCGGCCCGAACCCAATAAGGCATTTACCGACCTACCAGAAATGGGTTTGTTGGATCGCTTTTGGGCTCACGGTAGTAAGTCAAAGGGGCCCGGTTAAGAGAATTATACTGCATAATTTTTTCACGTTATTCAATTTTTTTTTTCCAGATATTTTCATCCCATGAGACTAGTGTTGTTTGAAGCAGAGCCACAAAATTTAACCCTTCTCAACTATTCTCTTTTGGTAAATAAAGTAGCAATAGTCCAAAAAGAAAATTAATTACATTTGTTTCGTTGGAAGTTGAAAGTGAACGCATGAGCGTTAAGTAAAGAAAATAAATCCTTTTTAGGGGATTAAGAAAATATTTCACTTCTTTCAGTATCTAGGGAGAATGAAAATATGTCTTTCTCATCGATTGTAAAGAATAGTTTATTTAATAATAAAAAAAAATTTACATCAAGAATATTGCAAAAATATTTTAGAAATAACTATCAAATTATTCACAACCATGCACCTCGTTATTGCAACCATATATCACCACCATCCATCATAACCATCTCATCAAACCACCATTGCTTTAATGTAAAATATTTGGGTAAGACAAATATGAACTGTAAAATATTTTGCATTGACGTGGAATTGGAATAATGTTTTGCGTATTTAGGCAAAACAAATGAACTCTAATTTGGCAGAAGGCTAGCTAAAGTTCTGTATAAATTACCTGTCTCCCAATGCCCTGTCGTGTTCAAAACTCAATTCCACTGTCTCGAAACAATGGATCTTCTTAAAAACATTGTACTTTTTCTCTGATATCTGACGCTGCTTTAGGTACCTTTTCTCTTACATGTATGTATAAATGTCATAAAATAAAGCATATCAGAGTTTGGTCATGTCCGTTACTGAAGTAAATAAATAATGGCCAATGGTACTAATGGAATGGTTGTGGATAGAAAGATAAAGTAACTGTCTAACTGACATCATTCTGAATGTGCTCGTGCTGGAATCCAAGAGATCTATTAACGAAAACCCAAATACCAAATTAAAAAAGATGAGCTTAAAATTCAGCTTCGTTGGCAGGGAAAAAAAAAAAAGAACTTGGATTTGGAATAGGAGTGTGTCCATTGGTTCGGATGAAACTATAATATTCAAGTTTTAATTCTTTAATTGGAAGGTTATGTCCCAATGATGCAGTGCTGGACCCTAAGAAGATGCGATTCGACCAGGAATTGAAGAGGGCCTGAACCAAGATTGGGTCAGCATTCTAGCCCATCAAATAGATGGGTTTTGTTCTTGAAACTTTTGGTCACTTCTATAATATATACTCCCTTAGTCTCAATTTTTCACACACAAAATCTATTCAAAAATTAAGGGGGTAAATAAAAAAAAAGTTAATTAAAAACTACATTTAAACTAATTATAAAAAATAACATATTAATACACTCAAAATCTCAACATATGATAAAGTCCTTACAAAAAAATATTATTTTTTATGTAACAAAAAACTTAATTTTAAAATTTTTATATTAAAGTTATTTGTATATATAAGAAAAAAGTATAAAGAATATTGATTTTTTGTTAATAAATAAAGAGCCGAAAATGAAAGAAAATAATTGATTTTTTTTATCAATTAAGAGTATTTCATAAAAATATATTATTTAAAATTTTGACTAGATAAATATTTTAAAATATTTATATATATGTTGAAAAAAAGATTATTATTTTTTAAAATATATATATATGTGTGTGTACACATTTTATCTAGAGTGACGGTACCCCTCGAATTTTGATGATTTTAATTTCAGAGTTGTTATGCATGAGCAAGCACTGAAATGTTGTGGTTTTTCAGAGCAACCAAAGATACGCGTTGTGTCCGTATCATTTGCAATTTTGCGAAGGTTTTTCTTCCACCAAAGTCCAAGGTATCGGTGTGGGGTGGGGTTACGTAGCATAGGGTTGCTCGTAGTCTAAGACTTGGTTATGATAAAATTCAAATCCAGAGATACTGCCTATGTTTTACGGCACCAGAGATTAGCTAAGAACTAAATGTCAAGAGTACGACAAGGAAGAAAAAAAGTGGAAACATGGAGGATGATTGCTAGTAATAGGTCACGTGAAGCATTGCCAACTCTGCAAATGTTTAAGATATTCTAAATCAAAAAATTTAGATTAATCATTAGATATTTTGTGGAACTCATAAAAAAAAAAAGAGAATAGTTATTCAAAGATTATATATATATATATATATATATTTATTTATTTAAATTCAAAATTATTTATTTAAAGGATTAGAACTTTTTTATTTAAGTTAACCCTCTTGACGTATTATCCTCTCAATTATAAAAATAGAATTTATGAATAGTCAATGAAATATATCTTATATATTTTACGGGAAGGACAGAATAAGAGATACACTAATAATTTCTCGTCTAATTTTGGAATCTCAATCTCATATCTGATGGTGATTTTCAGATTCCGAGAATCCTGCACGATAATGTTAATTGCGTGGTATTATGTGAGGCTTTGCTTGAATGGGTATTGTCCGGATAGTATCTTTATCGATAGCCATGTTACAGAATATTTTGTAAGAAAATTCATGCTGTGGAATAGGCCATATTCTCCTTGGAAAGAAAAGGACACCCAAAGATAATAGAACAATAATCTCTAATTTTTTATAGTTTGGGTTTTTTCTAGAACGTATCTCAAATACACAAGTTAATTGACACAAATTAAATATTTTGATTTGGGTTTTTTCTAGCATGTGTTTTACGAATATAGATTAATCGAATCGTAGCTTGGGATGCTACTCAATTATGGAGGTGAATTTACTCAATTACCAAAGTGAAACATTCCATTTATGTAGATTAGCATTTGTTCTAGGAGCACACATTAATTTATATAAATGAAATGTTTTTATTTTTATAATTGACAACGTTAACTCGGTTAGGAAAGTGAAACATTCTATTTATGTGGATTAATCTGTGTTTTAAGCACACGTTTTAATTGATAGAAATGGAGCGTTTTAATTTTTTTAATCAATAATATTGAATTATGTTTTAGGATTTTACTCAATTTTAGAAGTGTAATATTTCATCTATGTAGATTGACGTAGGCTCTTGATGTACATGTTAGAAAAAACCTTAAGATTTTAGTCAGTAGACAATTTTCAATTTTATTACTAATCTTTTGTTTAAAAAGAGACTTGCTATTTATTGTGCAAGAGTGATTTTGATTTTCAAAACATTTGTGGCACAATAAATATTGTCTGACACATGGTGGGTTAAGAAATTGCCATGTGTTGCACAAAATAATTAT